TTGGCCGAACAAGGACTACACACTCGGCTATTTGGAGAAGGTGAGTTTGCGGATGAAGGGGTGCCGCACAAATATTTGATCAGAGCGAATATTCAAAAGGGCAATTGAGCTTGGGGCAAAGTGAAAACAGGCTGAGCCTTATCTCTGAGAGCGTTTCATTTTCACCACACTGAAACATGTGTGCAGCTGCTGTGAGAGCGCACGGATGAGGCTCTGGTAGATGGGAATATGTGAAGAAGATGTGAAATGTTTTGGGTTTTCATGCTGAACCAGAGAAGGTCTCTTAAATCGCTTCACTTAACTTTAGTGTCACTTCAAAAGAACAAAAGGGATATTTATACATTGTGTGTGTGTGTGTTTTGTTCTTCTTGGGAAGTCACAGTACGGGTGGTTGACCGTCTGACTGGGAGCGGTGGAGCGAGCCTGTGCAACCAGCCTCCTCCCGGTAGGGTCGCGGGGCCCTCTGGCCCCCGGGAGCCGCTACAAACAGCCTGAGGCACACAAAGTGCAGCGTCTCATTATGGGGACAGGACACAGTACCAGGAAAAGAAGCGTCGTTGCACTCTCCTCCGATTGAAGGAGCCCCGCTTCACTTTGCTCACGGGAGAGTGACTATCAAACTATCAATTGGTTTCATTTTAGCGTCACAAATTGCAATATTGAGAGTTCTTACCAATGGAGGGACTTCATAAAAGGGATCAGCCTCAAAATCAACGGCTTGCAGCTGTTTTTATTTCCTGGTAATGACGATGATGATTTGATGAAAGATCACAGCTGCAGGGGCCTGTTGCACACAGATCTCTGCTGCAGGGAAATATCTATTTACTCTCTCCGGTGCGTCTCAGGCAGCTCTGAGATCGATGTGTTCTCAGCGACTGAGGAGGACTTTGCCTTCCTGCCAGGTGGTCAATAGATGACTCGAGACAGACTCGCTGCACAAAAGCCGAAAAGCTCGTTTGAATCCCTTTGCTTTAAACTGGTGGAAATAGTACATCTAACGGCATTAATTTCCATTGATCACTAATCCAGAATCCAAAATAATTCAATGTTACCTTTGTGAATTCTGCAAATATTCAAGTTTACAGTTGGTAAAAAAAAAAAATAATGTTGTGACGGTCTCTAAAAAGTGTTGAAAAAAGTCCTTCATGTGTGGCTCTATTGCAGAATTGCAAGTGTTGCTCAGTATAAAGCAGGATACCAGCGCCCTCTAGTGGACTCTGCCCATTATAACCCATTTTAGAATAAAAAAATATTGCCCAGGTACAAAATGTACTCAAGGACAAATCGGTCTGCTTGTTTGGCTCCATCCATCCATCTTCAAAGCTACTTGTCCTCCATGCAAGGTTTAGAAAAAAAATCACAATTTTGCATTAAATTAGTATTTTAAGCTTAAATGTATTCAGTTTTCAAAAAATGAATGAAATTAAATGAATAATTTAGTGGAATCAAAAATTCGATAAATTATGCTTTACATGAGCTTCTGAAAAAAAAATGTTATAAATATGAAATATATATGAAAATATTTGTGTTAGCTAGCATTGTACATAATGTCTTTGCTGGCATTAAAGGGGTACTTGGAGACAGGAGAAGATTGATCATAAAAAGTCACCTCAACATAATCCCACTTACTCGGCATAATGAGAAAAGTCCTGTTTGGTAACTTCTGTTCTCTAGTGCATTGACATTGTGTTCTTGCTGTCAGGAGTGACGTCTACTTCTGGTCTCCAGCCAGCTACAGACCTGACGGAGGGGATCGCGCTGTCACAGTGGCTGAATGGGAACAGCAGGTGACCCCAAAAATAGAAAGAAAAGTTCCCATCTCTTCTCTGTCTGTCACACAGCTCAGTGGTGCAGAGAAGAAGCTACAGGAAGCCATTAAGGAGGAGGAACGCACGTAGCTTTTCTTATTCATGCTTATCGAGAAAAACCTTTTCATCATCAGTGGGAACCATTTCTTCCGCATGACGATTGGACGTTAAATCTGCAGTGAGTTGCATTAATTCCCCACCACTGCAATGAGTGCGCTTGTGTTTATGGAAATGGAAATAAGGAGGATGAAGTGAGTGTCGGGTATCATGACAGCCGTGCTCATACAAACAGCTGAGCGTGCCTATTTAAAGCTGTACACGATATGTGCATGGCACACATGTTAACATGGAGCCATAACATTTTACAGTGTGCCAATTAATCTTATCTAAACGCTTCCGTAGATGGTAACTCGCACACACACACACCATAAAAATAGAGTCAATGATGTTTTATAGTATGTGATTACTCTTTACTGTGGTTGATCTATTTGTGGCACATTGAGACAAACGTTCACCCGATGGTCCTTTTTCACCATCGGCAGGTCTCTCTGTAATACAGCAAGATGAAAGCAAAGAAAGACTTTCCACCACAAGATAAAGGTGAATATAATAAGCCCCGGGGTCAAGATACAAGAGCACATGACCAGACACTTTTCTGGATGTTAATAAGGCCGACATGAAAGCGTGTGGATGTGAGGAAGAGCGGCAGGTAAACCGGTTCACGTGAAACTCGACGATTAAGCAGATGCACGCCAAGAATAAATATACAAGCCTCCTGCATACACATGCAGAGAGCGGGTGACTCATTCTACGCCCATCAAAAGACACAGTACACGTTTGCACTGGTCCAGAGGACAGAACGCACACAAATACAGTTTGCAGATGAATAATTAAACAGGGCAGGAAATGAAGCAGCCAATTAAAAGAAAAAAAAGACCTGTAAGTATCAACGTGAGGGTTTAAATATAGTTTGTTGTGCTGGGACAGCTCTGTAATTAGCATGCCTTATGAAAAAATCCAAAGTGACTTAATATAGCAGAGAGAGAGATTAAGGGGCGCGTGGTTTACAATAATCAAACAAAATCGTGAGCAGAATCTCATTGATGATGAAATACCAGTGCTGTCGCTAGCCAGTTTTTCTTGGGCTTCATCCACTTTGCCTCCTCATCACCGGCATGAGAGGGCAAGCAGGTAAATTGTACGTGCATCTTCACAGGCCTGCATGTTTGACGCTTTGCCAAAAGGGAAATCATATGTGCATGATGATGAAAGCGCGGCGGCGTTTCTCAGCAGCAGCCTCACAGACCAGCCTATAAATAATCAAGGCGAAATTGGCAAACCCTTGCAAGAAAACCAACTGGGTTTCTTGAACATAGAGTGGAGGTTCTTGAGAGAGAGAGAGAGAGAACGGTTCTTCACATCCATAATCGGTTATTGAATATAAATCACCTAAAAAAGGTGTGAGATGTAGGAATAAAATACATTTATTTAAACCAGATGGTGGAAAAGAGGATATGTCATATAATTATCCTCGATACATTTGATCACAAGTCTGAATTCAAAGTGCCGCACTGTAGGATAACGGAAGACCTGTTTTGTGTTTTCTATTCAGAGCTTCTATTGTTTTACTTTCAAGGAGGATGAAGGAATATAGTGTGAAACAGGGAAATGTTCCTGCACTTAGCCAAAGGTCCCGTTGACATTAAATAATGGAAGAGGCTGCCAGAGCACACAAACCTCTGAGCGCACACGGCGACAGACACACAGGCACTCAACTGCAAACAAAGACGTGAAGGTATGAAGGAAGGGAGGCAATTGGGAGATTTAGGAGGTAAGGAAATGAAGGAGCTAGAGGGAGCAAATGGAACCGCAAAAGGATGGAGTGTCGTAGCAGGGAAGGTGGTGGGGTAGGGGGGGGCGCTCAAATCTGTGTCATCACTTAAGGGACTCTTCAAAACAAGTTTCTTTACATAATGCATCGGTTAAATATATTCATTCCGACTCGCTTGTTTTTCAGTAAATTGAGGTTAGAGATGGTCGACTAACGTATGTAAAGAGGTCAGCACATTACGAAACACCTGGCAGAGTCACTGAAGGCAGGCAGCCATGAAATAAAGTGAAACACCAGTCAGCCTTGCAAACGCACAGAAGCGGCACAAGAATAAACAGGGGAAAATAAAACCTTGTGAGAAAAAAATATATAAGAACCCATGAAGTCAAACGGTAATCCCTTGCAAACATATTGGTTTTAATGGGGTATCGGCAGACAAAGAATATAATTTAACTTTAAGAGAAAGTAACTGCATCATAAGAGTGTCAATTTCCAAAATATTAATAAGGACTGCAGTGTGTCAAATCTGAATTTAAAATGAACAAAATTACAGGCACTTGAAAAAGGGGCGTCATGACTTGTATAAAAATGAATTTCAGTTCATTTTTAAATCTGTCAGGAATCTTTATTTATACATTTTTTTAAATGTTTAAGAGCTTTCATCTAGCGACGAATAAGAATCGCAGGATGAAACGTGCAGTTAAACATATTCGGTTTTGAGAAACGCCTGCGGGAACAAACTCGGATTATTTGGGGTTTCATGGGAGTCAAGTTACTTGGAAACGTTGGTCCAAACGAAAGGCTCTGCTCCCCAAAATATGAATACCTTGGAGAGGAAATGGATATCTCGAGAGCTACTCAAACCTCACAATTCCAGTTAAAATTAATTATTAATGTTTCATTTGAAAAACACTTTCCTCGCGCCCCCCCCCCAAAAAAAACCCCTAAGATTTTTTTAAACTGTCAACACAAACGTCCGAGGAGCAACGATGCTGAGTAGCAGCAAAACCCAAGAACTTCCGTACGGGAACCATCCGAGCATTACTCGTTCATCTGCACCCGTTAGACACACAAAACGCGCTCCTTAGCAAACATCTGCACCATACGAGTATGTGTCAAAGCATGCAGCGACAGAGACAAGTACCTTTGCGGTGGTCTTCATGCAGGCGGCTCAATGAGTCTGGGATGCAGAGTACAGCGGCGATGAATGGAGGCTGCGCTGCCTAGCAACCAAACAACCAATCAAATAATTGACTGCGTGCACAACTGGTTGATGTATAATTCTAGAATGCAGTAATATTCAGGATATTAAGGTAACTTCCTTAAAGTTACTGTAACACGTTTATTAATAACAAAACACATAAGATGCCACTTGTTTATTTGTGCGACAATAGCTCCATTATTGCACTTCATTTCCATATCACATTTTAAAATCAGGCAGCAACCAGAGAGTCTGGCAATCTTGAATCGCACGCCGTCCGTCCTGCAGGTAAATCTGCAGCACCCTTCAGTAAAGTCTTTGGAGACGTGGATCAGTGCGGTAATACTTTGCCCTGCGACGAGGGAGTTGTGCAGCAGAATCGTGATTAAAAATGAAACCCTGTTATTGAGAAGAAATCCTAAGAACGAAATGGCCGCCAGCACTAAAATAACAAACTATTAAAAACAAGTCACTGAGGAGAGCGAGGATCTCATCGTATTTGAGACATCTCCTCCAGATGTGGAGTCTTCATGCAGCCCGTGCACAGCTGGTCCATCCACAGAGGAGCCTCGTGCTGCAGGGGGGTGCGGCGCGGGTAGAAAGTGTACGAGGGGTCGTAATTCAAAAGACAGCTGACGGAGGCCATGTAGACGTCGGAGAAACGGGAGAGTCGTCTGGAGAAGTAAGTGGGGTTGTGACACGTTCTGAAGATGCTGCCGAACTGCGGGTTGAACACGTTCTTAGTCATCGCCCTGAGACATTAAAAAAAGAAAAGGTTGAGTTAATACACGCCGTGGTGGACGTGGAGTATGCAGATACTTTTCCTGAGTAACTGTAGCAATACGACAGCAAAAATACCAGATCCCAAGCGAACGTCTCTCACTCAAAATTAATGCAGAATTCTCTCCACGTATAAAAATCAACTGATGCTTAAATGTTTCAGCATTTTGAATCTGCTTGAGTTGGAACAACAGCCGTACACACACGCAGGTAGTTTATTGGCATCGTATTTCTCCTAATTGAGTGGAAATCGTAACCCGAAACGATTGATGAATTAAAAGGCACCCACCTGAGCTCTTCCCGCTCTTTCTGCCATTCTTCAAAAACACGTTTAGACTCTGGGTCCCGATGAGTCTGCGAATGTAAAGAAAACACAAAACAAAAATCCACGTCTGTTATTAAATTTGGCAATTTGAGGCTAAAGAAACAAGAATAACTGAGCGGTTTAAATATCCGTCTCCTTTTAGATTGAGTCGGTAAGACAGACTCACATTTTTAGACATTCAACGACGAAAATAATATAAAAGCTCTGTAAACCTCTCACCTGTAGCCGTTCCATCAGGCCGGTTAAAGCCTGCAGCCAGGTGAGGCTCAGTGCGTACCGGTGGGTGCTCACCACTTTGGTTTCCGGCTCCAGCTCCGGCACTATGGCGGCCGTACGCCAGCCGTGTCGCAACATCAGGTCCTGCGGCGACAAAAAGCTTTGGTCAAACTGCAGCCTGTACGAGTCTGTAGTGTCTAATCAATGCAAACATTTCTGATCTGCAGTAAGGTGGTAACGTTTGTGCTTCAAGTCTCATACAAAGGCTTTAAAACACTTTTTAGCAAACAAATATTACTTCAATGCTACATATACATGTTCCTGGCAACTTGTTTAGACTTTTTGTAAATCCGAGCCAATGACCTCATTTATAAATAGCAGACGGTCTTTGCTGCCATCTGTTGTTTGAAATGTTCTTTGCAGCCGCACCCAAATGTCACTGTCAATGTTCTGAATTGTGCAATATGTGAGTCTGTGTTCGACAAGGTCCAGTCAATGAAGGATGTTTCAATGCAACAAAATACACATGTTGTATTGAAAAAAATACTACAAACCTCCACCAAGTAAATTCTTAAGTATTGTGATTAATAATGTGCATTAAATACAGAGAAAAATATGAATCAAAGTTATTCAGTGGATGCTCAATGGAGTGCTCCATCAACAGGATTTGGAACTCACAGCCAAGTCGCTATAAAGATGATCTCCAAAGTAAAGAACCCTTGAACCTCGCCAGCCAGTCAGTCTGAGGAAGTCAAACAGGTTTCCCTAAAGACACAAAGGAAATCCACACACCATTTTCGTCACGAAGGCAGATAACGCATGGACTTAGTAATGGGCAAACAACTACTGAATAGAGATAAATGAGCCAAAGCATTAGAAGACCAGGAAAGTTACACGGACCTGCTTGTAGATCTGTCCTTTGTCCAGACTGGTTATCTTCTCCCACTGAAGGTCTCCATTACCATCCAAACGCCTGAAGGGTCTGCAAGAGAAAACATTTTAAAGGGTTATTGCTGAAGCAGATGATAAACGTTCGGTTCCCCGTTTTCTCCCAAAACAGTTTTGCTCACTTGATGCAATCAGTGAAGAAGTGAGGTTTATCTGCCTGGACAATGACCACATCGAAGAAGTCTCGCCAGTCTTTTCCCACCATGTGTCTCATTCCTTTATCCCTGCACACAGGAAAAAACAAAACAAACACATTGCAACAGAACAGTTAACCCCTCATTATGGGTCAGAGTGGACTCTGAGCCGAAAGATAGCAACACTTACACAAAGCTGAAGGGACTGTTGGTAATGAGGAACAGTTTCTTTCCCTGACTGACCAACCGATGCAAAACGGCATCGGTCTCGTCTCCTCTCAGGATGAACTTATCTGTGAGGGGAAGGAGGTCGGCACGAGAGGTCACCCGTGATCGAATTGCACGTGCAGTATGCAAACTTTGGAAAAAGTCATCTTACCGAGATCCTCCATGATCCATTTGTACATGAAGCCTTTCAGGTGAACCATGCCGATCGCTTCCTGTGGATTAAATAAGAGCTTACAGACGGGCAACAGATCCACAAATGTTATGCTACACGCTGCGAGAAAAAGATCCAGGCTATGCAAATAAAAAAGGGCACCGTGTATGAAAAGGATGACGGCAATACTGTGGGCCCCTGTGGGACAAAAGAGCCGAGAGACAATGCACGACTCTTGGCCAGAGTCGGAGCCGTTGCTACAGAGTGCCAAGCTCTCCGCCCACACGCCGATTCTGGGGCATGCCGTGGCCGAGTCAAAAAGAGCTTCTGGTAAACCGGCAGGATTTTGCCAAATTCTTACCCTCGCATGCTATGATCAAGCATCATAGATACATTTATATTGAAACAGACCATTTTCCTGCTGTTGGTCTCATTTGAATATGTGAGTCATATAGAGACATTAGTATAAAAATGGGACTGACACAGTCCTACACAGTTAGTATCTCCAACAGACTTTGGTTTTGCATGTTTCCTTTTGTTCTTAAAGCAAAGCAGATGTTGTGATTGCTGCACTAGTTTCCTGTAACTGGAAACGCCGGCTCTCAGAATCAAGCAGAAAAGCAAGTATTGTCCTGTTCTTGTTCTATTCATGAGAGTCCTTGAGAAACTTTAAGTGAGCCCAGCAGATTCCTGAGCCTCCAGCTGAAGAACCCCGGAGCGAGAAAACAGTCGAACACAACGGGTCGGTACGAGGCACACGTAACATAGAAGACATTCAATACATACTGACCGAGACGTCCTTGAAGAGGTGAACTGGATCATAATCGATGCCATTTCGGATGAAAAAATCATTTGCCGCAGCCAAGAGAGTCATCTCAGGAATAGAGAAGATGTCCATGAACTGCTTCAGCTTTGGTCCCTGAGATAGGAAACACATTCCAAGGCTTGAGGATTACTTTGGGTCCAATGTTTGTTAACTTGTAATAATAACCCTTCCTAGTTACATAAGAAACCATTTTTGATAGGAATGCTTCAAGGTGAATTAGTTGTTGTTTCTGCTGCACTAAAACTATTCATCACTCCTAATGAGCCAAACCGTAGTTGACCTTTGTGACTGCCGGACTCGGGTTTCTACTTCTGTATGAAATATTGAGGGGGAATCATGATTAGAAGATTATTTTTTTGGATGCAGATTTTGCTTCCAGCTTTTGGGGACAGGAACGCTGCCTTCCAGCTGTCAACAACGCAACAAATGAGATTTAAAAATTCAACATCCCAGCTTATGCAACAGCAGACCCGGGACAGCCCACTTGGTGAACTGAACACATTTAATCCTGAAGCACGTCCCTGTAAGATGAGTTGAATCCGATGTCAAAGTCTACAAAAATAAAGGTTTTTCTTCTGTGCCAAAACCAAATGCCTTACAAAGAAAAACATGTTGTGAAATTATCTTAAACATAAAGAGCAATAACTAATAGATGTCAGGCAAATGATCACAAATCAAAGCCAAACGACTTGCTGCATTGTATCTATATTACTGTCCACTATTCTAATAAAATCTCCTCACCTTCCCATAGAAGCCGCTGTCAAGCTCCAGCGGGACATGGTAAGTCCCCCCGAAGAGCTCCAGGACCTCCTCGTCCGGCACGGGGCTCAGTCCCCTGCAGACCAACAGAAGTGCACCAAAAAATAAAAACACACGTAATATGATCAAACAAAAGACACTCAACACAGCAGCAACGTCTTACCGGTACACCGTTCCCGGCTGTATGTAATGGAAGGCATCGATCTTCATCAGAAGACCCTGCAGAGAGATTCACTCGTGATTATCGGCACTGAGGAATGCAACCATTTCTTAAGTGGGACGTTTGTGATTCAAAAAAGGCAGAGTACCTTTTGGATGTCATAGTGCAGACCCCGCACAGTGAAGTTGGGAATGTAATCGTATTTGTGGATTTCTTTCGGATACTGTCGGGCGGGAAGGCAAAACGAATCAATTCAGCCGACCAGCAGAAGTGTTAATGCGAATATACCGTCACGCAGCGAGTGTAGAAACACACCTTAAAGTGTTCAATTAGGAAGCTCTTTGCTTTGTCGTAGATCATTCCGTTGAGTGCATTCGAGTACAGCGCCAGCGTGTAGTCGTAGTCAAAGCCGTAGATGTCCACTGTGGACAGGTCGACCTCGTTGTTGGCGTAGATGGTGGAGGAGTTGAGGAGGTTACAAGCGCCTGGGGGGATCAGGTCTGAGAGCAGATGGGAAAAAACGTTAAGAATACAAAGTCAACAGTAGATGGACACAAATCAATGACTCAGTAAAAAAGAAAAGGGAATAAAAGTCTCTGGTTTCCTTTAAGAAGGGGAAGGATTAGGCAATGCAGTGTCACTAAATAAGCTGTAATATTATCTCCTGTATTATGAAACCAGCTCGGATCTGATCGGTGATCTCAGAGACTAAAGCAATAATTCCACTGCTCGTTTCAATCTAGTGAGGCTGGCGAGCTCATAGGATGTTGTGTAATGTGTGCGCTTCCAGAATGACAACAGACTTGAAGCAGAACTACAGGTAAGTACTTGCCCAAACAACAACGTTTAGACCAGCCCTTCCAAATTCAGAGTGTCCCTTTAATGTACGGCTGCACGGGATCATGGCGTGCACTACCTGTCGTTACTTCAGGAGTTATGCTGGCCACTGTTGCACACTTGATAACCATAACAGCCATGCAGCCAACGCATGGGCACGGTGGGCTCACGAGACCGCCTTACAAGCCCATTTGCTGCAATACGAGCACACGGCTGTGTGACTGCAGGGAGGCCAGCAGCTGGTCAGCAGACATGCATGTGCACCAGCCCGGGGCTATTTTATCACCGGCCTACTGAAAAAGGGCCCCAGCCATGTTTCAAAACTATGAGCTCTACCAAATAACTAGTCGGTCTGTGAGTCTTAATACACATCATGTTTACAATTCACGCTTTGCAAACAGAAATATGCTCCTCACACATACAATTTACCAAGAAGTTTGTATTAGTTACAGGGTGAAAATGGGGCCCACATTTAGAGTGTGTGTGGAAAGACACGCCCAATGCCTCCACGTGACCGGCTCTTTTGACACGTGATCGCGGGGTAAACAAAAAGGTGTAACGAACTGATAAGGTCCCAATCACATTAAGCGTCGACGCCACTAAAGCGCCCCAGCATGCAAAACAGCAGCGCCCCGCCCGCTCACATTAATCTGGACGGTAATTGCGATTGGTGGTAATAACACCGGTGTTTACCCTGCATTTACATGTCAAAATGGCTGCTTTGAACAAGGCTCATCGCGCTGCACAGAGCACATGGGACACGGTTTCACCAGGGATTAGTGTAACGAACCAAGTAACGTTAGTCATTGAAACCTAATGAGATTACGAAGCAGAAAGTATAACCCAATGTTGCAAGAGTTAAGAGGTGAATCACTATTCACGTTTATATTTTATCTGAAATGCATGAGTCATTTTTCCTTTGTTAGACTTGTACTTTATGGTATTTGATGCAGCATGTAATTCTATGACGGGGGTCTGCAGCCACATAAAGGACCATTGTTCCGTTCAAGTTCAAATGCCACGACGGAATCAGCGTAACGAGCAAAGTGAATAACGTCACATCCCGAGTTCGGGAAGATATTTACAGATTCCGAGGTTTCCGCAACTCTGAATACTTATTTTTTTCTTATGGTTGCATTTTTTATTTATTTAATTTTTGCATAAAACAGCCGCACTGTTACAGACTTCTGCTATTTCAAAAGACACTGCCAACGGCTTCGCAAAACGTTGCTTTGGAAAAAAAAAAACGATGAAAAACAACCCTGCGCGTGAACAAAATGTCTTCACCAACGGCTCAGAGGCTGGTGACGTGGAGGGCCGGCGGGCGCTTGTTTTGGAGAGTGTGGGGGTGAGGGGGTGAGGGGGGGGGGGGGGGGTGTCTCGGGGCACCCCACCTACCCCCCGCCCTCCCTCCCTCCTCCTCCTGCTGCTGCTGCTCCCCCTGCTGCTTACCGTGAACCAGCCGTTTGGTGTCATTGTACCGAGCCCACAGGTAGGACGCCTGACGGGTCGGGACCGCGGTGGACGACCGTCCCCTGGCACCGGGAGCCCCCTCGCCCTCCCCGGGATGAGGCGGCTCGCCGGAGGGCGGCACGTCGGCGCCGCTCGGCCCGTCGGAGCCGGGCCCGTAGCTTTGTTCGGGGGAGAGTCTGCTGGCTTCGGAGCCTGGCTCCCTCGCTGTCAACACGCTGCACGTTGTGGTGAGCGTGCTCGCCCTGGTGGAGCGCGCCAGCGGCGGGGTGCCGTGTCCTTTTGTCCACAGCGCGCGGACCACCGCCGCGCCCACCGCCTTGAAAGACATTTTAAACTTTGCTGCTCGCGAACCAAGTTTAAAATCTTCTTCCGTTGCAGGCTGGACGCACCGCTCGAACGAGCAGCAGGCTGGCGAAAACAACTCGTTGACTTTTTCATTTTTTGAGCCCGCCCCTCAATTTAAGCGTGACCCGGATAGACCCGCCCCTGTTGTTTAAAAGAGGGAGGGTCTTCAGGCCCCGCAGCTAATCACGGACCTCAATCTCAAGCTCCACCCTGAAGCTCTAAACTTCAGGCATTTAACTGACAGGTCATTTAAAATGTTTCACTGTTTTTATTCTCCAAACTGCATCAATGCATTTATTATTTCATGAATTATGTAATATATATAGTCTTATTTTATGTGGGGGGTTTTCTCCATCTTTAATCCTCGACGTTTTAAATGTATGCAATTAATAACAGTCTGAACACACTGTGCCATGCTCTTTGTTTACCTTTTTGTACACCTCCATGCTTTCACTAGTTATCTCCTTTTAAACGCACATTGCAATTTTATTTTTCCAAAGTCATGCAGGATCTTATCTTGTACACTGAAGAATAATGTATTATAATAACAATCTACTCTTACTTTGCCATTAAGAGCATCGTGAGAGGCGAGGACAGAAAACAGGATAAGACATTTATAAAATAAAAGAATAATACTTACAATGCAGTTATTTGATTTAATATAAGGTAGTGGCAAAGAAAAGTATAAAAGCCCATTTCCACCGCTGCAACCAAGAATATAAACATCATGACAAAACGTTTTTTATGACGTCTGAGCACCTCATGCTCTGTTATCTCAGAGTCTGCATCCTTCATTACAGCTTATTCCAGATACATGGTGCATAGAAACTAAACGTTGCTTAGTTTTTACTCTGACCGTACAGCTCACATCTCTCCCAAGAGGTCTGTAATGTAAAGTGAGTAGGTGGAGCAATAGCATCCAACACCATTTAAATGATCCACAAACTCATTATCTGAGAATATACATAAATGTTTAAAAATAAAATGGCAACACCTTCTATTCTTTTGCACTCTATATTTCTGATGCGAGGGATTTAGGGAGTGCAGAACGTGAGCAGGACAGTTTGACCAGACCAGCCGGTTCCCCTGGTTTTCCTTTTAGTGTAAGAGCGCGTGTCATTGCCTCATGTTTGCTTGTAAAGGTTATCTAAATGAACTGCTGTACTAATATGCTTTTGTTTACTTTAACTCCTCACAAGGAGATCTGGTGCTTATCAAACTTGTTCTGCCAGCTGGCCTTAGATAAAGGTCCCAGGAGTAAATACTGTATGTAGGCTAACAATCAGCTCCAGAATAAGCTGCTCCAGGAGATCAGGTTAAAAATGTTGACAGAATTTGGTATTGCTCATTACTCATTCTGTTCTAGAGTTAGTGGTAGATGCTTTAGACTAGTGGTGATGCTCTGAGACAAAGTAAGTTGGTATTCTAATGCTCTCCATTAATTGTTTGCTTTGTTTTTATTGGACTCTATTTGAAAGAGAGTTTTACCTCCTGCAGTTTGCAATTTCCTGTTAGCGCAGGGGAACATTTTGGGTGGTTTTTGCACTTTTGCAATAAATGTAGGTATCATCTGCGACTGCAGCATGATTCAGATCTCAAGGCAATTGCACCACTCATCTAGGTCTTACTCATTTTCTTTCCTTCACGGAAACATATTCCAGTAAGATAGAATAAGTGCTTTTAGCACACAGACAAAGCACATGTTCATAGCAGAAGCTTTACCATTAACTAGTAGTAGCAGCCAGCTGTGCAATCACATATCAACACACTGTAAACAGCATTCCACTGCTGCGCTTGAACTCAAAAGACCACAATCAACAAACAGTGTTGGCTTGTTTTTATTCTTCATGACTAAAGCGGTTCACAGGTCAAAGGAGATTCCACACCAAAAGTTGGGGACCATCCGATGTGTTATGCGGAGTGTGCACGTCGTCCTCTATAACAATTTACAGACACAGAAGCCAGACCACATAAATACAGTTAAAATATTATACAACAATGGTAATTAAATTATACACACCTCTGCACAGAATTAAATAGATTAAGAAATCTATTTACAACCTTTGAAGAAATATGACATATTGTTAAAGCATTTTCACTTCTTAGCCTGGAAATTCATCCTTGTGATACATAATGTTCTTTATTTTCTGCATTAATTGTTCATTAGTTAATACTAATGAGTCCATATAAGGCATGCAAGCTAAAAAGTGAATATGAATATTTAACAAAATGACACCCTCATTCAGTGCGAATACTGCTTAATGGCAAAGTAAATAAAACATTCCTTCAAAAAATAATAATTACTACTACAGTGTTGAAAAGTAGCCTTGATTTAGAAAACTCGATGTAATCCAAAACCAGACCAAATCAAAACCAAGGCACAAAAAAAAAAAAAAAAAAAAAATCAAACAAATCAGCAGGTTGTGGCCTCTTCTACTAAACCACAGGACAGTTGAGCATGATCGGTCTACTGCAGGTGAATTAAAATCATTGAATTCTAACTGCATTTAACGAGGCAGGTCTTGTTTCAGACGCCTGCGTTTGTGCTGCTGCCCTCATATCAGAGCTCTGCCATCAAACTACTCTGTAAACTCCTGATGCCTAATGAGCACATACATCATTTATCCTTCTTTGCGTTTCCACTCTTGTCGTGGAGCTCCTTATAGCAGAGCAATGCCAGTTACGCCTCTTTGAAATATTGTATGTATTTATTCTTTTTTTTTTTTTTATGTCATAATAGTCCAATAGACGCAAAGCACTGCGTAATGCTTTTCAAATAATGGGACAATATCACATTGTTCTACAAGTAGCAACTGGAACAGTAGCCGGTTAGCCCTATTAACATTGCTAACGCAATTGATGCCGCAGCCTCGGGGGGGGAGAGGGGGGGGGGAACTAGTGGGTTGTGGGTAATACCAGTTCATTACAACATGCTGACTTTGGTAGCAGACAAAAGCGGGTTTACATTAAGCGATGGAATACAAAAGAGGAACATGGTTGCTTAGTTGCTCAAAAGGAGTGAGAAGTAGCAGAAGCTGAATGGGGAACTGTTGTTATGATTATGTAGCCAAGCGAAATGCACGTGGCCCAATATGTTCGGATTTTGCTCAAATCAGAACTGGGATTCTTCAGTGATGCGGTCTTTTAAAATCAACAGCCAAACAAGGTGACTACATTTCAGCCAATGGGATGCTTGCAATGCCCAGAGAAGTTTCCAAAAGCTGCTTATGGTGAGAGAAGCCAAACCATTATGTACTTAAGTGAAGTTGAAATTCAAAACCCTTCGGGACTCAAAGGAACAGCAAGAAGCGCGCAGGCATCGCCCTGACATGGTCTGCATAGTTTTGCTCATTTAGGATCTCCCAAATCATGAATCGGATTACTCTGCCTGACCTGAGGTGGTGAACTCATGGCTGATTGATTTCCATCAACTAAAAGCATTTTCACTGACCTCCAGTTAAAGGGCGGGGCTAACGGCCAAGAGCCAAAGTGCCAGGCACGTCACAGGAACAAGAACAAAAGAGGACAAGAAACGGCACCATCAGTGAGAGGAGGAGACCTCGATACAACAGTGTGGGATTGTTAAATTATGTTAGTAAGGCTGCATTGTTCTACAAAATCAACTACTCGGGGGGGTTTATCACAGGGGATCTAATGGCTTACAGACACTAAGATACGCCAGAGCGATCTGACCAAGGATGCCTGACTAAAGGGAACAGTGTAAAGACGTACAGCCTGCGACCGTCAAATCACAGTCTGAGGACAGTAACCACTGCAAACGCTGCGCCCCCCCCCCCCTCCTTCTGGCATAAATACTGTCACTGGTTCACCACAACACACAGCAGCCTTGAACAAGACCAGAGGGACGTTGGATCCACTCGGGACAAGACAGTCACTGACTTCACGGAGCAACAAGCAGCACATTTCTCTCCCCGTCCGGCTCCCGGCTGCATGCAGGTTTCTCCGATCCGAGCAGAGAAAACCAGGTGGGAGCTTTTTTTTTTTCTTTTTTTTTTAACATTTTTAACATTTTTTTTTTCATCCATGGTTGTGGTGGGTAGACGGGGAAATGTTGCGTCATATCTGTGGGAGGTGGGAGCCAGGGAGTCAACATGAAGACAGGTCCTTATGGAGAAGAGGGAGGTTGGAGTGATGGAAGGAGTGTTTCAGCGCTACGGAGACAGGGGCACACAGAGACACAAAAGAAACATTTAATTCAAATTAAAAACAAATAATGAGGATGACAACATATAAAAAAGGATCCAAGCTACATGTACATGAGATGTATAAAAGCAAATCATAACCGCAAGAGCGTCAATCTAAACAAAATACCACAGAACAAATGTATAATAGCGTAGTACGTAGCTATGTAGTGGCAATGTACAGCTATTGAGAAAGCTTAGCTTAGCATTGAGCCTAAATCTTATCGCCTGCGGGATGATTTAGAGTGCGAGCTCCGCGGCCGGGCCGCTGTGCCCTGCGCTTTGCTAGTGGAGCCCCTACCGGCGCTGGGGAGCGATTCCTCTGTGGCTCTACTTGAGGAGGCGGACGCTCTGCGCCTAGACTCCCTGAAGGCGCCGGCCAGCCTGCTCTTCCCCGGTGGATTGTCCACGCGGAGCGATGCGGCTGCCGGGACCGCCGGGGATTCGGCGGTCAGCGGCGAAGAGGCTGCTGCGTGCGGCTGAAACGTGCTGCGAGCTGCCGCTGCTTGCACAGAGTCAGACCCGCGAGTCAACTGCTTTCCTCCTAGCGAGGTACTTAAGTACGCTTCGAGATCAGGCTTTAGTCGAGTCTCACGCCATGCTTCGGGTTTGTTAGGATACACACGCGAGGCTTTAGAAGAGGTTAGATTAGCTGTGGATAAAGAAAACAAAGAAGACTTGGGCCTGCCGGAAGAGGCCGGTACGACGCGGGTTGTGATGAAGGTGTCCTGACGTACGGGGACCGAAGACAAACCTTTCTTTGACTCCCTGACTTGTGTGTTTTTTACCGTTAGTTCGCTGGGAACAGAACTGGTGGAGGCTTTACGCGCTGGGGGGGAACCGGGACTCCACCCTGTGTCAAAAATCTCCCCTACACTGTGACTTCTAATGAAGGTGGCGTCCCGCGGGAGGGGCTTGCCCCGGCGGGAGCTCGTCTGCACGGGCCCGTCGGAGCAAAGAGAGAGAGCGGTTCTTACGGGGCTTGTGTGGAGACTCCGGGTCAAACCTCGCAGGTGGTGCGTGGCCAGCCCCGTAACGCTGCCGCCGAGCACCGGGCTGGCTCGCGGGCTGCTCCTCAGCGGGGGCCGGGCGGGGCTGTTTCGGGGGCTCCGAGGAGCCCGACCCGACTTGGTGGCCAGCTCTTTGGCCCGGGAGCGGCGGGGGCTGCTGTTCAGGCTGTGGGAAGCCGGAGGCGCCTCCAGGTCCTCCAGGCGCTGAGTGAGGGCCAGTTTCTGCTGGATGGCCATCCGCAGCAGGGAGTTCAGGGTCCTCTTCTCGTCCTCGGCGGCTGCCAGCTGCCGCTGCATCTCGTCCAACTGGGTGACGTACTGGTCGCACCTGAGAGGCGGCACACAGTCAAAAGATGCAACATGCACAAGCAGGCAAAGGCACGACGTTTACACACCAGCCGTGACACAAAGATTAGTTTCATTATTGATTAAATCAAGCAGCCGTTTGATTCGGATTACCGAATTGTTATATTTTTAAAAAAAAACTTCAAGCAAAACACAAAAGGGATCCCTTCACACAAGTTACGTTTTAGGAAAATGAAATCGTTGAATTTACTACGATATAAAATAAAGAAAATCTGGGGTGCATGTGAAGACGACGACATTAAGAATGTATCTGGACTGGACTGATAGCTTTATAAATGAATATTCCCGTGTCGTCGTTTTATACCGTTACCACTCCAGCTATCCACACGATGGCACCACATCCCCTGGTTACGGACAGGGAGATCTTTTAAGCTGTAATCTTTAGCCCGCGGTAGACCGTAGAACTCTGCTCCCCAATCCTTCTAAACGTGAATCAAATGCCAGCTCATACCGGACTGAAGTCCCAGACAGATAATGCACGCCTAACAAGCTCCTCTAGTCATTATCCTCTAGTCAAACTCCAAACAATCGGATCCACTGAAGAGGTGCGTAGTGAGTGAACAGCACCGTCCCACACAATTAAACATCCCACCCACATCAGGCATCTCCCTCGTTACTGCAACCTGGACCGAGGGGACAAATCGGTTCTTGCCTCCTCCCCCAACTGCGCGGGGCAGAGCACGTGGTTCATAATCTTCACGTGAAGCGGTGGATTGCCCACAGGCGCAATAAGCACGGTAAGCTTATTACGCGGCCGACGCTGCGCCGCAACGAGAACATGCAAAACACACGCTAAGTTAGTTCAAATTAACTTCAAAGCAAAGAACAACCTTCTTTGCCACGGGACAAAATAAGTGAAGGCGTTTCCTTTACAATACTACGGCTTACCTTGTTTTCCATACAAACAGAAAAAGCAAAACTCACCGACTGGCGAACATGACTCGCAGCGAAGAGAAGGTCGCGGCGTCCTCCTTCAGGGCTTTGAGCTCGTTCCTCAGCTTCATCATGGTCTCAGACACCATGCTCTTCTCCGTCTCGTACTTGGTCTTCAGATTGGACAGAGCCAACTCCGCGGTCTACATCGACAAGCGAGACAGTTGCACGATTAGAGAATACTGTAGCACCATTACTCCCCTCAAGTAGGGCTCTTAGAAAAGCACATTAGCACACATGATTTGGACAGAATAAACACTATGTACCATGAAGAATGAATAATAAAACCAACAAAAACACAGCTAGGTTCAGGCTTTTTGCATCAAGCCGTGCTCCACTGAATGGCACCTAGAAGAGAGACACCACTGGTTCACTGTTCTTACGCTTTTCGTAAAAAATCGGTTTTGTTGTCGATAGTGTGTTGTCATCCCGCACTGTCTCTGCTTAGACCACGAGGTGGGCTGCATGATCAAAGCAGTACGATTGGCTGGACAGTGGGGTTGTTGATAGAAGCCAAGCCTACGCCCACTTTGAGGGGTCTGTGACGGGAATGCGATACAATACAGAAATTTCTCATTTTTAACATTAAGTTGCCAAAATGGTCCTAGAAATCTGAATTGAGAGGGAGCACTTCTGTATGATTGTACAGCTTAGTAGATTAGATTACCGTGAGAGTGAGTATGTGTGTGTGTGTGTGTGTGTGCGCGCGCGCGCGCCAAGGACACGACAGAAGCAGGTCAGGCGCTGCCTGAGCCACAGGAACGGGGGAGGAGAGTTAAACATCCCGCTGTACTCAAGGTGCAGACCCACGTGAGCCCGAGGAAACGTCTAGACGAGAAGCCGCTTATGTCAAGGTCATGCGAGTATAATGGTGGCGACCTCTTCCCTTTGGTCAGGCCCTCATCAACAACGGGTGAGCGCATTGTCCATCCTGAGTGTTCAAGATGTTTTGCAGAGAAACAGAAGTAAAACTAAAATGACCACATATGAGATAGAAGTTCTCACACAGGTCTGGTTGATTGACCCTTCAGTAGAATAGAACTGAGTGACTACAGGACCCACTGTAGCGCAGCTTGCTGTGACTTACCTGCTTGTTGGCCTTGAGGACGGTCCTCAGGGTGGCAATCTGTTCCCTCTTGGTGCTCAAAAGGGACTTGAGTTTCAAAACTTCTTCCATTAGGCTTTCAGCGTCCCGCTCGGACTCCCCGCTGCTGCTAAACCCGGAGTACGGCATCGCACCCCTCTGACGACAGAGGTCCACTGCCACCTGAGAGAATACACAATTATTCAGAAAGGGGGTAAACCGGTTTGTTTCACTGGAAAAGTAAACTTTGTCTCGTAGCTTCCATTTGTTTTATAAACAGTTTATCCAAAATATAAAGTTATCAACAATGGCCTTCTTTGCAAAATATATACATTCTAACATTTATTGACAATAATGTTAATATAATAATCTGTGAAGTGAAGCTTCAGAAATGACATTAAATTGTGTGACCTCTTACCCGGAGGTGTTTGATCTGGCAACGGATGACCGCCACCAAGTTGCAGACGTTTGAAGGGTCCCTGAAGTCCAGCGTGGGGGATCCGGGGCAGCTGAGAGACTCCCCGCTGGCTCCGGCGCTATCCACCTCCCCCATGAACTGCAGCACCGACGCTTTGGAGATGAACGCGTCGTTGGCCCGCGTCTTCTTCTGGGAGTTCTGCGGCGAGTGAACGTAATGGGACCTGCGGCCACCCCCCGCGATGCCCGCCCGGGCCCCGTCGCGGTAGTAGTCCAGGGTGACTCGCTTTGGCGTCAGGTTGTTGCACACGCAGATGTGGTGGTAGAGGTTGGACAGCTCCTCGGAGAAGGCCAGCAGCTCTTCCTGGGCGACGCTCAGGTGCCCCTCCGAATCGATGGCCACCTTCCGCGTGGCTCCGATCTCCTTCTCCAGCTCGCCGATGCGCTCCTGGTCCTGCTTGCTGGACTTGATGCACTGGCGGATCTTGTCGGCCAGCTCCTGGGCCTCCGCCCGCCACCGGTCCTTCTCCTGCTTGTACCGGTGCTCCAGGGTGTTGTAGCGAGCTCCTGCCTGGGACAGGTCGTCCCGCAGCTTCAGAAGCTCCTCGCTGGCGGAGCGCACTCGAGCCTCCAGCACCTCCTTGCTCTTGGTGTCGACCTCGTAGTCAAAGACGGCGTCTCCGTTCTCCGGGTCGCCGTCGCCCGCCTCGTGCTTGGGGTGCTGGCCGCTCTGCGCGGCTTCCAGCTGCTGCGTGAGCGATCCGAGCTTGTCCTCCTGCTGACTGAACGCCTGTTTGGACGCCACCAGCTGCAGCTGCAGATCCTCCACCTTGCTGATCAGGCTGGACTTCTCCCGTTCTGCCTGGACTCACAGAAGAAACCAAATTTGATTAATTTACTGCCGCTCATTAGTTGAATAATCATCCATTTCACCCATAGTTAAATGGTTTCCATAGGGAGAAAAATTATTCTCTGACAATTTCTCCCCCCACCCCCTTTACTCGTAATGCATTTTATTATGCGAGAGCGTGGATGACCCCTTCAGCTCCACACCCCACATCTGACGGGTAGCAGCTCACTAACCCAGCCCCCAATTTAAATGCACCATGAATAATATATAAATATATCCCTCATAGTGGTTCAAGACCTTCTTAAAAGTAGCCTGTATTTGTGAGGTGTAACTGAATCCGTGTTTTAAAATAAATAAAAACAGGCTCACTCCACTGATGGGCGGGGGATGTGGTCTGAAGCAGGAAGCGGCCGACATCCCCATCGACAGCTTTGACACGCAAACCAATCTCGGTGACAACCTCACTGCGCAGCCCAATTTCTCTTACCGTACCGTGTTCCCCGTTCATTCTTCTTTTAATCACTTCCCCCAATCAAACCGTCTTAATGCATCTTTAAGAAGCTGTTGCCCACCTGCAAGAGTTGCTGCTTTAGCTTCTGGCTGTCGGAGAAGTGCAGCTCGCTCAGCAGGTCCGACACCAGCCCGGAGGCGGGAGCGCGCAGGAACACGTCGCTGCTGCGTGGAGTGGAGTAGCGCTGGATGAGGCCGTTGCTTTTGGAGCCGCCCAAGTGAGGAGGGCGAGCAGAATCGGGAGCAGAACCAGGACCATTATTAATGCCGCTGTCCTGATCCTCTCCCTCACCTTCTCCCTCCCCTCCCTGGCCCTCCTCCTGGCTGTCGTCCAGCTGGTCCAAGTGGAGCTCCAGGTTTCCCACGGATTCGAAGGGGTTGAGCGTCAGGGCGGAGAGTTCTCGCCGCAGGCAGTTCTTCTGCTCCCGCTCCTCCTTCAGGGCTTCCAGGGCCTCATCCAGCTGCCGCTCTGCGATCTCCTTCAGCCTTTCGGCCTCCTCCATCTGACCTCGCAGCTCCTCCTGCTCCTCGTTCTTGTGGGTCAGCTCCAGCTTTATCGATTCAAACTCCACCTGAAAAGTGGAGCACAATGACGGGTCTGTGTCTACGTTGCTTTGTGCTACACAATTAGGAGGAAAGGCCTCTTGAGATGATCAACACCAATGCGATTAAATCCGTTTCCCCCCAGAAAAGAAATGTAGTTTTTTGACGGGATTGACAGTAATGAGGGGCTGTTTCCAAACTGGGGATTTGATGACTCCAATAAATGTTTTCTTTTCCTTCTTAACTGTACATTTAGAACGTACATATATTCGGTACAACTTTGGCTCGCGTGAACACTGACCTGGTTTTCCTTCAGTACAGACACCTGTTTTTGCAGAGATGTGTTTTCTTCTTCTAATTCGCTGTTGTCCTGCAACTGGCGCAGCTCCCGTACTTTATATTCCTTCATCTCATCCCTCTGATGGCCCTTTTCGCCCTCCAGACACTCGCACTCCTGTAGAAAACAACCCTCGGTGAAATCAGTAGAAAGCATGACGTTGAAAGTAGCAGATTTACTGATGTTACACCACGCACAGCTAATTTCACTTTGAGAATGAGCGAATGTATTGAGCAGCGATAACATGGTTTACTTGTATGCATCAGGACTGGGTAGGAAATAATAGTATTTAGTGTGACACTAATGTGCGGATGTACTGAGTGAGCCACTATACCTTCTTTAGCTGGGTGGAGACCACCCCCAGCCTATCGATCTCTGCATGTGCGTTGCTCAGAGCAAGGCGTGCTTGCTTGAGCTCTGCCTGGACTTCCTCAAGGCGGGTTGCCATGGCAGCCTCCTTAGAGGCCGTCTCCTGTAGCAGATCCTCCTCCCGGCATTCTCCATCAGCAGCTGCACGTTTTTGGCTGCTTACAGAATCTGCGAATGCCTTTACACAAACAAAGAGGGTTTGAGGGCACATTGGAACGACCTTTGCAGGGGTGAAGGGAAATAACTCATGGCTACTCATGGAGGCAAGAAACGCAGACATCGTAAATAAAAAGAAGGGGAAACAGGACTTCACTGACCACAATCATGTTTTACCTGATTACAGGCAATACAGGTTGTTGTTGGTTGATAAGAAGATACGCGACGGAGAAACAGCAGCTTGTGCTCGTATGTAGCCGATGTGACACTATGAGAAAATCTCAAAAGATAGCACTGGCTTTTCTCTCCTCGCAGCTTGCTTTGACACATTTTGCATGAATGCCTGCGGACCTAAGAACGATCAAATGAGGGGATTGAATGATGAACATGCTACTAACGGCTGTACAAAGATTAGTGGTGTAACAGACCGGTTTGTTGAAAAAAGAATACTACGGCTGAAAGTAAAACTATTTGAATATTTTGATGGTTTACTGACTTCAGAGAGGGTGAAATTATTTTTGGGAAATTTGCACACACAAATAATGAAAATAGCGCCGAGCCTCTGAGACCATCAGCTAGGATCTAACAACAAAGGGATCTGCATCTGGCAAAGCAGAGCAGCAATAGTCTGCAGTTATTATTATTAGCTAAAAAAAAAAAAAAGATGTGCAGACGTTACATTTTCTGTTTTTTTCCTTTTGTGCTGACGGGATCGGTGACTCCGGCCTCTGATTTGATCCAAACAGTGAGTTGTATGATTCACGGCACCACTAATAATGGTGCTAATTCACAACACATGAGTCCGCTCTGCTTTCTTAAAACTCTTCCACAGTCTAATTAGGTAAACAGGCCTAATTAGTCATATGAGGTTCATGCAGATTATGGAATTGCTGAAATTCTGTACCACGACGTACTTTAAGACGTAAAGAGCTTATGAGCAGTTGTACTGTTATCCTGGCACACATTCATTTCGAAATAACTAAATGTGAGCAGGATTTCAAATGTAGGAATTCAAAAAGGTGCATTAGTAGAACAAAAATAATCTGCCCACATGAAAGGTTTGGATTTTATGGAGATGAATTAATACATAAAACTGTTTTTAAAGCTTGTTCCACCAACACCTAATTCAAACCGTAAACCCTAAAAACCAGAAAAAACATCCAGTGCAAGAATTAAATCACCAGATGTGCTGACTAATTGGCTGTAAAAGCCCTATAATCACTTAACGTTCTCCAACTGATGCCATCAGCAACAGATGACATGTTAGACAAAACTGACTCAGCATGCGATCACAAGCCACCTCATTGAAAGTATACCACGAGCTCACAGCTGTAACAGAACTGGTACTGTGGTGATAGACTGACAAAGTTACCCAAACGCAATTAAAGGATAAGCAATCAGGTAGGAATCATTGTCGTATGTCCCTGGCACATCATAAAAACAACAATGGTATGTATGTTTTTAGGACTACTTGGTACGCTGCCATGCTGCTCATCAGCTGCAAACAGAGGACGGGGCAAAGTGAAATTTGAGACGGGTTCCAAACACGTCAAACATGTTCAGCAATCAGAAGAAAGACAAGTTAAACATACGTGCATAAAATTTGGATTATAAGACCCACATTTTTCCTATCCATGGATCCACAGAGCAACTCTGTCTGCCAACTACGCAGTCCGCACTCATTCTATTTTGCATTAACATAGAAAGGAAAATAATTCTAGATTTGACAATTATTGATTAAAATAATGTCTATGCAAGTGTTTTTAGCGGGAAGTTGATCAACCGTCCCAAAAAAAGATTATTCACTGAGGCACAAATGTCCCTTTCCTAATGCAAGCCCGTTGGCCATTTATTCTGGGCTTAAACTGTGTGATCCTCCCAAACACAAGATCGGGCGAGGGATGTTATCGCAATTTGGAATTGTTATATACACACACTTGTCTTTTGTTTGAAATCATTCAAATATTTTTCTGTGGTGTGATAAACTCCTTTGCCCAGATACAGCCCAGCTGGATAACATTTACATTTGGACTTCATTTAAATTTTTCACCACCAATCTCACAGACAGAATTGTAGGCTTTGGGCGTTCCTACCTCTCTGAGCTGCTGCAGCTCCCCTTTCAGAGTCTCACACTCCTCTTCCAGGTGCCTATGTTTCTTCTTGAGAGCGGCACTCTCCTCCAGCACCACCAGGCCGTAGCGGGCGGCCTGCAGCTTCTCCTCCGTGGCCTCCTGGAGCTCCAGGGTTAGCCGCACCACCTCCGTCTTCAAATCTCCGCTCCCCATCTCCGCTTCCTCTCGCTCGGACGCCGCACCTGCCGCGTCTGCGTCCGCCTCCAGCATTCTTGCTTGGCCTCCCGATGTCCTACGGGGGACGCCTGCCTCTCTCTCACTCACTCCCCCACTCGCATTACTCTACACCACAAAAAGGAAAGAAAAAAAACACAAAGACGGTGGTTATGTATTTTAATATGTAACTTCTTAGAACAATTGCCAGGATGGGATTGGTGTAAATCAGATTGTGAAACAATAGGATGGGCTAGGACAGAACAGAGCAGGGCAGCAGTGGGCGGGATTATCTTGAATGGGGAAAACCTCCTCAAATGTCTGCACAAAAAGCCCAATTTAAACCTTCGATTACCCGCTGGTGCGGTTTGCAATCATCTAGTTGGCGGGTGTTATTGGCCCTTTAAATCTACAACTAGCACATTGCTGATATCCTCCTTTTGAAATTGACACCGGCCCCGTGGTGCTGACAGATCGATGAACGCTCAATTCCCCGCAGTGAAAAGGATGGAAATCTTAAAGTGAGGTTTCTTAATAAACATCAGCCACGTTACTTCTCTTCGGGCTGATGGCGAATGCTACCTGCGTGGTAAATATCCGGCGCTTAAAGCGTCCTCCTCAAGGTAACCTTAAACGTGGGGCGGACCTGGATTACGGTTACTTTGACCCCCACCTCCCCCGTATTGACTGGGTGGGGCAGCCTTCCCTTATTTCCTAATGTCCTCTCCTTTGACCGCAGATGGAAACACCAGCCGGCGATGTCCGGGGCCAAGTGATGCATCCCATGAGCATCTGTCTCTCCCCTGCGAACCACTTCCTCTTAGCATCAACTGAGACCAAATTTCCCTCAAACACATTATATTTGAGGTAAAATCTGGTTCCTCAATTGAATGAATTATTAACATTATTCTGTCGGAGATACAAAAACTAAAGACGACACCGACCTGAGAGCTTAGCTAGTCGGGGAGCAGTTTCAGCCCCCAGTGCGGTTAGCAAACGAAAGCACCGCGACAGCGGCGGAGTCGAACAATTGAGCTAACGTTAGCTAACTTATTGGCTTTGTCATTTGTTAACGTTAAACGTAACTGCGGGGGCTTAACGTGGTAGCTGACACCGCCGTCCGCTGCGCACGGCTCCTCCGGTAACGTCAGTCGCATCCTGTCAGGCGAGCTAATTGGCTAACGCTAGATTGCGAACTATTAGCCAAACCGGCTACTCACCCTCCGGCTTTTTTTCAAAGATGGAGATCGCCAGTTGCAGGCAAACGTTTGCCCTGTGGTTACTTCCTCCGGGAAACTACCAACGGTTGCTAATCACAATAGTAGCCAAGGGTACCAGCCCAGGTTACCGAGCGACCGCTAACCCTTCCACCCACCCGGTTCTCCGGTTTCACAGTGAGCTCTGCTGCTCTGCTGTCGAAAGCGCGCCGAAAAACGTGAAGGCACCACAGCCCCCTCTGGCTAGGCAACGGCGCGATGCATTACACCCGCATTCAATTGTCTTTATTTTCAGCGTTAGGCGGGATACATTATTTTATGGGAAATACAATAAATACAGCAGTGCAATAAATATAACAATTTTATTTCAAACCACAAACCCGAAACTAGAGAAAAATAATAACAGACGAGTGGAGAAATTCACTTCCGCTCGTGCCTGTCACTACTTCCGTTTTACTTCCGGATGATCACATTGTTGTCTGGCTGCAGTGTCCCCACCCACATGTCAAACAACGGTAAAATATTCATGCATCACAATGAAAATCGTTACCTGGAACATAAATGGCATCAGGACGTTCGGGGGCGGCATTAAAAAGGCCCTCGATTCACTGGACGCCGACATTATTTGCGTCCAAGAAACAAAAGTGACAAGTAAGTGGCGATAGCGCGGTATGACGTCAGAAGAAGTCTTGTTTTGGGAGGAATAAAACAGTAAACTCCAACATGTGTCCCCACAGGAGATTTGCTTGATGAAAGAACTGCCATCGTCGAAGGCTACAACTCTTATTTCAGCTTCAGTCGAGGACGCAGCGGCTATTCAGGTGCGTTGTTTTGTGATCATAGTTGCCCTTATTTTCTTTAAATTAGATTTAGTTTTACCCGAAAAGACCTCTTACTGGAGCCACCCGGCACTTACAAAATCCATGTTACCAATGGCCATGATACTAATGACTAATTCCCATTCCGTTCCTTACGTGCACAGGGGTTGCCACTTACTGTAAAGACAGTGCCACTCCGTTCGCTGCTGAGGAGGGTCTCACAGGTCTGCTAACCAACCACGAAGGGGCCGTTGGATGTTACGGTGACCAGAAGGACTTCAGCAGTGAGGAGCTGCAGCCTTTGGACAATGAAGGACGAGCCGTTATCACCCAGCACAGAATTATGTAACAGAAAATGAAACAAAGTTTCCCTATGGCAGGCTTTTTGCATGTTAATATTTAATGGAGATCCGTGCTCAAATTGTAGTTTTCTTTTAACTGAAATAGTGCTGGGTGCTAGGTCATTGCGGAAAACGTAACGGTTTGCCAAAGATCATGGGGGGGGGGGGGGGTCCTAATGCATGCGTAATTCATCTATTAAAGCAGCCGTAAACCATAGATGAATGTGTCTCTTTCGGACTCTGTTTTCCCCCCACAGGTGTGGGGAGAAAGAGAAAATGGTTACTGTAATAAATGTATACTGTCCTCGAGCCGACCCTGAAAAGCCGGAGCGAAAGCAATTCAAGCTGCAGTTCTACAAGCTGCTTCAGTGTCGGGCTGAAGCTCTGCTGAAAGAAGGGAGGTGAGACTTTACACAGTTTTTACATCTTACTTACTTACTGCTTAGTTACTCTTTGAGTTAATGGTTTCTCTTTACAGCCACGTGATTGTTTTGGGAGATGTGAATACATCTCACCGGCAAATAGACCACTGTGACCCCAGCGACACTGTGAGTTGGGAACATGCTTCATCAATATCTTGCCGAAAGTAGGAGAAAATTGAACTGTCATGTGTATAGTAGACAGGAACATTATCTTAGTTTATGATTAGATACCGAAACAGGAGTTAACTATTAGCAAGGCTCCGACCAAAGGTTACGAAATCCGCTTACCATTAGCGTTACATTTCAAGTGCCTAACTTGAATAATAACAAAAGAAGTAAGCAACCTTATTGTGGCAAAAACAATCCTTAACATAATGTAAAAAATTATATAATATTAGTTTTAAAAAGTCTGCCAAATATGCAAATAACAGGCTTATTAATAATAATAATGAAACTACCTTCTTTGTTTTTCTCACTAGGATGATTTCAGTGAAAACCCTGGAAGGAAATGGCTAAATTCCTTTTTGCACAGTGGCAGAGAAGAGGGAGAAACGAAAGAAGAGGAGCCCAATGAAGAATCCGAGGTAACTTCCTCAGAAACAAATTGCAGTGGAAAATTCGTCGATACCTTTCGCCTCTTCCACCCAACCCGCACCAGCGCCTTCACCTGCTGGAGCACCCTCACCGGCGCGCGACAGACCAACTACGGCACGCGCATCGACTACGTATTCGCTGACTGCCGACTGGCCAAGGAGCAGTTTGTGGCAGCCGACATCATGCCGGAGGTGGAGGGGTCGGACCACTGCCCCGTGTGGGGGCGGCTGAGCTGCTGTCTCCTGGCCAGCTCCAAGCCTCCGCCCCTCTGCACGCGCTACCTGCCCGAGTTTGCCGGCAAGCAGCAGACACTCTCCCGCTTCCTTGTTAAAGTGGACCAAAGGTCAGCTGCGTGGGAGAAGAGGGATGCATTACCCGGATCTCAGGAGGAGGGGGAAAAGAGGGAGAATTCTAACCCGTCCGGAGCGGGAAACGCCTCCGGCAAAAGACGGTCCTCGACGGCAGACTCTGTTGCGCCAAAGGGGAAGAAGACTAAGACAGTAAAGACTTCTCCAAACCCGCAGGGGAGCCTCCTGTCCTTTTTCAAACCCAAACTGGCAAATGCTTTTCCCTCTACCGAGGCCCCTCTGAAGCAGCGTGTGGGAAAACCCCTCCGAGTGACTCCCTCCCAAGAAGCGCCGCCGCCGACGGGACCTTTAGCCGCACGGCACGCTGCGGGGAACCCGGAGGCCAAGAAAGGGCCGGCGCCCTCGGGGTTTTGGAAGTCTGTTTTTCACGGACCGCCACCACCGCCCTCCTGTAAGGTCCACGGGGAACCCTGTGTGCTTCGCACCGTGAAAAAGGAAGGGCCGAACGTGGGCAGGCAGTTCTTTGTGTGTGCCCGTCCTCAGGGACATGCCTCCAACCCCGAGGCTCGCTGTAATTACTTTACATGGGTTGACAAGGGCAAGTGACGTGTGTACTTTGTCCCCCTGCTCAAACAAGTACTGTAAGACTACTGCAAGGATGTCTCGTCATTGGAACAATTTTATTTGATTGTTTTTTTGTCTTTGCTAGAAAAAATAATAAACTATTTTCTTATAACTTTGAGTTCTAAAAGGCTTTGTTAGTTGATTTGCAGAGAAGAAGCTAAATATAATCAGGTTTCAGTTTTTCTTTGTGAGGATTTGCACCATTTTTATTCAGTTTTATCTAAACAATTTGGACAGGTGGATATATGTATTGGTTTAGTCTGAAAACCGTTTTTATTATAACAGATTCAATGTGATCAGAGGTTTTCTTTAGCACCGTGGTGTTTGTGCCCACTAGATGGAGTAGGTATTGGCCTCATGGTGCAACGCTGAAGCACAAAGAAAAAAGGAAATTGTTACTTCACAGAGCATCAAATTCTATCTACTGACACCAGAAGCGTCACCCAGTTAAAATATAACCACTGTAATTTATCTCAAACCAGGATGTGGTTTTCATTCATCAGCTTTGGACATTTACCTCTCATTTAAATATAACTTTAGATCAAATAAAATCTTCCCTGGGTAAAATGCCAGCATGAACATTGACAGTTGCTAAAACATACAGAGTTAGTCCCGAGTAATGATGTAAGAAAAAGGGGCCACGTGTTTGCTGCTCAGGAACAGGGAGTGGCCTGTAGGTTTGTGACATGGCACTGCTCCCGCCTTCTCTCTCATTTCTTTCACTGGTCTCACGGCTCTCAGGAACTTCTTTACTTACATGGGAAGCATATTTGTGACGTAATTCGGCAAACAAGTTTCCCCTTTTCTCCTGTCGCTTCTGTCTGGACTGAGGACATCCATCTGTGGGACTGTTTCCAGAGTGGTGAGTGCCAGACAAAGGCCGGCAGGCCCGCACGATGCAGATGCTCCAGCAGTTGGGGCCATTGCTCAATTTCCTCCCTGCACACACATGGGGAAATACTTAAGAAAATAGCTGTCACTAACTCCAATGAAACGGTACCGACAGCAGCGATGTGGCTAAAATTCTTTTCAGCCGGTTTCTGCTCAATTCTTTGAGTCCTGAGAAACATCAACGCTGTCTTTTTGTTTGACATGCTGGCAGTTTTTTCACACTCACTTGCAATGGGAGATCCTCATTTGCCACATACAAGTATGTAGATGTACATGTTCTGGATCACATGTTTAGCTGAAGCTCATTCATGGTTTCACTTTCCCGACGAGTACGGGCTTTGATTCTCACTCATCGTCTCACAAATGGCAACAAATGTTTCCTTTTTTTAATGATATCCAGCTTTCTAAAAAACAAAAAAATGTATCAAATGTTTCTCAGAAGGTATGAACACCGGCCATAAGTGTACCTGAAAACAAGAAAGAACACGTTTTCCAGTAGTGTGTTTGTGTCGTGGTGAGATAAAGAAAACGTGGGTGTTTCACGGGCGTGCTGACAAACCCGGTATCTTAGTCGAGTTGAACTTTATCAGCCAACGGAAATGTGGTGCCTGAGAGGTGGAGGAGGTTGTGAGCCGAACGAGCTCGAGGTGGAGCGCGTCTCGGATGACATGTCCAACCGGTGTGTCGAACCGCACACGTACGCGCGTGCATGTCCACGTGCCTTCATGGGATCAAGTGTGCATGCACGATGTTTCCGCTCTTGAGCACAATCACATGTGGGCAATCTTAAAAAAGCACCTAACTCCTAAGCTAATTACCATCACGGTGACTTCCAGCAGGATGCAAACTGTCAGTGAGCAGCAGTGTAACAAAGCCCCCCCTCAGTTGTCCCCCACGCCCCCCAGTGATAACATGGTAGTTGGTCTCCAGTGTGAACCCCAGAAGCTCTCTGCTGATTTCATTGGTTCCTGGGATCTCCTGTAGTTTTAAACCGCTGACTACAGGCAATCGATTCACCTGCTTGGATTGAATCACTGGCCTTTTTTCAGGTTGGACACCTGCTGAGTGGATCCACTACAGGTAGAGTCACACCTCCACAAAGGGTTAAATGTGGGTGTTCTTCTTTCCCGCTCACTCCTCCTAGCCTCTAATCTCTCTCACTCTCTCCCCTCCTCACTAACAAGGAGCTTTGGAGAGACTCATGAGGACGGAGCTGTACATAAAACATTGGGAGGATTGGAAAAATTGAGTTAACTTCCACAAGGATTCATTCTTGTCAATAATCAGAGGAGAAAACTTGCCTTGTTCTTGACCACGAGGGTAAGTTGCTGTAAGATGTGTGTGTGTGTGTGTGTGTGTTCCAGATACTGAGGAAAGGAAGTAAGGAGCTGTCAATAACGAGCGGGTGTTGCGTCAGGCAGGAGCCATGTGGGACTCACCGCTTGGTCGCAGCGCTTTAGTAATATTCACTGGGTTTAACTTTTAAACGTTAACAACAAGATTCTTATGGAAATATGAATGTCATATTCATAAAAAAAGGTTGTAATCAAAACAGTTAGTAAGGGGAATGAAGTGGGTTGTTTGGAAAACAAAGGTTGTTCAGATAGATGGAAAGTGCAGAAGCACTAGTTTTATTACACTGTTTTACCGTTTGCGCGAGTCGCCCGCGGGGCCCGTTGGAATATTTAACTTGGGACCAGTTTGTGGTTAAGTTTCTCTATCTCCCCCATTCGTGAGAATGCAAAGAATGTTCCCTTTGTATAACCTGAAATGGGGGAAGAGTGGTAATAAGTCCTTCTGAAGTAAATGTCATTTTGTTACTGGCATTTCGTGGTTGTGTGCGTTGGGTGTGAACCGTGGGGGAGAATTTGTTTGTTATGTAGCTAAAGAAAGTCGTCCAAACCAAATTTGACCTGAGGCCGGTATGCAGGGAAGCAGCTCGGTCCAAATAGCAGCGGTTACACAGGAAGCCTTTGTCCGTCTCCACGTCCCACTGCTACCAACCAGCAAGCCGGATGACTTATTGCAGCTCCACAGGCCCGCCGATCATCAGAAGAAGAAAAAGATCTAGCTTTGTGTGAAAGTCTTAAGGAATGGCGCAATGCAGTGCCAGCGTGCCCTCGGGGGGGGGGGGTCCGAGGTGAAAATCCCGGGGGAGGCAGACTGACCCGCAGAGGAGGAAAGGATCCCATGACCCCGTGTCAGCAGCACTGACCTACGCCGGTTCCCAGCAGTCCGTCCACGCCGGCTTTGTGTGTGTGTGTGTGTGTGTGTGTGTGTGTGTGTCCCACAACAGATTAGAGGGACATAAGTCCTCTGACAACGTTTGTTATTTAAAGACCTTCACGTCGAGCTTTAAATGGTCGACGTCCCGATTTGCCGGAATTTTATCTAAAGGGATTTTTTTTGGCATCGGCAAAAGAAGAAAAGCAACGCTGTTCTTGCTCGTGTCCCAAGACTTTATAAATAGGTCGGCTCTTTTAAAACCACATTTCTGTGCTGCAGTCACAGTCATACTCTGTGTTTCTTCATGCCGTCTTCCTTGTGTTCAAGTTTGTAACCTTTATAAAGCTTATAGCAGTCTGCCGTCTACACTACACTACTCGATATTTATACATCAACACGCCAACACCGTACATCTGTCTCATGAAATTAATCTGTGTGTCACTGTTTACTGTGAGATCTTGTTAAAGTTATAAAAGGTCGCGTGCAGAGGTCGTGCTGAGTGCGGTTTTCTTTACAAAAGGATAGAAAGCTGGCAACATCGGTGCATGAAGCTTGTGTTTGTTGTGTGAAAACAATCATCCCAGCTGAACATTTAACCAAATCCACGCACAGGTAAACCGTCAAATCAGGTGTTAAACATTTATTGAAACCAAGTGTTTCTTTCTAAACCTGCAGCCAGGGGACAGATTGAGGTGGATCTCTCTGGAAACAACCACAATGGAGCTTCAGAAAATAAATGGACACAGCAGAGAAGATGGGTGAGACGAATGAACAGTAATTACTGTAGTTGAAATATTTGTTTTGTTTTTTTTGGCCCTTTCCAACCAGTGATTTTTATCCCATTGCAGGTTCGACGGGCTGGACGCGATGGCCGAACACGACGAGTTTCTCCCACATAAACCTGGCGTCAAGAAAGAGAGCCGCTTCACAGATGTGAGAGCCCGTCAAATCGATTTGCTGCAGCTAAATCCGATACAGTAATTGACTGTGACGCTTTTGATGGGTTCAAAGCAAAGTCATTTATTTGTGTAACTTAACCTGCTGTGCTCCTCCTGCAGTTCAAGGGGAAGACTTCTTTTGGCATGTCCATCTTTAATCTCAGCAACGCCATTATGGGCAGTGGAATTCTGGGATTGGCTTATGCGATGGCCAACACTGGAATCATTCTTTTTCTGTGAGTAACGCAGTCCTCCTTCCTCCCCCTGAACGCTGCGCTGTGTTTGTCAGTGTGCCTGTGTGTGTGTTTCCGCCCGCATTGAGACGTGTACTCGCTCACAGTAAACGTGTGTGAAGTCGGGATGCTGGACAAGTCAATGTCCACATACGTCCAGAACTCAGGGGCTCTGTTTCTCTCCGTCCACCTCTGTAAGCTGCAGGTGTTGTACTGTATACAAACACACACACACAAGCCTGACCTGTCAGAATGTACATTAGAGCTCATACGCAGGCAGGCGTCCTAAATCTGATTTAAGTGTTTAAAAATAGCCGGCGGTGATCAGATCCAAGACACGACCGCCTGGATCAGTCCTTTGCTGTGTGGCAGTGGGAGGTGGAGGCTGCTTTCACCGTCTGTCATCGTTTAACGTACCGAGCAAAGATAAGAAGAAGAATGTTTGGCGGCCAATCTAAATGTTGTCTTTTGTTTGTGTTCATTTTAGATTCATTGTATTTCCCAAATCTTGTTTTTTATTCAGAATCCTGTTGGTATCCATTGCCATTCTGTCTGCGTATTCAATTCATCTCCTGCTGAAAAGTGCTGGGGTCGTTGGTAAGCCAAGCCGTGGTATTGCAGTTTTTGGGGGGCTGCACTGAACATATATGCGAAGGCACATGTCAGAGATTATTTCATAAAAGACTTAAGTTGATTAAAAATGAAGCAGTGGAAGTTTTTTTTTGACCCTGGCCTGAAGTCACTGCCGTGGTTCGGCCTAATTCTCAGCCGATGCCGCGCTCACGACTCATCACTCTCTAATGTGTATAATAATGTTTTTTTAGGCATCCGGGCTTATGAGCAGCTCGGGAATCGGGCCTTTGGGGTGCCGGGGAAAATACTGGCCGCTTGCATTATTACAGTGCACAACATTGGAGGTACACAATCGTCGCGCTGCTTCCTCCCTTTCGTGTCACAGATGTGTTCGATCTATTAATGTAAGCTTGTGCTAACAGCGGCTATTTTCACTTCCTCTTCTTAGCAATGTCCAGCTACCTCTTCATCGTCAAGTCTGAGCTGCCCCTGGTTATTGAAGCGTTCCTCGGTGAACAGGTAGACAAGGGGTGAGTGTCCACGAGGTATTCAGACAAAGCTTCATGTGCCGTTTCAGGGTTTTTTCTTTGTTTGCCGATGAACTGATCCCCCCTCCATCCGTTTGTCTCCCAGAGAGTGGTTCTTGGATGGAAACTACTTGATCATGATTGTCAGTGCTGCCATCATCCTCCCTCTGGCGCTCATGAAACACCTCGGTATGTTTTTCATTCTGTTCTCGTCTTTTTCCTTTCGCCCCGCGTCACTCTGCGTGTCCACTCCCGCGTTTTTTGTTGAGCTTGCCTTTGTGTGCTGTATTGAAATGAAAGGTCACCATCACTTTTCAGCATCTATAAATCATTCTGCAACGTGTTGTCACCCTTGCCCCGCAGGTTACTTGGGCTATACGAGTGGCTTCTCCCTGTCCTGCATGGTGTTTTTCCTCATCTCGGTGAGCTTCAGCCAAAGACACATAGAACACGCGGCTCGTTTCCGACGCGCGTCTTTGATTAACCGACCGGTGTGTCTCCCCAGGTCATCTACAAGAAATTCAACACCTTCTGTCCGCTGGCGAATGCACATCACAACGCCACTGCCGCTGCTCTTCTTCACACTGCCGCCAGTGGGGCGAACGACACCTGTGAGGCCAAACTGTTTACCGTCAACCCGCAGGTACGACAAAAAAAAAAGAAATGGATCGCTGGCTGGATCTTTATTTCACCGCGATAAGCCCCAACAGCATTAAGGCATGTTGTGTCAACAGCGGGAACGGGAAAAATCCTCGTGCAGATGTTTTCAGGGGTCGCTCTCTGACTTTTGCCCTGTTTGTCTTGCAGACGCCGTACACCATCCCAATTCTGGCCTTCGCTTTTGTCTGCCACCCGGAGGTGCTGCCAATCTACACTGAGCTACGAGAGTGCGTCAGAATGCGGCCTTTGCGATTTCACCGAACGCTGAGGTTTAAGGGAAAGGGAAACAGTCATGGTCTTGCTTTTCTTTACCCCAGTGCCACCAAGAAACGGATGCAGAAGGTGGCCAACGTCTCCATCCTGGCCATGTTCGTCATGTACCTGCTCACGGCTCTGTTTGGTTACCTGACCTTTTATGGTGAGACGCTACGGCTCAAAACGAGTGATTTGCCAGTGTCGTGAATGAGGAAAGAGCCCACGGGATAACGGGTTGTTTTGTGCGTAGGTGGGGTGGAGTCGGAGCTGTTGCACACCTACAGTCAAGCGGGCACGCTGGACGTCCTGCTCCTCTGCGTGCGCGTGGCCGTGCTGGTGGCCGTCACTCTGACCGTCCCCGTGGTGCTTTTCCCGGTGAGACACCCATCACCACGAACACTGTCTATTAGGATACACAACATACTTAACGTACATGAGCAGACTCAGATGAAATCTTCTTGAACCTTCTTACAATAGATGCAATGCAACTTTTCTTTAGAGAAAATATCAATCCTGAATGAATCTTTAAGATAAATTGAATCTTTCAATCGTTCAATGACACTTTGCCTGAGGTGATAAAACAAGATCACCTTTTACTTTCATGTAGTTTTGTTTATTCTGGGGAAGAATATGAGGTGTTGAACCGTTTCCTTCCTCCCCCCTTGTAGATCCGCAGGGCTTTGCTCCAGATCTTCTTCCCCGAAAAGCCTTTCAGCTGGTTGGTACACATCGGCATTGCCTTTTGCCTCATCTTTGTGGTCAACTTACTGGTTATCTTTGTGCCCTCCATCAAAGACATCTTTGGCCTCATCGGTACGTGACCGTCTGGTTTGGGCTTTGCAGCACATTTTTGCGGGGGGAACTATAAAATGTATAAAGTGTGTAACCTCTTTTCCTCATCTTTCATCTTCAGGAGCCACATCTGCGCCCAGCCTCATCTTCATCCTGCCTGGAATCTTCTACATCCGTATCGTTCCTGAAGACCAGGAGCCACTTCGGTCCAGACCCAAAATTCAGGTACATCTCAGTCCCTTCAGCCCTTGAAAATAAATCTACTTTTTAATTCAATTTTGAATGTGTCGTTGACGCAAAAGTCCTTCTTGCTTCCTTCCGCCCCTGTAGGCCGCCTGCTTTGCTGCCCTGGGAGTCGTCTTCATGATCACCAGCCTGACGTTCATCATCATCGACTGGGTGACCGGGGCGTCTCGGAGTGTCGGCGGCCACTAGCAGCGGAGACGCAACCAAACAGAAAGCCAGACCACGTTCTCCCTGTCGGCACATTACCGCTCACCTGGTCACACAAAGCCAAAATAGGAAAGCTCGGTCGCGCAAGACGAAGAATACGAATTCGAACCTTCGACAACAAAAAAAAGAAAGCATTTTGACATGATATGAGGAGGTACAAAGCGATGTGCTCTGACTGAATGAAACCTTTGTCACGCCTCATGGTAATAAGCATGTCGTTTGGAGGCACGTGAAGAAAAGCAAAAGACGGCAAAAAAGATGAATGGGAACAACGTGACTCAAACGGAAATCCCATTTTAGAGTATGGATGTGTACGGTTCCCTTGGAATAACTCAGTCACTGCCAAAGTCCTCCAATCTACTTCCCCAACAACTCACATTTCACGGACAGAAATTTCAATAAACTTCACAGATTCACTATCAAGTTTTACCCGCAAGCTCCACACTAACCATTGCTATCCAGCAAAACGCGACATTTAATGACGTTTACATTGATGTTACTGATGTGGATTTTGTGTAAATATATTCTGACAATAACTGTTGTAGAAGTGATTTCACTTTTTAGAACAATCCAACGGACACGGTGCAATTCTGCTTTTGTTTGGCTGCTGCTCACAAAGGTCAACTGTCGTCTGCGAGTCAACGGAGATGGAGGTTGTTTGTGCGATTTTTTTGCAGTCCTGAAACACCAAAGAATATAATATTGTATCGCATCGAAATAGGGTTTTCTTTTTCTTTTTTTACAATGTTCAGCAAAGGCCAATAAAAAATGTGAAACGTTAGGATTTTAAATGCTCGGCCTGTTTTAGCAGTGTCATAAACGGTGGGGTACAACCTGTGCGTTCAATGGGTTTTAAGTTCAATTGAAGTCTGTTTTCTCTTATGTTTTGTTATTTTGTCTTTAAAATTGGACCAAAATATATTTTGACTTTTGTAATTCATCCTGTACATTTTTAAGTTAATATGAGTGTTGCTCTCTGTCAATAAAACATGTCCTTCCTTTGTACAAAAGTTCAAAGGAAGTTTGGAAATGAAGTGCGTTAAACTGCTCTTGCTGTTCGTTGAGCGCACTCACAGGAGGAGGAGAGCGACGACACCCTGCCTCCCCCTCTGAACATGGAAGTAGCACATTCATTTGTGCGCCGGAGAGAGAGAAAGAAAAGTGGGGGTTAGAGAAGTGCGGTTGTGCGTTTCCTGCTTTCAGTCGGTGTGTGCGTGTGTTTGTGTGTGTGTGTGTGCAGAACACAGAAGAGAAACTTCCTCGACTAGAGCTCAACGGACGCCTTTTTTCACATGCTGTCCACATGAATTCCAAATAAACCGGGGGAGACGCGCCAGAGGGACCATGAGCCGTGGATCTAAAGCAAAAACAGAAAGCGTCCGGAGCTCGCTGCTGAGTTCGCAGGAGAATGAGCAGCTGGAGGAGCTGATGGGCAGAAGATGTGCTGTAAGTTCTGAGATGCTGCCCCCCGTCCCCCTTCCTCCTCTGCCGTCCATAGCCCACCGTGGGACATGATAAGCCGTGTTTGTTCAGACTCGTGTCCTGACTTTTGGAAGAGTTTTGTTGTGACAGAGAAATAATGCTAGAAAAAGGTCAAAAGTCTCTCTGTGTGTCTGCCTCATGGTGGTTGAACATCCTGAATCTAGACGAGCCCACTCGACTGTCGAACTCTGCTCTCACACGTTCACATTCGCCGCATTCTGTTAGATTCTCGACTGATGTTTTAGGAATTGTACATAATCAGGGCAATTTAAACTCCAATTTTGACTTATCCGCAGGAATCCACCGCGCTGTCATGCCGATGCCGCTGACATTAGGTCATCAACAAAAAAAAAAGAGGTAGCTGTAACAGGAAATGGTGGCTGAACCATTTTCAAAATTACACTTTATTGTTAGGTTTACATGTAAAGCAGAGCAGAAGTAGCTCTGTTCCTGACTTTCTGTAAAGCCACCGAGACGCGCATTCTGCTGGCAGATGTGTCCGCCTGGCTAACAGCAAAATAGCTTGTCGGCGGAAGACTGCAGGGGAAGTGAATCGTCACCACAAAACTGCACATTTGCATGCGATCTGCAATAAAACGCTCTCAGGCGTCCCCGGCTTTAAGTGTGCGTTTGTGTGTTCACAGTCCACAGCCACTGCGGTGGCCCAGCTGTTCATGGCCCTGCCTCACAGCCCCTCCGCGTGGAGCCTGCAGCACACCGGGGTGCTGTGCTTCATCAAAGACAGCTTCCAGCGCTCCTACTTCATACGGATGTTTGACCTGAAGGTGAGACGGCTCGGCCGCTTAAGGCCCACCTTAAGCTGTCAATCACATCGCCGCGTGAGGCGTTGAACTGCAGCAGACGCAAAATGTGAGCGGTTTTCCTTTAAAGAGTTCAACCTTCAGCACGTTTCTCCACAGACAGGGAGGATGGTTTGGGAGCAGGAGATCTACAACCAGATGCTTTACTCCTCGCCGCAGAAGTACTTTCACACCTTTCCCGCGGACGTAAGCACGGCCTCGATCGACCTCTCGCTGCAAAATTTGGGGTTTGGGTTGATTGATTCGACGCCCTGATCACTAGGTCACACATCTTTGGAAGGATCGCGTACTGTTGCTAAAACATTCCTTGTCTGTTGCCTCACGCGGACGCAGGACTGTCAAGTCGGCCTGAACTTTTCTGCGCAGCAGGAAGCAGAAGCCTTCCAGGACGCTGTCGAGGAGAAAATCAACCAGAGACAGAGCCGTCAGGGTCAGAAAGGTCAGACCCACACCGCTCGGATGAGTATTCGTAGCACGAACGTTTCCCTGCTAATAATACTTCCAGTGAACAGAAAATATAACACGCAGACGATGTTAAATAATCATCAATTGGCAGTTGATTAATAAACTCTTGAATCAAAATTGAAGAGAAATATTTTAACGGCATTTGTAGCTGAATAAATATGTTATTATGGTTTGGTATTACGTCTCAAAATGGTTTCTCTCACTTCCTTGTTGTTGACAGAAAAGAAACAGCGCCCCCTGCCGCCCAGTGGTAAAATGACAACAAATTCCAGGACCGAATGATTTAATGAATCCCATATTAAACGTCACAAACTATAAGAGTAAACGTATTTCTCTCTTTCCCGCGCTGTAGATAGAGCTTCCCTGCCTCCACCCCCACCAGAAAAAGGTGCATAAATGTTTTCTGACTGTAACTTTTTGCCACCAGCGACGACGTGTGCAATGAAATAATAACCACACTGCTTGTGCTCCGTCTCTCCAAGCGTCACTTGGCAGCCCCGGTTCTTTTCAAATGTCCACTGTGGAGATCCCGAACCCGGACATCCAGTCTTCACGCTACCGCTCCATGCCTTCGCCCACTGCTTCCTTAAGTCTCACCGGCAAAGGGAAGAAGAACAAGAAGAAAGACAAAAAGGCGCCCAAGTTCTCCAAAGCAGACATCGGTGCACCCAGCGGATTTAAGTGAGCGTTTGCCTCGATGTCACACATTGAAGTGTAGGTAACAACGAGAGAGGATTGGGTTTTACTGAGTCTCCTTTCGGTCTCCTTCCTCGTCAGGCACGTCTCTCACGTCGGCTGGGATCCCAACAACATCGACCCCGACCTGTTGAATCTGCTCTCCCAAGCCGGAATAGGCGAAGATGAGATGAAGGACGAGAAGACCTCCCAGCTCATCTTAAACGTCATCGAGCAGTCCGGGGGCATGGAGGCGGTCAAGCGGGAGGTGAACAGAGGTCAGGATGGCTCTCCGTCGATTGGTTGATTGGCTGACGTGGTCTTCTACGGCTTCGGTTTATTTGCCGTGCATGTTTTGATTTTTTCACAGCTGGCGGACCACCTCCATCCGGGAGACAGGGGCCTCTGCCTCCTGTGCCGGGCTCCTCCGCCCCCGCCCCTCCGCCCCCACGAGGCCGCTCCGGCCCCCTGCCCCCCGTCCCGGGCCAGTCCTCTCGGGGGCTCCCGCCTCCTGCCCGAGGAGCGTTGCCACCCCCGCCTCCGGCAACGAGCAGAAGTGGCCTTCCGCCGCCACCAGCCCACTGCGCACCTCCTCAGTTCCCCTCAGCGCCGCCCCCGAAGGCCCCCAACAACCTGCCTCCACCCCCTCCGCCGAGCCAGCAGCGCTCCTCGGGTTTCCCACCTCCTCCTCCTCCATCTACACCGCCCAGCAGAGGCGGTGGAGGGCCACCTCCTCCTCCTCCTCCGCCACCTCCACCACCCATTTCTTCAAATTTCCCACCTCCCCCTCCTCCTCTCACCGGGGACCTGCCACCACCACCTCCCCCTGCCTTCAGAAGAGGAGGAGGATGGTGGTGGTGGTGGAGGAGGAGGAGGAGGAGGAGGAGGAGGCGGAGGCGGAGGAGGAGAAGAGCCCAGAGGAGCTCTGCTGGATCAGATTCGACTGGGGAAGAAGCTCAGAAACGTAAAGCAAACTTCTCTTTCTTAAGTCTTCATCGACACACGTCTGAGGCAGAGGTTTGTGTTTACATCATTTTGTGTGTTCCAGGTGATAGACAGTCCCGACGCGCCGGCACCGGAGTCCAGCGAGGGCATCGTTGGCGCTCTCATGTCGGTCATGCAGAAGAGAAGCAAAGCCATCCATTCCTCGGGTAAATATTGGAGCATTAATTGTAGCCAACGTCGAGGTAGAGTGGAAGGAAAAGGACCCACACGTGTTTGCATCTGTTCTCTCCGCCAGATGAAAGTGAAGATGATGGTGGGGATGACGATGAAGACGACGACGAATGGGACGACTGATGAAGTTTGTGTCGATTTTGAACTGATAGAATTCTTAATTGTAATACTTGAATTTCAAGTTTAATAATAAAACTGGAATGTGACTTGAGGTCAAACGAATTTAATATAAAAGACTTGAAAGTGAAAGAAAAGAAGTTTGAGAGTTTTGAAACGTTTTATATATTTGTTCAAACGTTCCAGTGTAGGTTGATCCTGATTAAAGCACTGTGATACTCACAATGACGTGAATGGTGACTCCGACTAGAAAATAAATCTTGTTTGTTACGCTTCCACTTAAAAGAGCAATTTGTAAAGTCTGGAAATACAGCATATGACAAAACACCAACAATCAATACTACATCTGAGCCAGTTCTATTCCCAGTCTTATAATAACATACTGTACATAAAAAAAAGTCATTTTTCATTACCTCATACATCTGTGCAAAGATCCCAAATTCCCTTGAATACAAACACCGACAAAGTGCATAACTGGAAGAACACTGTATGCTAAACATATCCTCAACATACTAAAGCACAGGACAGTAAGGGAGTCATTATATGACAAAACCAATGGAATTAGTTCAACAGAATACTTTACACCTTACAAACATTACACACCAAGTAAAATGTACAACTTGCAACAAACAAAACATATGCATGCAACATATGCATTTTTATCAACTTCATACAATACTAGTGTAATCCAATGACAATATATATTATATTCACAATCAATATATTACATTTCTGTTTCAAGGTACTTGACAGTACCATACCTGTGGTTCTGCATGTCGAAGCCTAGTAACTACTATATGTGATCAATCTCGACGAGCGGCCTAGTTTAGAAAAAGCTTCTTTGTCTGAGCTGTCGACCATCTGAGAATCAGCTGACGGAAAATGTCGGATATCGCAAGTTCTAAGAAAAATTACAGTAAGCAAAAGAATGATGTCGGGAAAACTACTTTTTGGTTGTTTTAATTTTTTCTTTGCACTAAAATCAATCTTCCATGCTTCTCAAGTTAAGGATGCCGGGGTTTTTCCCAGAAGCACCTAAATCATGTTAAGGTTTAAAATCATCCCTACGATAGGTTGAAATAGGGAAAAATATAAGGGCCATATTTTTTTTTTAATTCCCATTATGAGAATAAAATGTGAATACCAGTGTATGCGCTGACACTAGCAGATGCTTTATTTACGGCTGACCAGAATACTCCTCTGACACATCTATGAAATGATTTGAATGTCAAACTACCACAAGCTAATACCCAGAAAATAAAATTCTTGGGGAAGTGGTCACAAATACCCCTAAAGTATACACAATAGGATCTCCTGCGGGCTGACACTTAGGAAACCACAAATATAGTACTTCAGCAACAGCATGACAGCATCACCTGCCTGATGAACACAGAGGTGACACACAAACATGCATGTCAAACACAAAAGTCCACCGTAAAAGTCCACACAGGCCTGCGTTGGACGCCGCCCGCTCCGTCCTCTAGCCGAGTCCTTGGTCCTGGCCCTCCGTGTGCCTGCGGCTGGTGCGCTTGCGCTGCTGCTGTTTGGGACTGAGTTTCTCCCAGTAGGACTGGCAGTACTGGTTGATCAGTCTTATCTCCGGCGGGAAAGGCGTGGAGACGAGGGGAGACTGTTGGTGGGGCCCCGCTTTGAGGGTCTTGGGCTCGTCGTCCTCGCCGTCTTGAGCGGTGAGGGCTAAAACGATGTCTCGATCCAGGATGCGCAGCGCCACGCGGGCCACCGTGTGCTTGAAGTTGTTCTCGGTGGCGAGGCAGTGGTACAGCCCGGCGTCCGATTGGTTGAGAGATTTCAGCAGGATGCCGTGGTTGGTCTTGAGAACACCTCCGGCGCGGGTGAGCTGCACAAAAGGGAAGGAAACAGCAGGAGTCTAAGAGAGGGAAGTTGAAGAGTTGCAGAGTGTTTATCGCTCGGAGACCAGTGTGTCAATGTGTGTGTGTGTGTGTGTGTGTGTGGATGCGCTTAGCGGTTTTCTGAGAATCTGATGAGGAATTTGATATATCTGTCCGTATGGTGTTTCACGGGGGGGGGTTGTCCGTCTGACAAGTCTATACTTATATTTACAGATGCAAGAATGCGAAATGTCCTCATCGAACTCAAATCCCCCAGAATGTTCAACTATTTGCTTAAACATTTCCTAGAATGTGAGTGTGCTTCCTCACCAGTTTCCTCTTTCCCTCCCTCTGGAAGAGCCACTTGACGGAGGCCTGGGGGGAGCGAGGCTGACATTCCAAGAAGGTGCCGCTGCCCTCCACCCCAAACTGCACCGTTTCCCTCAGACGTTTCTCCACTGCACCGGCAGAGAGAAGAAGAAATGGTGACCAAGTGCTCCAAAACAGAATGTGATGTGCACCTGAGTGAAACCCACCTTTGGCGTTGAAGCCCCTGCACTGCCTCAGCGGGTCACCGTGTTTGACATCCTGTCGTCTGCTCCTCCTGAGAAAAAGGTCAGAAATAAGAATCAACACACACACACACAGCACTTTATTGTTTTATCGCTGCAGAGATACGAGGACCCACTGACCTCTTGGTCGACGGGGTGAAAGCGGAGCAGCTCTCTCCGTCCCAGGCGCAGTAGGGGTCTCGAGCCAGACAGCAGTCGGAGCAGGCCCTGCCGTACACACCGCAGCGGTGCAGAGACACCTGGGTCAGGCCCGCGTCCGACGACACGTACAGCTGTTGCTGAATGTGGCGAAAGGAAAACGAAAGACAACAATAGTGTGATTTGTTGTTGTGGGTTGGTCAGCGCCCCGAAATGGGGATCGGTCTGAATGGAGAATGGGCTTACTCTTTTAGAGGACAACTTCATGGTTTTGACTGACGCCCTGGACTGTAAATTAATAAAATAACAAAAAAGGACAAATTAAAATACAACCCCTTTTCAAAAATCTTTGAGTATCTCAGGACCACAAATTCAGACATACCCGGAAAACCTCCACTTCCTCTAGAGTCAGTTCCTCCATGCTGGTCGGGTCCTTCGGCAACACTATAACCTTTTGTACGGTGCCTCGATCTACAAATGAAAGAAATCATATTTAAGACCTACATTTCTTTTTTAGCGAAACTACCTTCCGAAAGCCAAACGAGTGGCCGTCCGTCCGTCCGGCCGTCCCCCACCTGTCCCCAGGAAGAGCACCTCGTAGCGTCCATCCACAGCATCCACCTGATCCACCACCAGGGCGGTGAAGCGGTAGTCCACGCCGGGTTCTCACCACCAGGGGGCGCCGGTGGACGGGATAAACCGGATGGATCATGAGGGGATGGGCTCGGATGAAATTCACAGCTTCTTCTGAAAAGTTCTGGAAGAAACGGATGCCGGGAGTGAAGGTTCCTCCTGGACACTGGGCGGAAAGAAGAAAGAGGTGGCAATAATCACTTGGGGGGGGGGGGGTCTTTGCAGATTTAGATTTCGCCTCGGAGACAACGTGACTGAAACGTACCGTCCCGGGCCGCGGGTAGGGAATCTTGCCGGTGTACTCTGTCCATTGGTAGTTATGGCCGTGTTTGTGGGCAAACGGCCCATTGAAGACATTGCGGATGTCGGCCATCGAGTACACGCAGACGGCGGACCCCTTGAACACAGAGCTGGGGCAGAAACAGACCGTCAGGGCAGGATTTAGAAGTACGCCCCCCACGTTACGGCAGGAATCATCTGAGAGAAAATATTCCTATGAAGTTGAGAGGTGAATCGACCCAACGAGCCTCGGAGAACCACTCACCCCGCTGTGGTGAAGAGAGCGTACACCGTAGGGTTTCGCTCGTCCTGTGTGGGCTGAATGAACACATCTCCTGGAAGAAAATCAATAACCCAACATCAAAGGGAGTTGCAATTAAAATGCTATCAGTTTATACGGCTTGGTGGTGTTTTTTTTTTTTTTTTCTCGCGGCCTCACGTAGTTCATCAAATCGCGTCTCCACTCCGTCTTCTCCGATCACCGAACAGATAAGGCGAGCCTTCAGGAACGTCGTCCAGCGGTTCACCAGGGACTTCTGGCCTCCTTCGTCATTCTGGACAGGAAGGAAATTGGGTCACGGCTCAACGAGCGCAGTGCGCTTCTTCATTGTGAAAGGGACGCCGCGCGTCGTGGTTGGGCTCACCAGGCACACCCTTCCCACCCTGGCCAGAACGCTGGGGCTCGCCCCGCCGCTGGAGTCCAGGCTCTTCTCGCGGAAGAAGAAGTAAAGCTTGTCGTCGTTCCTTTCTGCACTGTCAGGGATTTGCTGGATCTGAACAAACACGGGCTCTGGGAGGAGGAAAACAGACGAGCGAGGGGGAAGGATTGAGGCGAGAGGTTGTCCAGCAATACGAGAGGAACCGTAAACTGTAATCAAACCACGTTTCCCTCCTCACAACCCACACTTACTCACCGTTGAGCCACCTGGAGTCATACTGCTCCGTCCTGATTGCCGTTCTCCCTCCCATGGTCCTAAACAGAGCGGCATCTGTGCTCATGAAGTCGATATGGACCCCTGCATACAGGTTACCATCTGCAAGGGGGAGGCAACAACGCGACAGAAACCTGAGGCTTTTCGTAGGAGATGGAATTTGATCAGGTTTTGTGCTGTTGTTTTTTTTTAGCTTCTCACCGATCAGGACCGCAATGTTCTCCTGTTTGGGATCATAGGAGCATTTTCCCTTCCCTGAATCCGCATACCCAGGGACCAGCCTAAACAGGTAGTCCTGCAGGGAGAGCGTGCATTAAAAATGGACTGCTAAATCGTGACACGGAACACACGGAAGCATGGGGAAAAAATCACAAACAAATCAGTGTCCTAGTTTGTAGTCCTGAAATATTTATCAGGGCCGACCGCTGAGGGATGTTTCCTGTAAATCCCGCTCTGGGAACTGTAAATGTCTCTGTGTTCACCTCCGCCCTCCAGCCTCGGTTGATGAACGTGCAGATGGGCTGGTACGCCCCCGTTCCACAGGTGTAGAGGTGGGTGCGGTTCCACGGCTCTATGAGCCGCACAAAGTTGGCACATTCCCCCTGGACAAAGACGACAGAGACAAATGCGAGTCAAACACTTTTCCTTGTCCCGTCTTGAAAGCAGGCGTCTTGTTATTTCTTCGTCAAAAGAACAGGATGTGAATACGTGATCCCACCTGTCTTCCCTTTCCTGTCATCTGACATTCTCCCTTTCTCTTAGCAGATGCCGGCCAGTGGATCTGTATTTATGAAGGGAAAAAACACACACACACACACACGCACACAGGATCATCGCATTGTGAGATCTAATGCCGGGTACCACACGGCAGACTGGATTTGTGAAAAGGTTAGACTGCATGTACGCACTATGAGCGGCTCCTTGTTGACGTTGTGCATGTCCAGGGCCACCAGGTACTCGCGGCTGCCCAGGTACAGGCGGCCCTGATCCTGGTCCATCAGCAGGATGCGGTAGTCGCTGGTGTTGAAGGAGAAACTGAAAGGCCGCGCCGCCCTCGTGTCCAAAAGCTCTGTGTGAAGAGTTGCTTTGTTTGAAAAAAATTACCATTTTCACCATTTGGAAAAACCGACAGCAGGGGGAGCAAAGGTTACCTCTAAAAACCTTGTCCCACAATTCGCTTTATGCCTTTAACATGTTTCATTACCGACTTGGATGAACCCACGGCGCCACGAGCAATCTTCCCCTCACGCTTCTTTTCTGGAAAATGTGTGTCACTGATTTAATATGACCCAACTTGGAGCATTTTAAGAAACTATTTTTTGCTTTTAAGATCTCAATATTTTATGTGTCCTGACCGGCTGATTGAGTTTAAGGCGCCACACGCCCTGCAGAGTTAGTCGAAAAAGCGACTCCCTTAGGAAACACGGTCAGTGGAATTGGGATTGGGTTTAGCAGAGCGGAACCTGTTAAGACGCTACGGGGGGGAAAATGTTCCTTCCTTTTTTTTTTTGTCCCCCTGAAAGCTTTGATTGAACAATTTTCATCAGGGAGAAAAAGCCCTCCCCCCCTTTTCATCCTCACTTCAGTGGCATCAGGGGTAAGATATTGACCAGCATATGTGCTCACGCTGGGACACAGCTGAGGCGTGTCAAAGACAGCAGGCTTATGTCTTGACAAATGTTCACGGAGACCCTCAGAAGCCAGCTTACGGGGGGATTCGGGGGGGAAGCGCAATCTTTATTTACATCAAAGCGCCTCCCATCTTCCTTTTTGAGGTCAACGTGAACAGGATGCGGCCACGGCGCGGGAACTAAAATAGCCGACGCAATCGGATCTCCGGACGGCTCCGGGATGGAGCCTGTCGGGAGGCGGGGAGGAAGGTCCGGTTCTGTTCCTGAGAGGTAAACACAGGATAACAAGCCTCTGGCCGAGCACCAGTGGGCCATAGTGGATCCACTGCACGGGCTAAATGTAGAAACATCACACCGAACTCGTGCATGTCTCCATTCTCCCAAAAATAGCAAACAATGCACACTGCCATCATCTGGTAAACATTCAGCAGACACTTGTCCCCCGGCAACATTCTGACACGCACTGGGAAACACTGGGAAGGACACACGATTGACGTAGGCTACTACAAGCTCTGACGTTACAGCCAGGCAACATATTGTCACTTGAATCACTAATGACCGCTGCCGTTTAGTCCCGGGCAAATCTCAAGTATGAACACACGGGTGACACCAGCCTCCTAAAGCATGGCTTCAATTACGCTGCACATTTTGCTCTCTGGCAGTGCTGACTAATTCCATCAAAGGAGACTCGGTCGGTCCCTTTGAAGTGTGCATAACTGACACAAGTTCCCTGCAACGGAGGAAACAATATGAGCTCCCTCTCCCCGGCAGGCCTCCTGTAACCCCTACCCCCCCCCCCCCCCCCACCACCCCCGACCGTGTCAATCAGGCCGGGTCATTCGCTCGGAACAGTCACATGTCCTCCAGCCGGCCCAAAGCCTCCTCCACAGGCGGCCCCGCGGACAAAGGGGCTCGCTGTCGCAAACAATGAACAATAAAACCTTGGAGTGGCAGAAAACAGTCGGGGAGTAATTTTTCTTTGGCATTAGGGGGAGGGGTGGCCGAGGTCTTTCAACATGGCTCCTTTATCTTCAAAATCGAACAATCTAACTAATAATTTAGCACCCCAGTGCTGCTGTGAACCGCCAGCAGCACGTGTACTGTTTACAGAGAGCTCTGTGCAGATGTGAGTTCCTGCATCTCAAAAATGGTGAAGGAAGAGAATCAAGGTCAGGACCAAACTTGTGTAATTAGTCAGACTACCACTTTGTGCACTGTGTTGCTGCACCAAAAAAAAAAACACGCCCTGGTGTTTATAAGCTGTTTACTGCAAGAGGATTTGTGTTAAAGGTCACATGAAAATGCACCGCAATCCCTCAGATGGAGCCGCGCGACAGCCGCCAGCCCGGCGCAGACAGCTGTTTTCAGTCGCTTCGCTGCAGCCTCCAAGTCCCAGAAATCAACCACGGATCTCACGGTCAGCTCGCGGTTCTAATCTGCGTCAGATGTGCCCCGTCCACATCGTGCAAAATCACAAATCTCTGTTATTGAAACAGAGCAGCTGAGGGCGAGACGCCAAACAAACTGAGGCCGCCTCGACGCGACCTGCGAGCGGAGCGTTCGTGACCCTCCTCCACAGATTCTTCAGGCGTGACGCGTGTGCGTGCACGTTCTCGTGTGCAGGTGGGCTTGAAGTGTGCAACACGATGACGAAGATAAGTGTAATCATCCAGCATTGTTTTTCTTCAAAGGTGTCAGCCACATATTTGTAACATGAATCTCGGCAGCCGGTGAGAACAAGAAGACCACACGGAGAAAATAGCAGATCCCTTCAACATTTTTTTAAGGCTCCATTGAAGGCTTTAAAAACACTGTTATAATTTAGGCCTTTGCGGCCAAAAGATTGCAGTTCTACAACATCACTGTGGCTCCTGTGATCGGATTTCAGGTGTTTCCTTCTTGTGTCATCATGTCAGACTTCAAAAACAAAGAATAAATGACGGGTCAAACTCAAGTGCGTTTGGGTTTTAGGGTGTGGGCAGAAACCGTGTCCGAGGGCACCAGTTACAAACCCCACGTAATATCCACCTTTTGTTTCCAGCGTCGCACTGTTCGACATGTGGCAGGAAATACGCTCTTTGCATACGTTCGAGGAGGAAACATAACCGCATGGGAAGGTGGGAGGTGGGGGGGCGCGTGTGTGTGCGCTGAGTGACTTGCCAAACAAGTGAAAGAAACTATTAAGACAAGCCCTCGCCGTCACAGGACTTTTGGTTAATCTGTAGGAGCTCACCTTTGAAGGAGAGGCGGATCCGCGGAGCCGACTGCTGCAGGCCCGAGCCTCGGTAAACACACAAGGCCAGCAGGAGGAGCTGGGCTCCAGATGCTGCCATGGTAACAGTCATGCAGGTAGCCCACAGAGATCTAAATCTGGACGAAGAAAAGACAGCGGAATGAACTATTATTATTATTATAGAGTGCCCAGTGAGAAGTGTGTGAGACAGAAAAAGAAGCAGGGACAGGCGGGAGACTGACTGTCTCTCTCCCCCTCTCTCTCTCTTTCTCTGATCTCTATGATCAGAAGTTTGGCCTGCAGCGAGCTGTATAGTCTGGCAGGAGAGAACAACGTCCAAATGTTCACACTCACACTGGAAAATATGACAGCCCTATTACTTATTTAAGGTGTAAATGCAGTGAGGTATGTGTTGAGACTATATAACGGTATTTGCATGAGCAGTCACACGGAAAAGGTCTTCCGAAAACAAGTTTAAAGTCTTTTTTCTTTAACGTATTGCATTTTCTTTGACATGTATTTCATACACTTTTTCCTAGAAAACTAAATTAATCAAGAGCCTGGTGCCCATCAGGGATTCCCGGCGTCTCTCTCTCTTTCAGCGGCGTATCGACGTACTTTCCAGGAGTTGACGAGGGAAATACGTGACAGTTCAAAGACACAGGTAGTCCTCGCGGAGACAATTTCTGACAGTTTAGGGGTGTTGGAGCGTAGTCTGACGGTTAGACCTTAACTCGAGCATTCATTATGCATCTGCACTTTGCTGGAGAGGATCACGTATAAATTATGAATACTAAAAGCTGAGTCCACAACGTCCATTAAATTGACTCCCTGAAGGTGGGCTTTGCTCGGGCCGTAAGGAACCCCACCGGCTTTTCTTTTTCTCACAAGGCCCCCAACGGGCCACACGCTACAAGCCTCGAAATGAGGGCTTTTAGGGAGGGACGCTAGAGAGATTTTACAAAACGCATTAATACATTGCGGGTTCACAATAAGGAATTCTTTTTTTTGTCAAAATGAAACTGATGAAACTGAAATGAGTGGCGTGGCCAACATTTAGCGAGGAAAAACAGAAGCCCCGCGGGCTTTCTGGCGTAATCACACGTGTACCATATACCGGCTCATCGGGGTGCCTCGATCCCTCTTCCTTCTATTAAACACGGTGCATTCACATGGTTTTATACCACGAGCCGGGTCGTCAGAAATTATATGGATACACATTTAATCACGTGTGATCGTCATTTCAATATTAAAACATCATTGAAGCCCATCACAAAAATAATAAACATAGTCAATAGTTATTTTATCATAGTGAAATTAGCTTATTGGACTATGAACACCACAGAATAATGTTTGAATCCATATTTGAATATTATTTTAAAAGAAAGAAAAAAGGGAAAAATAATAAATATATCCAACTCATTGTATTTCATCTTCTTTTATTTAAATGTAAATAAATCAAGGGTCAGTATTCCCTTTAACAGGATGTAGAACACCACAGTTTGACATACTGGTTGTACTTTGAGGTGTTTGAAGGATTTTTCCACTGGTCTCTGTGCAGGCTGGGTGACCTATTAAAGTTCAGCTGTAATAACATGCTTTCCCTTTAAAAACATATATATACATATATAATTATAGGATTTAAATAGCCTAGTCCTCTCTGCGCACTTACCTGTTAACTCCACACCCACAAATAGAAGCCGAACAAACGTGAGCGCCACTTCACATCCACCATCCGGACCACAGAGCAACCGGACGCGGGTTAAAAGTTAAACCGGTTAAATGTCCTACCTTTGGCTTTGGCACTTCGCCGCTGAGATCCAGAGGGGGGGAAGAAGGAAAGAACAGAAAGAAAAGTTGCGGGATGTTACCGCCGCGTTCCCCGCGCGCTGCGCCTTTTTGGAGCCGTGTTGGAAAATCTGCGCGCAGCACTGCGCAGGAATTAAACAATCCGATAGGTTTACAAATTCATCCTGAAGGAGAAAGAGAGAGCGAAAGAGAGAGAGAGAGGGGGAGGAGGGGGGGGGGGATGGAGGGGGGGCTAATAAGCCGACGGCTTTTCTTCCAGGCAACACATTTAAAAAAAAGAAAAGAAAATGGATCCCTGAACGTTTGTTCCACTCGCTCCAAAAAAAAAACCCAAAAAGTTTAAGCCCGGAGGGCGGCGAGTATCCCCGGGGGGTGAGAACGGGGCTCCGGTCCCCTGGTCGTTCCTGGGGAGGCGTTTGCGAGTGAACCAAGAGACCAGGTGCAGGTGGAGGAGAGGCTGTCTCACCCTGCTGTCCTCTCCCTTCTGTTCTGCCCCCACCCAGCCTCCTCTCTCCTGTTGGCCCACAGCAGCATTGGACCAAACCTCTTGGTACGCCATATGGGTATGATTAACCCCGTCGCTGCTGGGCAGGAGGGGTTTTTTTGTGTGTGGGGGGGGGGTTCACACATTGCTCTTCATCCATCTATTTTTTGTCAAAGTTGAAGCTGAATAAGTCGGTTACGTGGTGCCGGGCATACAGCCACCGTTTAATATAAATGTTTTTCTCATGCACCAGCGGGGGGCCACGGTCTATTCTCATGCATGATTCAGGGGCCGCGATCCACTACTAAAGGGGGTGCCGGCTCTGCCTCTCGGACAATGTCACCATTACTCCCCTTGGCTCCGCATGAGAGGCAGGTCAGCCCGAGAGAAGATTCCTGGGATTCCTGCCTGGCTTTCTCTGGAGCTCATGACAACGGTGACAAAGCAGCCAGGAGGGGGACGGGGTGGGGGGGTATGGGACTGGACGTAAAGGACACCCGTCCTGTTAACGGAGCCTTGAGCTTGGAATTAAAACAGCTCTCGGGGCTCCTCACATCGCTGCCGGCTTTGTGGCGAGCTATGACGCAGTGTGGCACAGTAACTGTAAAATAGGCGGCGTGTGAATGTATTCTGAGCCCCCCGGGCCGGCGTGACAGTCCGACAGAATAAACACACGAGTCGATGGCTCGCTGAATGAAAGGTCACAGAGGAGGGGCGGTTCCTGGAAAGCAGCTGGACGTTTGGACTCACGCGTTTCTCTTTTAAAAAACGCCTCCAATGTTGGATCCGTCGTCACGGGGACAAGCGTCTGACCTCTGTGACCTTACCTCAAGTTGGGCATTGGCACAACGTGTTCGCAGTGTGCCCAGCAGGGTTGGGACAGGGGGGGGCGTTTGTTTCCTGTCCCACAGGAGGCTTCCCTGGTGTTTCCAGCTGAGGAAATGAGTCAGGCTTCCTGGTCCTGGTGCGCTCTTAACTTTAGGTCCACTGTCAAGTTCCCACCGCATCCTCTTAACGTCATCCCGATCTCTGGCTGTACCGTCCCGGCAGAGCGCGGGAAAGGGGGCGGGGGGGTTGTCTTTGCTTTGTGAAAGGGGCTTGTTTGCCCCCCCCTGTCATGATGGATGGGTTTGGTATCGTGGAGACGGACGGCTCGGAGTGGAAAAGACAAACATTGGCTCTGTTTTCTTCCGGTCCCCGTAAAGCTCTGCCAGAGGGACGGCCTAGTTTAATGGATAGGTGATGGGGAGCTACATTCATCCTTGTAGGCCAACCGAAGACTCCGGATAAAACCCGGCCCCTCAGACACATCAATCATCACAATTCTAGAGTTTTGTCCCCTCGAGGAAGAAGAACCCATTATTTGAACCGACTGATGGTCTTTCCTTCAAGTGTATTGATGAATTGAGCTCGGGGTTTGAACACGCCTGCTGCGAGAGAGGCGAGTCCAGGGCGTCGCCAATGAACGCTGGGATGGACCGCCGAAGCCCTGGGAGGAGATTACAGGGTAGAAAACCAGGAAAGGTGCAATATTCACCAGGATTATTTTCTCTATTTTCCAACCACCACTCGTTAAGTCTCCAGTCGGGAGAAGATGTAAACGTGGAAAATGCGACATAAAGGGAACAGGTGCCGCGTGACGCCCGTCGACTTCACACACCAGCGACCGCCAAAAGGGAAACATGTTTAACATGAATGAATACGTGGCACACATTCCAGCTGTGAGGTGTCTGCTGGTTGTTTTTTCTTTTTTTCCCCTTTCTTTTTTGTTTTTTTTTGCAAGACTGAGGCTGCAGCTCCGGTCGAGATGCAGCACCGTCTGTGGTCGTCCAGCGTGCCACGTGTCCGCCAGCCCGCCACCATCTGCCTCCCGAGACGAGACTGGCACTCTCACTCGCTGTAAAATGCAGCCGGGAGAGTCGACAGCTGTTGAAGAAGAGCTCTTTTTCCAAATAACAAGGGGTGTGTGTGTGTGTGTGTGTGTGTGTGTTAGGGAGGGAGTGTTACAGTGAGGAAGCAGTGAGGATGAAAAAGGTAAATCTGTCAGGGCTCGTGCAGAAGCATTCGATAATAGCCGGTTAACGGTTAAAGGTCACAAACGCTGCGAAAATGGGTTTTTCCTTCAGCTTGGTCTCGACCTCGGCAGGCGGAGATTGTTTGTGATCAGAGAATCCGTGAAAGAAAAATCTGTCATGCAGGGTAAAAAAAAGTGAGAACGTAGAGCACGAGGCGCTGTGTTTTGGCAGATAAATGTGGACGCCAACACACACACACACACACGCATACAGGGTGCGCGGGCTGAGATGCACACACACACACACACAAATGGACTGGCTCTGCTGCCTCAATTAAAATAAAAAACGATTTTCTCTTATCTCTCCCCTCACTCTCCACCCCCCACCCCTCCCCCCTACACACACACACACACACACACATCGGACTCCAGGTGAATTCCAATGTCAAAGACATGAAGGTAACGCAAGCGCTGCAATCTGTTCATTCTGTGGTTGTGTGTGTAGGTGTATGTGTGCACCAGTGTGTGTGTGTGCAGTGTGATTGGGGTGGGGGGGGGCTATTCATCTGTCTGGTGTGATCGTGGCTCTCTGTAACTGGGCCTGGGCGCGAGTATGCACTCTGTGATCTCCCAGATAAGAGTCATCCATCTGCTGTGTGTATCTGTCAGGGCCCAGGCAGCTCCGCTTATCACTGCACTCATCCGTTTCCCCCAGTCCTACTCACTCTCTGCCCCCCCCCCCCCCCCCCCCCGGTCCCCAAGCCCTCCCCTCCTTTAGATGTCCCCCCCACACCCCCACCTGCACAGTTCAAATCCTGTGCTCAATCTTGATCAGCTGACGTGCAGACGATCACACGTGCGGCGCGTCGTGGTGTTGAAAAGCCACAAATATGCACATGAAGACGGACTGCATGAAAGAATGCCAGCTTCCACGCGCACACACACACAGACACACACACACACACAAGTAGTTGGTATTCAGAGGTCCTTCCTCAGCCTATCATATTACCTCAAATGTACCCAAGAGAGCAGCACAGGGCCTTTTCTTGCACATTTGTACAGGAAACAAAATCCTTCCTTCACAAAGGTGGCTGATGATCTGCTGTGTGTATCTGTGTGTGTGTTATCTGTGTGCATGTGTGTTATCTTTTGTTTTTGGTCTCCACTGAATCAGTCTGAGCGGCGGATTCCTCTGGACTGCTTTGTGAAACGTGAGAGCATGAAGCAGCGTGACAAGACGATCTGTGTACAGTAGCAACACCGGCTCAACGCAGGGGAGTGGAGTGCACACGGGGGGGGTGGGGGGGGGATCCATCCAGGCTTTATCGCCCCGTACACACCTCAGACCGCAAAAAGCAGCCCGAGGACAGCTTCGTCGTCCCGGCAATCTCTACTTAAGTTTGTCACGATCAATATTGTAGGAACCAACCCTATTATTTATTCATAGTGATAAAAAAGAAACGTGTTGTTGTGGGTAAAGCGGCTTCAAAGAGGAGACAAACACTGTGTTTCACGCGGGATCATCACACGGGGGTACGACGCGCTCCCATCATCAGTATTAATAGTATATGCCCATCTGAGACCGCATACCCCGGGCGCTGCTGGGCCTGCGGCAGGACAGGTTTTTGCGAGTGGAATATTTATAGCTGTGCATTAAAAGTGGAATCAAGGGGTTTAAGTGTACCATTGCAACACCGCCGCTGCCTCCTTTGTCTGGGCCTGTCCAAAAATGTCTTTGCCCGGAGCTATTTGCAGTGCTACACTCCGAACGTCAGATATCACACACCGCTGTCATATCAAAGGCCCGGACACATTAAAGAACAGCTGTATCACAGCAGGGGGGGTTCGTTTTATTATTTTATCCGAGAACAGGTCGAGGCCAAGCGGGCGAAAAGGAGCGTGGCGTTTCTGGGAACGGATTCCACACGAATGATTTGTTCGCGGCGGTTCTCCGAGGATTCCAGACAGTCGCGTTTATGCAGCATTTAATTGTTTCTCGTCGAAACACATCTGAGAGATTTAATGCTGGCAATTAGAGTACTGAATTATAGACTGTTTTCATCCGTGACGATTCAGTACAACAATTTGGGACATCATTGAACTACACTGCCCCCTGCTGGTTGAGTTAAGAGAAAGAAAAGAGGAAAAAAAAGGGGGTTCAGTGGAAAACAAGAAAATCCAGAACTGCAGTCGGAGACAGGAAGGTAAAACATCTGCCTATTTTATTAGGTCTCTGTCAAAAGGTGGACATTTATCTTTAAGCAAACAAAATAAACCAAAGCAACAATCAAGTAGGTATCTTTAAACTACAGTGTTCTATAAAACACAGCACACAAAATATAACTTTCTGATCACGTTCATGGAAAACTTCAGATTATTTGATAAATTATCCATGGATTAAACATGTGTACTTGTCTTATCCAAAAGACAACGCTGAGACATTATTTACAGGTCATTGCTAAGAAAAGTAAGCAAATACAAATACTAGTTTTTTGTTGTTTTTTTATACAGTGCACCCATGTTGCTGTGAGTTCATCTACATTTACTGACACTGTGCACATTAAAAGCCTTGTAAGTATTGTAATCGTACTGTTCACAGGCATGCCATAATGTGGATTTGTAGAAAAACAAATAAATACCATCTTTTTAAAAAAGAAGATCTTAAAACACATAACATGAAAACAACTGAAATGTTTTAAGGTTATTCGAATTAATTTAAATCCTAAAAAGGGGGGAAAAAATGATACAAACTCAGCTATTTATTGTATTAGCATGTTACAAAATGTAGGAAACCACAGAAACGTTGATCAAACTACGTCATGATTTTAAACTTCATAGACTTAACAGGGGGGTGGGGGGGGGGTGGAGGTTTGAGCAAAGAGGTGAAGGAGAAACACGGGTAGCCTATTAAAACAATAATGGTTCCTATTCACTACAGTAGAGTACACGTTTCCTTATGCACAGCCAACAATGATCAGAGAGTAAATGTCTGGAATCAGTATGGTTCGTTCAGTAAAACCGCCACCATGATCATCCCTGAGAACAGATTTTGGTTCAGTACTCGCCAAGTCTAAAAAGTACTGTCGTAAGCATCAATTTAGTTTGTCACATCGATTCTAAAACGCGGCCAAAACGGTGCCTTAAAATGACCACTAAATAATGCCCCTGAAGGCTTCGGCGTTACTCGTCTGATGAGTTTGCAATCAAGATGTGTCACATTACACACGTGCAGGCTGCGCCTTCTTAAATAGAGGAACACTACTGGCATAACATGCCCGAGAACCTGTGTAGACAAAAAAAACACATCTTGCAAAAAGTGACTACACAGTGGTGACTGTATAAAATAGAGGGGGAACCATGCTGCAGTGGCTTTATTATTACAGTTAACCCTGATTTAGAATGCTCCTATGTAGTTTTAGGTTAAAAAAAAGAAAAACTCAAACTGATATTCTGTGCATAACAAGGACTCTGCTCTGGTACTGTTAGTCGCTCGGCGTCCTCTTCCCCCTCCTGGTCTCTGGTCCCTTGATGACTCGCCTTCATCGTCGACATGAAACCTGCTCCTCTTCGCCTCTTCTCAGGCCTCGTCGTCGTCCTCCTGCTCGCTGTCGTCGGAGCCTGCCGGACGAAAAAAGTAATATGGTTGGAATTTTTAAAGGAGATTCTTACCAACGTCAATCGCGTCGACCGCAACTCTATCCAAGTGTCAAAATAAAAAAGTGAAAAAGTGGAAAAATACGATGAGCAGCCACAGGTTTCCGACCTCCCTACTCCCTCGCTGGTTTGTTGGGATAGTGGTCTTACCGTCAATCAAAATTTCTCCACCACCACCACCATCATCATCATCATCCTCCTCCTCCTCCTCCGGACTCTCATCTGAGGAGGAGATATTTCCTGTCTATTTAGTTTAGCCTGCATTACCCAAACAGGGACATTAAAGCTACAACACGAGCCGGTCAACTCAGCGCGAACAGGCTCTCGACTCAACAGCAAACACTGTGGATGCTTTTAAACCCGTAAAAATATACATTTCTGCTTTTAGTGAACTGGGTTTATTGTCAGTTGTTGGCCCAGCGGATTTAATCTCTTTAAACCCATAAGATGACCAGAATTAGGTCCCCTGGGCGCCAACCCACCTCATTGGATATGCCCCTTGTACTATTCACATCTACTCTGTTAACCGTGCTCCTACTCCTCTTTTCCTTGTATATCTATTTGTCCTCCCGCGCTCCTCCAACTCAACCCTAGTGCGGCATGTTCCGGCTAGCCAAGCTTTCTAGCGAGGCTTGGTCTTCCGAGTCGGGAGATCCCGACACAGTCGTCTCATTTCCGGTTGTCAGCAGTTCTGGCGCCGCTTTCCGCCGCTAGACGAAAACCATCTATTTGCCGTGTAAATAGTAGACACGCTCCTTGTTTGGGGTATGCATCCCCCCTGGTCCCCCCGGAGGGAAAAAAGGGGGGGGGGGGGGGATGGTGGTGGTGGGGGCAGACAGGAAACTGTTGGGAGTTTACACATGAACTGCAATTTCAAAGGACCAGAGAACGGCCCTAAATCATATGTCTTAATAAGCGGTTTGTCCCGTGACTGCACATCGTGCACATGCACACACACACGGGTGTCTTTGTTTTACCTGCCGTTCTCCCTCGGTTCCCACAGTGGAGTAAGGTAGTATCTCAGAGGGTCCCGGTACAGGTCATCCTTTAGTATCTAAACAACAGCACAGGAGGAGGATTCAATTCGATGGATGGATGTACTCATTTAATAATAAACCCCAAATCCCTGCTAATTTGATATTTAAAAGGTTTCAGTATCATGCAACAAATCCACAAAAGTGTCACCATAACCCGGACACCGAACGCAGGCCGGCGACTTGTCGAGACATGTCCGCCGATCCGATCGGCGCGTCTGCAAACAATCGCGAGCCAGGCGTCGAGTGTGGAGGCGCAGGTCGGGCCGTACCTGTGCGACATCGTCCTGTCCCGGGCTGCTGTGGTCACTGAACCAGCTGAAAAAGGTCTTGTAGACGCCGCGCGACGACTTCCTGGGCTCACTGTGGGCCGTCAGGTTCTGTCCACGCTGCCACAGGATGGGGTTGGAGAAGGACATGGGAGATCCTGAAAAAGGGCAAGCAGCCGGGACGGGGAGGAGAACCAGAGTTTCATGGTCAGGGAGATTTTAGGTGGATTCAATACTGAACTTTAGATGTTGTGTACTAGAAGAGGACATCCCCGGAGGACGATATTTGAAGGGTGACAGAAAAATAGCTATTTTACACAGTTTATTGGTCGTTGTGGGCGGTTATTTTGTTGACCTTTGGCCATGTCATCAACACCTCTTACCAGCTGTTCCAGGGATTGAGCTGTTCTTTTTAATAAAAAAAAAAATGGTGGTTGAACAAGCAGATTTGCAAATGCCCCAAAGTGTCGCCTAGAAACAGGACTGTACATGACAAACTCATTTGCAAACGCCTTAATAACCACGTTTATTCTTTTTTTTTTGTTTACCTCCCATCCCAAGGTGAAGCTCCTTCATGATGATGTTGTTCTGGAAATATGGGTTTCGTCTGAAGTGGAAGCGGATTCTGTAGCCCAGCTTATTATTCTTGAAGGACTCAATCTGTAAAAGGACATCGGTAAATGTTTGACTAGTGCCACCTGTCACCTGCAGGATCAAAACATCGGGAGAACACGACGACGATTCCTACCTCGAGATCCGTCATGTAACTGAGAGCATCTTCATCCGTCTCGTCAATGTGGGCCGAGAGATGAGGATGGTTCAACAGCTGGTACGTTAAAGTTAACAGCGACACAATGTTCAAACTAAAATCACACAGCACAGGAAGGGAAAAAAGAGGGGCCACGTTTCATTGCAAGGATACAGCCGTCACCCAGAAGCCCGGGATGGTTTTCGTGATGGAGCTGCGCTGGTCCAGATGTGGACGCCGCTGACGACTGATCTTCAGCTCCATTCGCTGGTGGAGCCGAGCGCTTTTCTTCTCGAGGGCTTCCAGCCTCATCTGTACCTCCGCCAGGAGCGCCACCGACTGCCTCATCTCTGGGGCCATCTTCACCGACACGATGGCGCACTCTCCATCGTCATTGTCCTCATTGTCCGAAGGGAAAGACGAGCTCGGAGTGGAGGAGGATCCGGATATGGACTCATCCCCGTCGTCTGCTTCTGGCATCTCGTCTGCATCCTCCCGGTCAGTGCTGTGCACAGATGTGGAGCTGTCCGCAGCGGCCGCCTGCGTTTTGGAGCCCGTCCTCGAGGAGTGGTGGCTCCCCCGCTGTTTGAACTTGCTCCCCTGTTTCACCTGTTTCGCCTTTTCGGATGAACAAGGAGTCTCTTTGGCGCCTTCGCCGTCTCCCGCGGTGAGGCTGGCGAGCGCCTCTGCGGCCGCGATGGCCGCCGAGTCGCTCTGGTCCAGGCTCGCCGGGGGACGCCGCTTCGTCCCCGCGGTCTTCGCGGCGGCATCGTTGTCGTCGTCCGCTGACCCGCGTGCGTCGGAGGACTGCGGCTTCTCCGAGTCGCCGGCGGCGTCCGGCTCGGAGCGGCTGGCGGGCGGCGCGCCGGTGCCGCTCGCGCTGCGCGGACCCTGGTCCGCTTGAACGGCAGCTGGTTTTCCCTCACTATTTTTTGATTGGCCCTCGCCGCTCGCGGCTATTTCTTTACTCTCGGCTTCGCTGTTTCGGCAACTTTCCGAAGTGGCGGCCGCCGCCGCCGCCGCGTCCGGCGCGTCGGTTACTCTGGTGGACTTGCTGGGGATCGCGCTGCCTTCGTCGTGGCCGGGTGACGGACACCGTTTCCTCGACGCAGAGTCGGCGGACTGTTTGCAGCCCGTCAGTTCACTCATGCTAGCTAGCCAAATAGCTAACGAGCCAAGTAGCCCGCAAGCACAACTCGAACAAACTTAAAATGCAGTCGATTGCACCGCCGGCCTGGCTACTCGCGATTCTGTAACTCGGATCGTAATTTCAACCTACATTCTCGGGGGAGCGAAAACAGGAAGCGGTTGTTGTGTTTCTCCGAGGCCTTGCGGAACGTTACAAAATGAGCAAGCTACCGCTAACGCGAGTTAGCTAACGTAACCTACTTCGCGTGTCTCGGCGGTGATGGCCGCTCCACATTTCACGAATAAAATCCCAACAAGGAAGACTCGACCCGAACAACAAAACCCTTCCCCGCTCGGCAGCCTTGAGGAAGAGCCCGTGTTCTTTATATTAGTTTATGTTTGCAATATCCGTTAGCTTACTATCCGTGCAGCGACGTGACAGAAAAACAATCGTTTGATTGGCTGCGACGCGCCGCGCTAAAACCGCTCGGCCAATCATTTACAAGGGTGTGTTTAGATGATTATATCGGCAGCAGCGGCATAACTGCGCAGCACAGATAACCCGCACGGCAATGATTGCGCAACACGGTTTATGCATTCAAGCAAACGCTTTTCAACGCACTCTGTGTATTATATCACTTTAGCACAATCGTTTACAACAATCAATGGGATTATTTTACAGCCGTTATAAAGATCCCCTGGATGGTTTAATGCCTGAAATGAGCAGCCCTGGAGGCGACAGGCCGTAAACACTTGTCTGTGTGATGATTAGATAATGTGTTTATTCCCAGGGGAGGACAAACACAAAAGTAGCTTCATAATTCAGTTTGTACAGCTCGATTGTTTTCAGGAAAAATTCAAATGTGTGTGCGTTCATTTCCTTTTGGGAATTTCACAGTGAGTCCATATATTGATTGAATATAAATTCTGATTGTAGATTGCAAAATCAGGTCACAATTTCCACCAGATGGTGTTTGCAGAGGTTTTTAAATGTGCCATCCCCATAGAGTGGACAAAAGAAGGTCATACCTGGAAGATATAATGCCACTTTAGCGTCTACTTTCCAGTAGTGGGCGTTCAGCCAGCCCAAACCAAAGGGAACAAGGGGGAGTCACAGGATTATACCAATTTAAAAGGCACATTTGAGGCACGGAGAGCCCTGTAGGTCAGTGCTAAAATTAGAGGCTATTCCTTCCGCGACAGCAGCCAAGCTGCGATGCACACAGTCATGTAAACCAGGGGATACACTCTCCCGAGGAGGGGAATCAAAGGCCACTCGTTGACAACAGAGGCTCTGACTGCGTGGTTCCAGCAACGATCCACACTCGGCAGTATTTTATTGTGTATTGTTTCTTCTGGAGTGGGGAAGGGGGGGGGCGGGGGACGCCATAGTACTTTCTTCAGCGCACAGCCTTCCATGCCTGTACACCTCTGCAAGCATGTCTTTTTTATCCATACCGAGTCAAGAGGGCCTTTTTACCACGATCAGAACCGGCAGATCAGCGGAGCGGGCGGGCGGTCGGTCCCACCTGGACGACGGAGCCCACGACGACCACGAGGACGACGACGATGACGACGACGATGAGGATGAAGACGACGACTGCGAGGACGTGCGCCTCATCCCGAGGTGCTCCCCGGTGCCCAGGAAGCGCGGCCACTCCATCTACGACGAGACGGCGGAGTACATGCGCATCCAGGTCGCGCTGCCCGCCGGGAAAAAGCGAGTGTTTTTCGCCGACACAACAGGTGGGGACCTGGTGGAGGTGAAGGAGTTCGTCGCCTTCGATTCCGACGACGGCGACGACGAAGAGGAGAGCGCCAGGTGGGAGGAAGAGGAGGCGAAGTATCGAAAGCCGGTGCGGGAACCGAGCTACCGGGTGCGCCCGGAGTTTGACGCGCCCGGCGGCGGCGCGCTGCTGCAGGCGGTGCACTCCAATAAAGTGGAGGTGGAGCAGCTGTCTCCCTCAGAGACGGAGCCACTTGCCTTCAGTGGGGTGGTCCGGGTGCTGAACATCTCGTTCCACAAAGCAGTTTATATCAGATCCACCATGGACAACTGGGCTTCTTACTACGACCACCCAGCCGAGTATGTCCAGGGGTCCCACGATGGCACCACTGACCAATTCTCCTTCAGGCTGTGTTTTGCACCACCTTACACCACGCACGGCTCTCGCATTGAGTTTGTTGTCCGCTATGAAACCTCAGACGGCGATTTCTGGGCTAATAACTCCTCTATGAATTATGTGGTCACTCTGCTCCTCTCCTACGAAGACCAAATGGCTCCGACCACCAACAACAACAACAACAACATCTTGCAGCAAGTTAAAGGTATCCTGAGACCCCCACAAGCGTACAGGTAAATCTCCGCGTGTCACGCGGCATGCTTTCATTTGTCAGACCACGGGGAATGTTTTGGCAACTGAGGGATTCCCTTGACCTTTGACCTCCACAGAGAGCTCGCCTTTCTATTGGAACTGGTAAAAACCTCAATCGGCCCAGAGGAGTTGCAAAGCAAAATGAAGACGCATTAAAGACACAATCTTTTCAGAATGATAATAGCGTCAGAGCCTTCTGTATTTAATGAATAGCCCTAACTTTTGCTTGGGTTCCATATTATCCATCAAATCATAAAGAAATAAGTCACGATAGTTGACGTTGGGTTTGCGCAACAGCTGCTGTGCTCCAATTGCCTACTAATTCCCCGGGAGCTCTCATGGCCGAATTGAGCATGCAGCTTGTTCCAGGAGTTCTGTTCTTACATAGTCTGTTGCATCATGAGAGCACAAGGGTGCAGCTCAAAGCTGCTAAGCAGAGTTTGTTTATAGCCAAAGCCTTCGGGGTCCGCAGTGGGAGAGAGAATGAGTTTTGGAAGAGGGTGCACACCCCCGACAGAATGCCAGTCCATCCAGTGGTGTGCGAGGACGATCAAAATAGGCAAAGGGCAGGTGTCGATTTCAGGCTTGATGTTCCCCTGCCCCCAGTAGATGAACCTGTGACCTTTTCTATCAGAGTCGTAGGGCAGAGGAGCAACTTCTTTGCAACAGATTGGCCTCTTTCGCTTTTGAGTAGTCGGGGAAACTGGGGCTCGAACCACCTCTCTTCTTTATTTCACCTTCACTCAAATCAGCTGATCACTGCAGGAAGAACTAAACTTCATTTTCACATGAAGATGAAATTGTGTCATGAATCTCCTGACGTGCAGTGACGCGATGCAAGATAGCAGGAAATAGTCCCCCCCCCCCCCCCAGCCCCAGGACCCAGAGAGGAAGAACACGGTGTGCACTGACGTAGCTGACATGTAGGTCTGTTCTGAAACTGGAACGGGCCAGATGGGTTATTAATGAATGAATGAGTCACTGATTGGAAATGGGGGAGCGGAAACTGCCGCCATCACCAATGTAGCAACCATTATGGATTCATTAGTTCCTTTTTGAAATTCTGTGATCATTATATTTGAACGTATTAACAAGGCACCCAGTGGGGGAGGAAAATATACGATGGGATTAAAAACAGCTTTACCTGCTGCAAAGGGATAAGAATTACAAACACAGCAGGTATCCACCTCAGGTAAATACAAACGTCAGCTCAGGCTAACTCATGTTGTAACCTGTATCTAAATGAGCGTTTATCACACACCTGCCTACACTATCACACCATCTTTGGTCGATATCAGGCTTAGGTCACACTAGGGAACACAGGCTTTTTAGGGGTTTGGTCCAGGCATTTCTAGAAAGTCAGGGGGGGGGGTTTCTTCAAAAGGGACCTTTTCCTGCAGTTGTAATTTGGAAGTTGTAGTTGGACTTTCATAGAACGCAGAGATGCGCAGATCTTCACATTCGATCTTATGTCATGTGTCCGTCACATTTTAAATCTACTCAACTGGAGATGCAATGAGTGAGTCTGAGCAGCTCTTCCAGCTCCTGTCACATGCTCCTCACACTTCTTGACCTTTAGTTCAGTTGGCACCCTTTGAAAGACTTTTGCCAACGTTGCAACACCCCCCCTCTTTTGAAAGGACACTTTAGTGCCATGAGTTTGCAAATAATTTTAAAAATGAATCACGGCTAAATTGTATCAACTCGACCACAAATATTTCAATTTTTAGAATCTGATTTAAGTGTATATGAAGTCATGTCACGGTTGATCGGACATGGGTGCTATGTTATTACACAGCCCCCAAAAAATGAGGATTTAGCCCAATGTCACTAAAATTACATCTGATACATTAAATAAAATACAGAAAAATGACATCTACGGACTTGTATTGTGCTTGCTCCTTTCATTGACCTCAGTCCGCAACATCTCACTCAATAATTTCCCACCTCGCCGCCTATTTAAATGAGTCCTCTAACGAGACGGCAAAACAGTCCGTCAGCCGCTGCAGCAGAACAGAACAAAACATACGATGCAGTGCAATGAGATACTGAGCCGTATTCAGTGAAAACGGCTAACTGGGCACATAGACAACCTGCATCAGCAAATATTGACCCCAATTACCTGTAACCGGTGTAGCTGGTGGTGCACGACCACCTCCCCCCGACATGTAGAATGGGCCGTCTTCATGCTTTAAGTACTATTTTCCATTTGGGGAACCAAATTGGGTTTCTTCCTTTCTGATGCTGCTTTTATAGCCAAGGACGAATCTTCAATACGAAACTGTCTGAGTAATCTAATAGAGGATTTAAAACATGAGCCTTTGGTTTATTTCAAAGGCTCATCTTCTGCATCTGCCCACATTTTGACTGCCGTAAATACAGAATTATGATTAAAGCCTTATGTTTTACACTAAATCGGTGTGTAAAACTGTGGAGGTATTTTACTATATCATATAGTCTGGTTCTTGAATCCGGACGATCCAATTCCAGATTACATCCTATAATATAATAAAATGTCTCTTTTCTTTCAGCATAAATGATGATTTCGATTCGGAAGATGAGCAGGAAAAGGATGAAGGTAGGGCATGAATGCTGTCGTCCGAAATCACTATGGACATGTCAACGTGCTATCTGAGACAGCGGACATTTAGCAATAATACAATTGATCAGTTCCAAATCATTGCACTTCATAGGATGTTGAAGTGATCCCTTTACTTAGGTCTCCTTTGCCAAAGTTCCACATCCATGAAGCTAGGGATTTAAATTGCTCCGTCATAAATTTCCTATAGTGCAACTGGTCCGCGCCTTCCAGCAGATGGCCCCTCCCTCATTCTGTAAAATGGTCCGAACGTAATCGAGCCTTTCTGTGGAAAGATGTAAGCCCCGAACAATAGATCCCATCTGAGGCACAGGAGACGTGACGCCAATGTCTGGTTTAATAATGGTTTAATTAAGCTAATCGGGCTCTCGCAGCGTGATTATCTATTCTCCATCGGCAGACGAAGCGCGGACCTCCAGGACTGGACTGTGCAGACCCACGGGGGTCTGCCCAATCATCGTACAGCCGGAGATTGACATAGAGGTACGTGTGAACCACACGCGTGGCTTTTAATCGGATGGACCAACGGGGTCCGCCTGTGTAATTGTCCCCGTGGACTGTCTACGACCTTTTACGTCTTCTCACATTCAGCAAATTATTTATAGGTTTATATTCCGATGACCTTGATTTTGCATGCACACGTTGACGCATTCCCCATTTAACAGGTAAGCAGGTTCAGTGCTTGATCCCTTTTTAGCCTAATAAAACGTAACAAACATTTCTGGTCCACTCCTGAAGCTCATCATCACTGGCTCGCTTGTTTATATTGTTCACAGCTCATTGAAGCTTCGGCAACAACTTAGGTAACGTCTCGCTTCTCCCCGCTGAGTACTGTGTGCATCTCCCCCCGTCGGCTTCGTGTGGGTTTTTTATCTCATGCTGCATGCTGGTTGTATTGTTTGCACCTTCTGATTTTTTTTTTTTTCAGTTGCAAATGATTCAGTGTGCTAATATTCATCCTCACCACGTGCAAGCATGTTGATGAGTTACATTATTTGTGCTGTTTTCTTCGGGAAACGCTCTCGTCGGCTCCGCTGCAGAGAGTCAGATGAGCTGATGAATATGTTGCTCATATCTGCCCTTGTGAAGTTGGAGGAGAACACGTCAGTGTAGAATTGCCCCATGAGCTCAAAATGGTGAAAAAGACTCAAAACTGTTGAGCTGCTTGAAACCGGGATTACCTGGAGGGTCACGTTAGCTTTTTGGAAAACAAAAGTTTATTCGAGCGGTTGTGTACAATAAAGAACATAACAGACTGGAAGACATTTGTTTTTCAGAAGATGACGTTACTGGCGGTTCGGCACTGATTTTAAGCGTGTCAGTATGATCCGCTCTTATTGTTCCACTAATAACACACATATATCTGTCTCTTTCCAATCAGTGAATGTTTTCCCATCATCCAGTTCAAGAATCTTCTTCAGAGGGCTAAACATTCAGACCCAATCATTTCCAAGAAAGTCATTCGACTGCAGAAAACTGTAGTAAAACGGGAGCGTTTCCGCTGGGTGAGACGTGTGAGTGAAAAGCACGCTGATCGCTTGCGGCCCAAAAGGAGGGAAATTGTGGCTTGAATTCATTCGAAATGGTTATTGCAGCGGCCTGGTGAAGGTCTGCCCTTCACTGAGTGCAGATCTTTGCCAATTCTGCAGAGATACAGGGTGAAGCTGGATTATCATCAGGACACACGCGAATGTTATAATGTTTAGTCATCTATGTACATGCACACTCTCAGCCTTTTCTGTAATTTGTGCTTTTATGTGTTTTGATTTTGCATTTTGTTCTCCCTTAGATGCCCTTGTGCTTTGACGACTTCAATTAAATCTCTTTACACAAAGGGACGCCAAAGCATTCCAATGTAGATTGTTACTTTTACTTTTTGCTGTTTGTAAGTCAATCTCGTCATACTGTGCCTGTGCCTGTTACTTCCTTTGCTCATTTTCCCACAATTACACTGTCGGCATGAGATTCATTTTACGGAAAAGCATCATTATGCAGTGAAGATGATTTTCCTTTCTCTGCGTGCAACGTTAACGTTGCTCTCCTAACGGTCGCTGTCCCGTTGTTGTACTTTTAACAGATTGCGGTTCGCCCACCTGGTCCCCGCGTCCCACCGAACCAGGAGCTCCCATCTGTTGACGGCACGCTGTCTGCTCACGCCGTACCCCCAGGTGAACGATTCCCCTCCACGTCTCCCCAAACCACACTTCAATCAGATCCGTCCTTTGTACTCCGTGCCAGAGAACCGCTCCAGCCAAATAAGTCCCGGCCTTTACCCAGGCCTCACTGTGAATTAGGCAACCAAACGTCACAGGCGCCCGGACACGGTAGCACCCGCTCGCTGCCGCCGGCAGCGGCGGCTTCGACTCCCTCTTTGCGACACGAGCCGAGAGCAAACGGCTGCTGGACGGGCGCGGAGGACACATCTGCCTCCGAAGCCTCCGCCCTTCATCTTCCCACCGCAGGGTCAAATCTGCGGCCAACAACGGGAGAGGACCGTCTCTGTCTGGAGGCGCCCGCCGAGTGCTCCGCTCCCGGCTCCGAGCGAGGCGCCGCGGCGGGATTGAGCCAACGTGTCGCGGGGTTATCGGAAGGTGGCATAATGTGCCAGGGGGGATGCGGGGAGCATCTTCCTCCGGCAACGCCTGAACTCACCGAGAGCGCGGGGCGAGACGGAGAGGAGGAAGGCGCTCCCCAGAGTTCCCCTGACGCATCATTAGCATTATTGGAGAATCCACCGAACCCGTCGTCCGAGGGTCCTGAGGCGCGGTGTGAGCACGACGCCGGCAGGGATGTGATGCCGTGCGTCGTCGTTCTGAGCGCCGTCGTCTGCCTCTCGGTGGCGTTGCAGGAACCCGGCGCCGTCTTTATCATTGGACTTCTTTGGGTCTTGCACCGTTTTTGATCATGCCACAAAAGTTCTTTCGGATCTGTTTGCAAGTAAAGTGCCTTTTTGTGATTCCGAAATAAGCCAACAAGTTTAGAGAAAGAAAAAAGAAAAACAAACGGGAAACCCAAGTCTGTTGAAGTTGTGTGTCACCGTGTGAGTTTATAGATTAGTACATGTTTTAATCAAAGAAAAGGGGAGAACTTAATGAGTGTTGCCATGCAAGGAGAAAGTAATTTTACAAATATTACAGATATTTTTTTAATGCATTATGTGAAAAAAAATGTGCTAGGTAATAGAACAGCAGTCAGTTATTACCCCACTTGTACCACAACGTTGTGATCACACCCACACTGAAGCACAATGTTTTGTATGTGGTCACGTTGATGTGGTGTTGTGTGTTCCGATTCAATAAATCAGTCCTCTAATAGACTTTTCATTGTTGTTGTGAGTGTAGCGAAGGCTGTTGTCTAACCCCACTGACACGAATTTAACTTTTGTGAATTCCACCTGTTACGTCTTAAATGAAGGACAAAAGAAAGTTACGGTAGTGGGACACTTTTGAAACTTGCAATGGAATTTTGTTGACAAAAGCAAAGCAGAGGCTTTGGGATGTGAAGTGTTGCCTTAATGCCAAAAAAACAACCCACGGTGAACAGAAGAAGGGGAGTGGATGCTGCTCGAGGGACAAAAGTGGAAAACTGTCCATTGTGAGATATATTTATTCCTCAGCGTTGCACATTTAGTTTGATGAGTCTTCCCGTGGATTCTAGCTTTTTAAACCCATACTGCTGCTGTTGCACAACACAAAACTGTATCGCACTACTTTGACGGCCTCACAGACCTGAAGCACTGAGTGACGTGTTTGAAGTGGTGGCTATTTTTTGCAGTGTATTGCCATTAAACGTGGTCGTATCGCCTCCACTGTGTCTTTGGTGATTTATTGGTCTTTTCATCCGCTCTGCAGAAGTTGCGGTGTGCATGACAGTTCCGTGCGCAGTAATGACTCCGCAGTGCAGCGAGACTGACGCGCCACAAAAATAACATCAGAGCCCGTTTTTTTTTTGTTTTTTTTGGTCTCTTTTTTTTTTTTTTCAGCTGTCTCATACATTTTTTCAGAGCTCATGGCTCTGCCTGAAGTGGGAATACACACAGACGGTAACGTAAGCTGCGGATAGAAGCCAAAGGTCACGCATTGCTCTGAGGTCGTGGTGTCATCGAGTCCCGGGCACGCTGGCTGATGATCCATGTTCTCAGGAAAGCTCCTCGCAAGTCACACAACGCGCCGCCAGACTATTTCTAATGAGAAGGCCGATGTGCTTGAGGGTCAAACTACTCAGTGCTGTCCTGCTGATTCAATCGATTATATCCCGTATTAACTTTATTAACTTCCAAATGTCCTTGGATGCCAGGAATTCTTTGGATTATGTATTTGGCCTCAAAACAAAATTATTAATCAGAGCACTTCGTGGACTTGTGCAGGGAAAAGGGTGTAATTCATTTGTGTGATGGTCACATAGCCGCAGTGTGGGATGTATTAAAAATTTAAGCAGACTTAAAAGTGACCAAAGGAGGATAATTGGTGTGAATTCTACCACAGAAGTTCAACATGAAATAATTAACAGCTTTTTAGGCAATACAGCGCTGAAAGCTGCATTAGACCAGTATTTCAAAAGAGGATCTGTGAGTGAAACAGCAGCCTGAGGAGTATTTTCTCACCCTTTTCCTCTTTCCGTTCCATGTGATATCACTGAGAGAGGGTTTTGTTTGTTCCAGAGAACATATTTCAAACAATAACACCCTCCTTCAATATGTCAGTGCACTGTAGAGGGATTAGCACCCATGGTCCATTGATGCTTAACGCCTTTATCCAATCCCTCACAGCCATTATTTAACCCAGATATGTTTTAGTCCGATCTCTAAAGCCTGTAAAATCTTCAAAACATCCCATTCAAAAACGTGGAATGAGGCCATAAAGACCTTTGAACCTAAACGAAATGTAGTCCCGCTGCTTATCAGGCGAGCCATTTGTCAATCAAATTATATCTTATGGCATTAATGCTTGTCCCTTGGAGATTAAAATGACATCCCTCATGTCCTGTCCCCAAAATACATTTGAGGGTTAACTAGCGAGTGATAATGGGTTTTGTAATTTAATGAATGTACTTTTTTTTTGCTAACTGTCGTTTCAATCCATAGTTGAGATATTTCACTTTGGATCAAGCTACAGAGATACAGCATCCATAGATACTTAAAGGTCCTCGAAACAATATTCAGCGCTAACAGTGCGAGCAGTGGCAACGGTGCTGACAGAGCTAACGCTGTTAGGCGGGACGGAAGGCGATCTTCCACAACGGGACGGCGTTATCGTAACGGCAGTATGAGTGTGAGTATGAATGCACATGCTGAAATGTGCATTAAAACCAAGCAACAAAAACAAACAGCGGCAGGCTGGGATAACATTGCACACAGGGCAGACATTCCTCCACTGTACCTACACTTAGCCAACGGTTGTTTGCTGCCTTATTTTGCATATTTCATAGAAAACCTTTAAGTGAGATGGATGATATGTGGTATAAATCAAAAAGGGAGGTGAGGTATAGTGAATAACGGTGAGATCTGAGAGATCGATTTCAGAATTTCAAAGGTATGTCAAAATTACAAACATAACCTTTCTTTTGCACAAATGGGAAATAAAACAATGTATATTTTGTGGTGTTTAAGGTCTCCCTGGAAATTTGAGTTGTGCTATTTTATCCTGTCAAAAAGGAGGCCCAGAAGGTCGGGGGGGTCGATTCCAGACTCGAGACCTTCATTTCATGTCACATCACTTGCTCTTCACCTATTTCCAGTTCTTTCAGATAAATCCTCTCATTCCAGAGGCCCCTGAACTCTTTGCTGCGGCCCTGCGGGCCCGTCTGTGCCTTTTTCAGGCCGCAGTCCCTCCCGGGGGGGGAGCAGCGGGGGGCCGATGAGAGACCCGGCCGGTCTACAGCTGGAGCTCCTCGCTGTGGGAGAAACCAGGCGGCGTCACAGACTGCGTGATGCCGGGGAGACAGTTGGAATAAAACATCACTTTCAGACTGCTCACAATAGCTCACTGCTCCCTCTCTCCCTCCCTCGCTCCCTCTCTCTCTCTCTCTCTCCCCCGCTGCCCCGAATAAAACCGACGCTTTCCGCGAATGTGCGAGCTGCCTCCTCGCGAGCGGCCATAATTGGGATTATTCAGGAATAATTCACCTAATCCAGCCGCGTTGTTCTTCTTCTCTTTTTTTTTGTCCCGGATTCGGGGTTTCGACGGCGTTTGGTCGACGTGACATCGCTGGATTTACCCGAGATGTGTTTGTCCTGTCGCGCAGGGTTTTTTATTTATTTTTTTATTCTGGACTAATAAAATGTAGCCTGCCTTCGCTGGACAGCAAACACACAGACTGCATATTAACAGTTCGGGGTAAACGCATCGCCTTTTTTTTCTCTTTCTCTTTCTCTTTTTTTTTACTGAAGAATGGGGCAAAGAGGCGAATCGAGGCGGACTAATTGTTCTGGTGCCATTATCCGACACACATGCCAGGGCGACGGCTTTATGGGATGCGCGAGTCATTTCCTTCCCCTGTAACGCCTGTGGGTGGGTTGATTGCGAGCGTTGAGAAGCTGACATCATTTGGATGGATGTGCACAGATGAAGATAATGTCCTTTCCACGCGTCTGCTTCCGGCCCAGTGGAAGTCCGTCCTCGGCGGGGTGCAGCGCAGAGATGTGTTTTCTCGGATGATATTCAGACACAGATGGACAACATCCCCCCCCCCCCGCGCGCGTGACACTGTAACAGGGTGGATCTTTTTTTTTCTTCTTCTTCTTCTTCTTCTTCTTCTTCTTCTTCTCATACACCTCTTAAATGAGTCCTCATCCCGGATCGCTTGATCAGCTGTTGATTATCATCAGATTAGCCTCTATTGTCTCGTGTTTATTGTACGTCGGGGCAGATTCGATTTTCCTCGCGATGGATTTATGAATAACAGGTGTTGTTTGTGCTCGAGAGCACAGCACGAGCATGAGGCTTTTATTATGTCCTTTTCTCCACGTTTAACAAACGGTGAAACAAAGCGACGGGGACCCTTTTGTGTTTTTTGCCGTGAAGAAAAAACATACCCCCCCCCCCCCAAATAAAAGATGAAAGGATGAAAGGTAGGTTATCCTCTCTTTCTCTCTGTCTCTCCTCCCTCACACACACACACACACACAGACACACACACGCACACGCACACGCAAACACACGTACACACAACGGAGGTGATTTTGACACCTGTTCATCTGTTTTTCAGTCCAGTCTGTGTTTCAGGCCTGGCCGACACGAACGACCGTCGAATCACAAAATCGTAAAATGATATTAGTCAAGGTGTTTTGCAAAAAAAAACAAGTCCTCTGTTACAGCAGATCACATTATGTTTCATGGCCTACATAGACACGGCCCACCCAGACGAGCACCGCGAGGTTTTATTATCACCACACAGCGATAAATGAGTTTTTAAACGAGGCCCGCTTCTCGGATCGGTTTTATAAAATTGAATTTTTCACGTTTTGAGTCATCTTCTTTAACCCGGGCTGACTGTGGGCTCCTTACTGAAACACTGGGGCCGGATTATGATAATCAAAATAATAACTTCCACCTCCTGTTGAGAGACTAATGCAGACACGTAGGCCCACAGTACACCAAAAAGAAAAATGGCTGCCCGTTATATTTTCATATTTCTTTGACGTGTGAATGGGACACACTGCACCGTGTGCTCTTAAACTAGACTGTCACGCACAACACTTGCACTGAGCGTCAGAGAGAAAGCATTACATGCTCTTTGCTCTTTTGCAACGTCTCTGTTTGCTGGACATGCTTTGTGTTACTTGTACTGTGTCTGCTCCATCCCCCCCCATCGTACACCCCCGTGCATTCACTCAAACACCCACACTTGCACAAAGTATGTGAGCTGTTGTATCTTAGCAACGGGCAAGGTAATTACAGAGAGAGCCAAGGAGCTGGCATGCTGTAGAGCTGCTGATCTGATCCCAGCCTCAGAGAAAGAGGAAGGCGAAGATTTCAGACGCCGTGTCGCCCCCAACACAGCACTTCTCCGCTCACGCTGTTAAATGTGAGCCTGGCACTGCTTTAGACCTAACGGGCAACATCAGACATCTTGTTTTCCGCTCCTCAAAATCTGTGTCTCTGTTCACAGGAGAGATGAGTCTGTCACGTAGGAACGATCCACGCGGCCTCTCCTTGTAAAGACGAAAGGCCCCGCGGGGGACGACGGTGTAGGAGGATCACTAGTGTTCATAAAAAGGGACCGAACCAGGCGGGCTCCAGTGGGAGGTGATAACATGGCTAACCAGAGCTTTGCCATCGATGGCCCCGGCAGTTTGCTGGCGGTACTGGCTTCGCAGAGCGGAATGGCAAGAGCCGGCGGCGGCGGCGGCAGCAACGGCGGCAGCAACAGCGGCAGCAACAGCGGAGGAATCTCCGCCGCAGATGTGTCCGCCTACTTTAAGCTGGTCTTCTTGAGTTTGATCATCTGCGTGGGCCTCGCGGGCAACCTCTTGGTCTCCCTGCTGGTTCTCCGGGACAGGACACTTCACAAGGCTCCGTACTTCTTTCTCCTGGACCTGTGCCTGGCCGATGCGGTTCGCTCCGCCGCCTGCTTCCCCTTCGTGCTGGCTTCCGTCCACAACAACTCGGCGTGGAATTACAGCGCCCTGAGTTGTAAAGTGGTGGCTTTCATGGCCGTGCTGTTTTGTTTTCACGCTGCCTTCATGCTGTTCTGCGTGGCCGTCACCCGCTACCTTGCCATCGCCCACCACCGATTCTACGCCAAGCGCATGACCATCTGGACCTGCGCCGCCGTCATTTGCATGGTGTGGACTCTGTCCGTCGCCATGGCGTTCCCACCTGTCTTTGACGTGGGGACGTACAAGTTCATCCCCGATGAGGACCAGTGCATTTTTGAACACCGCTACCTGAAGACCAACGACACCCTGGGCTTCATGCTCATGCTGGCCGTGGTGGTCCTCGCCACCCACGGGTTCTACGCCAAGCTGCTCCTATTTGAGTACCGGCACCGCAAGATGAAACCTGTCCAGCTGGTGCCAGCGATCAGCCAGAACTGGACCTTCCACGGTCCCGGGGCCACAGGTCAAGCCGCAGCCAACTGGATTGCAGGTTTCGGTCGGGGTCCCATGCCACCCACCCTGTTGGGCATCAGGCAAAACTTACACAATCAACATCGGCGGCTGCTCGGGATGGAAGAGGTGAGGTCAGAGAGGAGGCTGGGCAGGATGTTCTACACCATCACCCTGCTCTTCCTGGTCCTCTGGGCTCCTTACATCGTGGCGTGCTTCTGGAGGGTCTTTGTCAAGTCCTGCACCATCCCCCACAGGTACCTTTCCATCACGGTGTGGATGAGCTTCGCCCAAGCCGGAGTCAACCCCATCTTCTGTCTCCTGCTCAACGAGGACCTGAGGAAAGTGCTGAGAGCTCACCTGCCCACATACTGGAGGACTAAACAACACCTGCCCCAGGACGAGGCCTACTGCATTATGTGATAAGATATGAGTTCAATAATCAAGAGAATGTTTCAGGTTTCAAAGGGAGTATTTGGAGAGTAGAAGTGATCTAATGCACCATGGTTGAGTGTCTGTTTTGTTGTTCCGCACAACATCAAATATTTTGCCGACAAATGCAGGCACAGTGCCATTTTATTGAGAATGTTGATATTTGAATAAATGCGTGCGATGCGGCGGTTCGAGCCCAGAGAAGCCCTGGCGACGGTTTGTATTTCTGATGATGTGCTGTATGATTACTAAGTAGGAAAGATCACAACTATCACCGCTCCAACTAAGTGTGACAGATGCCATTTTAAAAATATGTTGCCTTATTTCGATGGGACACGCCCCAGAGCTTTCAACCGAGAGTGAGTTACTGTGTCACTTGAGGCACGAAACAGACGCACAGCGGGTGGAAATCCTTGAAGAAATTTGCTGCGGACTGTGAATAGAAAGTGTTAATCGGAGCGTTACTAACTGTGAAACACATCAAGGAACTCAAAGGGTCTGAATGGATTCAAAGACCACCCCGGACGCCTTTTCATGTAATTCAAAGGAGAGACTGCAGATTATTGAATGGACCCAATAACCTTGGATACATTTAAAATAGTTGTTTTAAACCCGAGAAACCCCTAACATGCTTGATTTTATGAACCTGATTTAGGGCGTGTCAGGTTTCTTTGTATCATAAAAAAATGCCTGTTTTCCTTTATTTGTAAACTATACATGTTAAGCAGATGACACTATTTTGAAATATGACTTGATTTCATATTGTACAGACTGTACAGGAATGTATATTCCTGCTTGTGTTTTTTATATAACATTTGTGTGTGTGTGTGTGTGTGTGTGAGAGAGAGAGACAGAGAGGAGAAGGAGGAAGATGAGAAAAATAATAATGATAGAATAGGTCCCAGTAATATTGAGTCAATATGAAAGCAGCCTCATCTTGGTGTCTCAAAATCATGCGAAATTGAACAGTAAACATATGGAAATGTATCCTTCATTTCCTTAACTGAAAAATGTAGTTTCTTTTCAGGGTTCAGGGTTATGAAAAAGGGGACTGAATAATTAGAAAACAACCGGCGAAAGAATTGAATGACTTGAATGATGATGTAAATTTACTTTGTTTAAAAAAACAAAAAACATTTGCAATTGGTGATTTTGGGAATGTTTTTAAAGTATTGTTATGCTCTCACCAGAATACAAAAAAAGAGAAAAGGAATGAAGTGACTCTTAATGAGAAGAAAACTTGAATGTTTGCAGGCCCCCTTCCATATATCTACAGCCCCCCCCCCCAAACATAAATGTCCCCATCCGAGTGTCCTGTACTGGATCAAAGGAAGCTCAGGCTGCATACGACCCCGCAGGCGTTTGTTGTGTGGCAACCGGCTCAAAGTACATGAAGGTGTCTCCAAATGCCGAAGAGAATCCAAAATGTCAGACCTGCAGTATGTTAGGCATATATACTGTATATTTGTGCAGTCAGTTTTCTAAATGTGGACACTTGCACTGCATACTGTATTAGCATGCATCCCACGGCATTTCATAGACTCAGGACTGGGGATTACAACCTGTACAGATGTTGATATGGAAAGACGAAGTAAAGTGGGAACTGAGGTCCATCATTTTTACGTCTGGCATTCCTTGGCGAGATGATATTCTGTAACTGTACAGTTTACCTGAGGTGGTTCTTTTGCCCACTCATCAATAAAGACTCTACTTTTGATGCACTCTGAGTAATGAGCCGTCTGGATTTTACGCTTTCACGGGAAAAAGACCGCTTAGAAGTTTATCTACCGCACAAATGACACCCTGTGTAGGATCTGTGGAGACAGGTGCAGAATTACACAAACTGAGGAGTTCGTATGTGTGGCACATTTGTAATATAACACTTCAACTGGACTCTTGTAAACAAAAAGTAATGTGGTCAGAAGTCACAAGTTGATTTCTTAATTTAGTGATCAGACATATTTAGATCTTCATGAAGTAGATTTTAAAGTGAGACTATTTGACTTTGGCTGATATGAATGAAATTAACCGGATAATAGTGGATATAGTGAATATTACACAAACAGAGCGGAGTCATACAAAGCTGTGCGGCAACTACTGTTCAAAATTTGATATAATTAGTAACCAGAAGCTACAGGTCAGAAAGTAGTGCTAAAAGAGTGTAGCCACACTTTAAACTATGAAGCTAAAGAAATATTTTCTAAAATGTGTGTTATAAAATCATTCGGGATTGGATTCAAACGTTAAGTGGTTAAATTCAGTAATATGTTTTTTCTTAGAAATAGCATTTAATTGCGATTCTCCAGAGGGAAACCATAAAGATCTTTGTTTTTGATACAGAAATAAGGTCAATAAAAATAGCTGCTCCTGTGTTTCCGGCTTCTCGAGCGGCAGCTGTGGAATCTTTAGTGTAAACCGGGTAATTGGCTCGAGGCGGCATCCAATGCTTCAACAGACACAGAAAAACTCATTTCATTCTTTAAACTCAGGCACTATCTGGATGAATAGCATCTGATTAATAAGCATCAGGATTCCACTCCAAAAGCGAAATAAATGCCTTCTTTTAGGATGTGGTTAACTGTTGTTAAGGGTTAACTCCCCAGACCGATAAGGAACAAAAATTCTTTGTGTACTGAATCTCATTTAGACGGGTTCCAAACCTTATTCACACATAATCATACTTGTGACATTATAAAATATAAATGGAATGGGCGTTCGAGAACATGATGATTCAATTTTAATTAGGGCCCGATTGAAATACAGCCATTGTGTGATTGCGTATTCTCTGGATACACAATTATCCTGTACTTTGAATGTGAAAGAGGAGTAATTTCCATTGTCTTTATTTGAGCGCTGTGGCTGATGAAAAAGACGTTTCCATAGTGAGCAGCATCACCCGAGTGGACATCTGCTAAATAGTCCCGTTAACAGGTTGCATACGGCTGTGCGGAGCTGGTGTGGAACATTCACCTTATTTTTATCTTATTCCCACTTCTCTCAGAGATTCGCCACAACAAAGGCTCTTACTCATTTGCCAAAAACGTGTCCTCGCCCACTGAAGATAAGGATCGTTTGCATCGTCCAATCGGGAGTTTTGTGTTGCTCTCTCGGATAGAAATCCTTGTTGTTGTTTGTTTCTTTCACATTACTAACGACACCACCAACCGTGAGAGGATGAAATATGGCAAGTCTGAGGGGGCAGCATTTGTGTATTAATCACACAAAATGTGTTCAAAACATCAAATTATAGATTATATTCACACTGTGCTTCTCCCCACCCTGTAAACACATTTTTCAGTAAACTATTTTTATCTTTTTCATGCACTGATACGGTGCAAAAGGTGCACAGATTGTGCCAAGATGCATTATACACGAACGTATAATATCGACTGATTAGACATAGAACTGCATTCTGTGTAGAAATAGTATGGCTTTATTCTGTGGTTGCGACTAGTGTCCCAAAACACCCATCAGACGGATCCAAAGACTATTAAATGGATCAAATAAATGTGTGAAGAGGTCATTAGAGACGTCAGCTCAACATTATTTTTTCCAGATTTGGCGTTTTTTTCTCTTGAAACTAGATCTATTCAGCCTCCAGAAACCCATGAAATTACACATTACAAGGTATTAGAAAAGGACAAATGACTCCACGGCTGAACTCTACAACACAAGTACAAATTATTTCTGTTAGGGTTCACAGGTTGGAAAGTAAATCTACCTGATATTTTGTGGATAATTACTCAACAGGAAAAGGTGACGCGGGTAAAAACAGTGTTATAAGTTTGTGATTGGATTTTTGGAGCTTTAAAAAGAAATAGCACAATCACGAGTCCGGAGTATTCATCCTGAGGAGAACATGCAGATCTGTAAAAACACAATCAAGCCAATATCCCCAACATCGACGTCCACTGGGCAACGCCAAAAGCCTCCTCAGCGACGTGATTATTATGATTCACGGCCAAACAGCTCCAACACTAATGAAAACCATAGAAGACCACATGCGAGTTATTTCACCGTTCTATAACGATATCTTATCCATTGATACATGACATCGATTGCCAAGAACCAAAAGCAACGGAATATTTTCCCTTCAGTCATTGAAGTCGGGAGATGGGAGAAAAGCCCACACAGTGACTAATACTCTCCTCCACCGTAGGCCGGACCACCCGGCTACATCAGGCTCTTATTACCATTTCCATCTGATCGTTTCAAATACATTTGGTGAAAAAGAAAAACCCCACAAAGACCGCTGACAGTTCCAGTAGTTTATTCAGTATGTGCGTTCAATAAATTATTTGAATCTGCAACCAGCATGATCTGAATAGCGCACACGGATCAGTACAAACACATATTCAAAAAGAGAGACGATCAATTTGACGCGCCTGTGGTCTGGTGGCGACTTCAGTGTCATGCACATGGTCGTAAATGCAAAAAAACAGGCGATTGCAGAACGGAAAGCAAACACGGCGGGTTTTACTGCACTTGATTACACTGCTCGAATAACAGTTACATAAATAGTGAACTAGATCTACGCCGGCGTGTGTGTGCGATACCAACTGTTGCACCGGTTCTCTCCGGAAGATTACGTTGCTTCCTCCTAACATGGAATTCGGTCACACCCGTACGGGTCAGAGGTCAGCCATGACACATGCATGGAGTGGTGCTGTGTTAAAAAGAAAATTCTTAGCTGTAGGAGTACCGACACACACACACACACAACCCCCCCCAAAACATCCCTACCACCTACACAGCACGGTGTTCTATATCTGATTGCACTTGAGTCATCGTTAAACGTTTACATTCCAGTGAAAGACCTGCGGACTCGTTATTGGACGGTTAAAGGAGCCATTTTGGACGGCGGGCCGGTCACTTCTGCTCCCGCCTCCAGATGATGACCATGCCGGTGGAATCGGCGGATGCCAGCAAACTTTCGTCGCAGTTGAAGCTGACGTCCAGCACCGGTCCCCCGTGGCCCTGCAGCTTGTTCACAATCGCCTTGGTGTTGCGTTCGACGTCGAAGAAGTAGACGCAGGCGTCCTCGCTGCCGGTCACTGCGTGGGAGAGGGAGGAGCCGGCGATCACATGGTGAGGTGGGGCGGGCGGAGGGGGGGGGGGGGAATGAAAAGGAACCAAATGAATGTCGGATGGCCGTCTAAACAGAGACGGTTTTGAAATGAACATGCGTCCCACTGTGTCCGGGCCAAAGCGGTGCACGTGAACACAGTGTAAAGACGACAGTCACGCCGCGAAGACGAGCAGTGTGCATTCTGTGCGAGGAAATAACTGTCCGTCCCGGCAGAAAGTGGAGTCGGCCATTTAAAAAAAGGACACGGAAATGACGCGAGGCCGTTTGCCTCCCATTTTCTCAGCCTCCACTTAGCTCCCAGAAGGCCGTGTTCTTGTGAGAACATCCGTGCGTTTGGAAGGATCAAATGAGACGAGGATGGAAAAACGGACAACCTTCTGCGCGTTTCTCACTTTCATTTCTCCTCACAATTGCTGAAGCCGAACAGTCAATCGGGGCAGATTTCTCACATATATACAGTATATATTAGATCATACTGATTATTAGATTATTGTGAATTGCCCGTGATGGTGACAAAGATTGTCATAGTATCGGAAATAAAGAAGTGATAAAAGCCAAATAAGGTGAAGCTAAAGTGGAGCGGTGTTAAATATCCCTCATGCAAACAATTTGCTGAACAAATTGCTCCATACAATGAAAATCTACAACCCTTTGGAAGTCGAGTACTATACAAAGCCAATAAAATTGCCTTAAAGGTAGGTTACTTCATAAGATAAAACGTTGCTATTTTTCTTTTTTCTTTTTAGCTCCCCCCCAAAAAAAACAGTCTGCTATTTTTTGAATATCCTCACATATATACATATAAATCACTCATTTAAGCTGCAGCTTATAATCTACTACTGGAATATCTTACCCACACAGGCCCCTTGTCTGAAAGACATGAGGGGGCAGAAGATGCTGTGTACATGCTGGGACCCTTGTTTGATAGGGAAGCTCCTCTTCAGCTGCAGAGTCCCATCATTGTCCACCACCCTGCCGGGGCAAAGAAAAGGTGGAACAACTGATCAGATTCAACCCACCCATCCAAGCACACCCTCACATACCAGCTGCACAATCGGAAACGGCGCCTCGCCCTCACACACGGACCTGTACAGCAGCAGCTTATTGACACACGCGTTGATGAGCAGGGAGGGGTCTCTGGCCTCTCGGCTGATCCAGGACCGAGCAGATATGCTGCAGATGGAGCTGCCTTCGCTCACCACCAGACGCTTGGCTTTGGTCAGCTTCCCTGTGAGGGAAGGGAGGGTGGAGCAGAAACGCACATTAACCCCCTCGACCAGAGACACTATCCAGTGTGTGATTTTAGATCCGATTGGAGTTTGCGACTCGGGTGCCTTTGCCCTCTGCTGGAATGGTACCTGTGGCCATGTCAAAGAGGAAGGAAAAAACACTGCCCCGGTCGTCGCCGGCCCAAAGGATCCTCCCTGGGGCATCAAAGGACAGAGACAGCACGCGGCCCGTCAGCTTACTGGAGCCCCCCTTCACCTTCTTCCCTGTGGAGATGTTCACCACCTGCAGGTGGTGCTTGCTGTTTCCCACCTGCACGACAGAAGCGGGCGTGAGGACCTGCAGCACCTCCACGAGGGAGCTCCGATAACCCGACCGGTCAGAGTGTTCTTTGAGGGTGCAGTGAAGACAGGTTGTATTTGTAAAATATAACACTAAGCAATCCGACGTGAAGCACCTACTGTCGATGTCTGAATGGTGTGAATAGGCGAGCTGTTACGGGGACGGGATGAAAGGCTCCTATAGAGATGCTTTGAATTAATTTCTGAAAATACTTTACTCACAAAAATGACAGTATAGTCAAATAAGCGCTGATTATTAAATATATTATTACAGCATGTTGTGTACGTAGAGGAGTAAATAAAAACTGAAGAATACAGTGTAATTGATTGTGGGACGCGAGCACGTTTGCTACATTTTCCCAAAATTCTGAACACTGTATGTGATCAAATTTGACTTATATGCCAAGAATAAGTGTCAAAATGGATTTCTGGTGACAGAGACATGAGAAGAAAAGTATTTATAGTGTTTTTCAGGTTTAACCAGTGCCTCGCCTCCCGAGGTGTTCGCACTAGTCCAACAGAGGCCTTTTCCCATTTGACACAAAGCAAATACTGACAAGCAATCGTTGGTTTAAGTCGTCTTTAAAAGACTAAATCTGCAAACAGCTGCAAAGCAGAGTCGGGGATTTAAATTCAGACGTTTGAAATGTCAAAAATGAGACACAGATTTGATGTCTTAGCAAAATAATGACGGCATCCTAGACTTTTTTTAAAACGCATGGATCATTAAGTATTATGTGAAATATTCTTGGATTTGTTGTTAAAATCTAGAATTATCACAGATTTACTGAGCCATCAAATCAAAGTATTGCCATTGTTATTGAAGTCAAACATTTCTATTATTGTTTGTGTTTACAAAACATCAGGCGGCTTTTGCAAACTTATTATAGGCCTGTAAAATATTAAATATACAGCATAAGTATAATTTAAGATATTGAATCACACCCAGGTTTTTACCTTAAGCAAATCTAGGATGAAAAAGTGCCCCACAATGGACCTATGGGCCACCCTTGTACTAGAGAGTATAAAAAAATGACAAAACGTCTCCATCGGGACTCACCACCGTGAGGTTGTTGTTCATGGGCTGAAAGGTGCAGCAGAGCAACTCGCTGGATTCCGGATCTCTGACCTCTCGAATGCACCGGCCATCCCCCGTGTTCCAGATCCGTAGAGTCCCATCGAGTGACGTCGACACGATGATGTCATTGCTCAACGACCAGGCAAAGTCCGTCACTGGACCTCCGTGACCTTTGAGGGTCACCTTCACACTGGGGGGGGACGGGGACAGCGTCATGATGGAGAGGCTGCCATCCAGGGAGCAGCAAGCCAGGAGATGCTTGTCGTCATTAGCAAACTGCAACCGTGGGACTAAAGGAACAAAGAGAGGAAGATCGGCCGGGATAAATGTTGAAGCTTAATGTGTTGAAATGAATCATCTCATATTTTAAAGACTATATAACTTACCAGCAGAGTCGACATGTTGGTCAAATATGTGGTGCATTCCAGCGAAAGCATAGTTTTCACTCAAGGTGGTGTCCCCCGCCATGGCACGACTGGCCTCTGCCACCGAGGTGGGCACCAAGCTGCCCGGAGGCCTGCCGCCAGAAATGAAAACACTGAGTACAACAAGCTTCCCCAAAGCCGACAACTCAATATACGAGATCCGATCATTACAGATTGCAACCGAACCGAAGAGTTACAGCCAGCAAATCCAACAAAACGCAGCGGCTCAAAGGAGCAATAAATCAAAAGAGAATTGCTTCAGGCGATGAGACAAGAGGCTGAAGGCGAGTGGAGGGTCTCGTTCTTCCGGGTACCTCTCATCGTACCCGGCTCTGTTCATCTGGGCCTGCAGCTGGTAGGAGCCTCTGCTGACGGACCGCCGGTGGCCACGAGCCCCTTGGGCGCGGGGGTCCTCCTCGAAGTCCTGCCCGAGAGGAGAGGAGAGGATGAGGAGGATGAGGAGGGAGCCGCGGGGGGGAGAGACAGAACTCGTGACCACAAACAATCAGAAAATGACAGTCACTAAGTCCTGAAATGAACATGGTTTTGAAGTCAATGGTATTGCAAATATACACGGGCACTGCCAGCCATTTCAACCAAGCTGCTTGGTGCGTTCGAGTGTTACCCGTCTATGCTGCCGATTAATGAATACTAAGGCGGGACCATCCACGTGTCCCTCATATCTTGTTTCCTATATTTTTTTATTTCAACTGTCGGATATTTGCAGATCTTATTTTCAAACGAACACAGACCCCCACCCCCCTTTTTTTCTACTCCTTCCTTCCTTCTACTTTCCCTGCCCTTTCTTCGGGTCTGACCTCCATGCGGTCCAGTGTGGTGCGGGAGCTGCGCACACTGCTGGCCCTGAAGCTGCTCTGCTCGGACAGGGGCCCGTAGCGCAGGGCCAGCAGCTGACTGCGCAGCCTCAGGTACTGCCTGCGCAGCCCCGGCTCAAAGCCACACTTGGCGTTCTCCCTGAGCAGCTGGCTGCGTCGGCGGATGTACTGAGTTCGGAACTGTGGGAACGTAGGCGTGCGGTAAGCATTGTACCTGGGGAAGGGAAAAGTCACACAACACACACACACACATACACACAGATTAACTCACAAGTGATCCATAAGCAACTACACGTCTCCTTCGACACTTTAGACAAATAGAAGCCGGTGTGAGGAGCCTCACCTTGCGTCCACTGCCAACACCTGCTGCCAAACTGCTGCCATTCCACAAGCACTGTGCGTAGAGAGGAACCCACTGCCAGGGCAGATTCCTGCCCAGAGGAACATGGCACATTCATTTATAGGCAACTGGCGATAAATGACAGTTACGCCCCTGTATACACAAACAGCTTAGCTTAGCGTTGAGTGTTACATTCAGAGGATTTGAAATATCATCCTCGCATCCACAGCTCAAGGTGGCGATGATGCAGAACGTGATGCCACCACAGGACTCGCTGTTTAGCGACGTTTGACACCGTGATGTAAATTGTTAAACTGTGAAAATTAAAACGAAGAACGAACGGGTTGGGGGACGTTAGCGTTTGGCGGAAGCGGAACCCAAAATGCACGGGAGCGCATTTCCTGACAGCTAACGTCTCAAAGCTAACCGACGTCAGCTAGCAGCTAGCGAGTTAGCCACAACATCGGGCGCGATTTACTCCCACAAAAATCAGTCCCCCCCCCTCGTTCTCCAGCGTCGGTAGATAGCGTTCCGGTAGGCAGGGTCGTGCGGGGTACAAGGTAGTTTCATTTTTCAAATGCGGCACAGAATGAAACGAGAAATGAACGTGGAAACACGGCTCACCTTCCTTAGCTTTTCTCCATCGCTGCGTTAGCGTCGGGTCACGTGACGCGGTGCAACCAGCCCACGTAGTGATGTGGAGAGTTAACGTCGTTCATTAGCTAATAAGAGCAATATCTGTTGTAGCATTTTATCCAGATCACAAGAAACCACTGGGTACGAATAGTTTGTAAAAGGTCTGCATTGAAAAAAGTAAACGTATGAGTAGTATCATCGAGCTAAAGTAAAAGTACCATTAGGCATTAATGTGTAATCATGCTGCAAGCTGGGTATCTTATTCTATATTAATGATTGAAATACTACTACTACTACTACTACTAATTGTTTATTTATATTAGTAAAGTAATTTGCCGCAAATTCAAATGGTAAATCAATGTAGTTGAGTAAAATACAATATTCTAAAGTGTAGGAATGTACAATTTTACAAAAGCTCTGTGCTTCCACCACAGCAAAGTCTACACCATCAAGATTAAAATGATTGCAAATGTGAGCCTCACTTGATGACCCCTGATATTATCCTTCACTCCTGAAGTGCTGACAACACTTAAACTAATGTGTAACAACCAAATTTGACTCGTCTATACAGCGTCTAATGTGGCTGATCACTTTTTTTTTTCTTTTCTTTTTTTTAAAATGATCCCGGTTTAAATCATAAAACACATCCACAGGACAATGGGTGAAAGCGCGGTTCCAGCGGGATCACAATGGCAGTATGACAAGGTCAGCTCGGAGGTTTCGCCTGGCTCAGCAGAGACCTGCGGAGCTGCTCAGCTGACGGGGCTCTTTGCTTGTTCGAGGCGCTCTATCTCAAAGGGGCCCCGGTGACGGAGTCATTCACAAGCAAGGGCCATAAATGGCCGAGTTGAACGCCGCATTGAGCACTGCATTCTCAGGAATCAGACCTGACTGGAGCACAGCCAAAATGCCTGGAACAAAAGGTACAAAATGGGAAAGAAACATTTATTTAGATAAAAATACGTTTTGTTTTTATTTATCTACGTGCTAGCTGAGCTGCATGTTCAATGGTGTATACGTTTAAATGGCTAATTCAAAAATTAACGTCTGTCTGTTTCCGTTCTCAGGTAATAAGTCGGACAAGAAGTCAGCTACCAAGGTAGGAAAAATCATTACTATACTGTACTCATACACTAGTTTTCTACTGAGTATTTATTGTTTCATTTGACGGTTATTATTGCCTTCACTTCACAGCAACCTCAGAGTCCTAAAGAGCAGCCGAAGAAAGCTGAGCCGAAAGGAGATGATACCAAAAAGCAAGGAGGTAAGCATTTACACGAGGCTGCATTTGGTCCGCATGACATTTTGACCCGGTGGATCAAACCTGTGCACACAGTAGATGCATTCCAAGTTTAAACACAAATTAAAAAATTAAAAAAAGACATTCCAAGTGTAGGTATCTGTCTGCGCTTCTTCTCCTAGCAGGACAGCCGAAGGGAGAGAAGCAATAACTTCCAGGCGTTTGTGAAGATGGCTTTGGAGACACTGCTGGGGTCCTGTCGCCGCAAACACGGCAGCTCCCGGGGCAAACAGGGCTGAGCGCACGTCTCCCATCGCACGTCTCCCATCGCACTCAACCTGAACCTGAACCTGCAGGCTGGGCGGTTGTGTGGCCTTCCAAACCAGCGTCTGGTTCACCTCTCGCGGAGAAATAAAAGTGGACCTGATTTCCATCCATCCCCGTCTGCTGTTTAAACCCTCCCCGGCCCTCTTCCCCACGCAGGCTTATCGGATGCTCAGAAATAGACTCCAGGTTAAACCGGACCATTGCTGCGAGCAACAACAACAACAACAACAACAACAAAAAATGTTGTTATCCCTTTGCAATCCTCCCTGAACTCGCCTTCATATCACAATCGACTGTCTAACGGTCCTTCTTGTAAATAATAACGATGCAAATAAACAACTATTTCTTACAGCAGTCCATGTATGGGGCTTTATTTGTACCGGATATTCTGACGTTTGTTATCTTCTCAGACTTTCCCATTGAATTAAACAGACAATAATCCAGGTTTGATGTAAAATTTTATAAAAATATCACAGATGTATCAGTGCGTTCACATTAACAGGGAGAAAAGTCGGCTTAAAGTACATATCACAATGGTATTTGATATACTCTGCTTGTCGGATTGAGTGGTATTAGTTAGCAAACATTCCGGCTCTCGTCTACAACACTACGTCTTTGTCACGAAGCAAATCCTTTTGACGTCCCAGTTTTCAGAAAGATGTAGACGGAAAGTAAACACAATCTGACACAGGCGCTTTGATTCTTTTGTCGGGGAATCATCAATTACATAAATGCTCCATTTAAAGCAGCTGCGTGGTAGAAATCTGTACTTATGGTTCAATATAGTTTTCTGTACCATTTCATCCACTTTGAAATTAGAAAAGAAGTTTAAACATTTCCCCCGTGACAGTAACAAGTGTGAAATACCCTGATTCCAAACCTCTATTCTCAATACCGGACAAGGAGTTTTTAAAATGTTCACATATACTGATGAGATCTTCGCTAAGACAAATCATGAAATTGTTTAAAGGAAATTGTCGTAATTACACAAAACAAAATACAAACACCATTAGCAAATTTCACTACACAAATGATTTGTAGATTACTGATTCATTTCTTTATCTAGAATAGAAAGGGAAAATATTTTTACATTGTAAGTGCTGCCTCGTATTCGAAACCTGTGCTCTCATCATCCCAAAACAGAAACCTGTCTGTGTTATCTTACACATGCACAACGCACAACCTCTGGCAAAGAATGTGGAGGATTCTACGTGTTTCTTAGTTCCAGCAAATCCCATGAAAACGCTCGATCCACGAATGTAGTACGTGTGGCTTCTTTCTGCCTCCATCGTCGTCCTGCTGCTGCACATGCACCCGGTGGAACAGGCCTATCAATTAAAGTAATCTTGTTCGAGAAACTACAGTGCTCGGGTATTTTAGAAAATCATTCATTCATTTAAAAAAAATGTAAATATAAAAACATGCTTAGTCGTGAGAGCCACGGACTCTTAATGTTCAGTTTTCCTTTTCATGGGATTTATGGAGAAACAAGAATACGTAGAACTCCACCAGCCTCGTCTTTAAAACTATAAACTTGATTGTAGAACACTTGAGGTGAAGGAGAAACCACATCTGAGGGGGGGGGGGGGGGGGGGGGGGGGGGGGGGGGAAAAAAGCCCTCCCCCGGCCCCCCAAAAAAAAAAAACCCGCCCCCCCCCCGGGGAAAAAATTTTTACCCGGGCCCAAAGGAAAACCCCGGAAACCCTTTGCCAAAAAAAGGGCGGGGGAAACCCGGGTTAAAAAAAAAAAAAATTTCTCCACAGAGAGAAGAGGAGGGGGGGCTTTCTATTTTTGGGAATACAAAATTTTCCCCCCCTCTCCCCCCCAGCAGGTGAGATTCATGTATTACGCCGGCACGCTTTAGCCGCGTCTTGGTTTATTGTTCGTGTGCAGGTCGATTCCGCCCCCCCCCCCCCGGGCTGATGCCGAACGAAGCCCCAGTGCAGGGGTGGAGAACCAAAGAGGTGGAGAACCAAACCGTCGCTCCTGTTATTGCTTCACTTTGTCTCGTCTCTCGCTGTTAGAGGATGAGGCGGTAAAATATCCAGCATCCGAATGTGACCCAGTGGCTCGTCCAGCTCAGCTCTGACCACTTCTGAATGGTGTGATGGGTTACGTCATCCTGCGCAGGGCAGGACAATGACAATAAGCAAACGGGATTCAAAATGTATCTTTTTAACTATGCGTCAGCTCACTTTTCTGCTTTGAACCATAATCACTGGAGCTGTTTCCTCCACAGGGAGTTAACATGTTCTCACGTCACAACGTTTTAAAGGTTGTGACCTCACCTCCTCCTCGTCCACGTAGTCCACGCTGGAGTTGAACACGGAGCCCAGGTACGTCAGGTGGAGTATCGCCAAAGCGCTGAATGCTACGTTGATCACATACACCCACAGCTTCTGCACGGCGAGGAAAAAAAGCATCACGTAAGAACAAAGGGCTCAAACCAATATTTATAACACGTCTATCTTGTTTTTCGTTGTCTTATGTGTGAGCTTCACTCCGCAGGAAACTTCTCTCACTAAGCTTCTCACACTGTCCGGATGAACCAGATCAGAGCTTGACTGTTAAAGTCTTAAAGAGGAATAACGTCTTTTTATCAGCCGACAGCTTTGAATTTCGCCCCATGTTTACTTCAAGTTATGGAGCCATTATTTGGCTTTAATGTGTCATGCAGGTAACAATTTGAACAATCAGCAGTATGTTTCAGTCCATGCAGGCTGCTTCTCCTCGGCATGAATCATTATTAAATAAATCATCATTAAATCATTATTGCCCCCCCCCCCCCTAATTCTCCTTTTGATGTGTGCAACCAATATAATAGAAGGGATTCGAGCTGGGCATCTTGCCACTCAACTCCTAAAATCTATCAACTAACTGTGCTGTATTTTTACTGCCATTAAAACCCAATCTACACACTGTACCCATTAGGCACCTTTTCATTGATTGATTACACCTTTTCTTATGTTTCTAATAGGATTTGCCTGTTTAGGAAGTTTCATTTTATTCTCATTATAAGTAAATCAAAGGGAAAAATAATAAGTGGCTCAATTTCATATTTGTAAGTATATGCAGAGTAAAAATAGAGACCTGCTAACTAGGCCAGAGGGTCTTCTAGGGAGGCCCCCTTTGAACACTTCCTGCTCTGAAAGAACGTGCCAGAAATTTCAGTGCAACGGCCATTTGCACAGATAACGAAATTGGAAGAAAACCAGGGAAACGTCCGAAATATGTAGAAAACACCAAAGGTTTGTTGGATTGGAACGTGAAATAGAATTCATCAGCATCAGTGCAGCACAAATCATTAATCAAACATGCATTAAAAAGTTCATAAAACCTGTGAAATCCTTCAATTAACTCAATTAGAAATCCAACTGTGAGGCACATTACATCATCATCACGTTTTCTTTATTCTTACAGGATTTGTTTGCGACAGCAAATTAAAATTCTGTGACACTGGCTGAATCATTTCAGTGGTAACTAAACAACTGAACTATACTGGACCGGTCTTCTTGGCGGAGATCCGGCTATAAATGGGCGCTTTCTTTGAAAGGGAGACAAATGGAGCATTTTACCTTTTTGTTACGATGAGTGCAATTTGGCTGACATTTCTTTGAAAGTACGCAGGCACTAAAAACGGCCGCAAGCCTCTTCCGCAACACTGAAACACAAAACAAGTCCAAAGCATTAAAGCAAAGCCCGGGGGAAAGAGAGTTCTCTTTCAGCCATAAGAGGTAAATTACAAGCACCGCGGTGAACAGAAACACTGTGCAACAGCGGGTCCAATTAACCATTACCGCAAAGCTAAGCACCTTCTCTTAATGGAAAGGTTCTAATGTCGAAAAAGAGACAACATTAGACTCTCACCGTGCTCAACGTACGTGATGAACCCCAGAGATATAAGTACTGCACCCAGATGGAAGCTCAAACCCTGCCGGACACAGGAGACACAATCTAAACAATCCCCTCGTTAAAACAGACACACAACAGCAGCGCGCACAGGGTATCAGGTGTATCATGGCTTACACGTGATGTAAAAAGAAAAGAACTCACATGCAGAAGGGCGCTGGCTGTATACGTCACCATAATGGCAGAGAACGTCCCAAATTTGAGAGCACTCTTAAAAACATCTGTGAGACGAGAGCATCGGCTTGCTTGAGGGTGTTCGTTTGAGTGAGCCGTTAGCATGCTGTTCACAACGACAACAACAACAACCAAAAACAGCTGCTGCCATCAAGCAAATCACCGCTAACATCATAACTCACAGGTGTGCAGGAAGCGAGACATGGGCAGATTCCACGACGTCACCACCTCCACCATGGAGCGGGGGAGTTCTATGTTCAGCGGCTGGGATACAGTCATGTCCCTGCACAGCAGAGGGTAAAAAAGGGGGCTGTTTTACGAATACGAACAGAGACAAACACAGTTAACGTTAATATTACACATGCAATTCTGACCATTTGAGGTTTTCTTTCTCCTCGGTGAAGCCTGCCCCGGCCAGCGTGCTGGTGGTCTCGCCCAGATAACCCACAAAGTAGTTGCTGAAGTGGAAAGACATCGTGTTCTCATACGCCAACAACCACCTAATGCAACGACCATGAAAGAGGAAGGAACGTTCAGGTATTGCAGGTCAATCACAGAACACAACCAAATGCATCTCTGCAAAGCACAAAACAACATACTTTGCTGGTGCACCTCTGAGAAGCAACATGATGAAGAGAGAAGACGTAGCGGTTAATGTTAGAGATTTCATCCAAAGCTATATTGACCTGCCGTGTGATGATCTTTGTTTTTCAAGGTAGTGAAACCGCCAAACATGGTGCTGGCGCATATAGGTGCATGCATGACGTGGAGACATGCAGTGACATTCAGGACACGCTACATGGTGCAATAGACGGTTTGTAGGTGGTCGCTCGCTTAGTTTCCATTGGAGTGATTCAGCGAGTGTCACAGGAGAAAGGCGATGCACAAACGGTTACATGGCATTAAAGGGACAGTTTGGCCAGAGTCTTACATACAGCACATGACCATTTGCACGCCCGCAAGCTTAGAGAATCGCATACCGATTCCCAGTGTTGTGAGAGGTAAAATTACAGATTATTTTAATGGAGTCTCGTGGTTTTTCTTAACAGCACAGCTGGATACAACGGCTTCCATTCCCGGTTGGAAACTGCCGTCTCGTGGAAAGATAATGTGGTAAAAATTATTCTAAATATAGCGTACACGTAAACCGTTTATAGCCGTATATAACTTGTGTGTAATATGTGCGCATCACCAAAACCAGAAGCATGCGGAGCGTCTGCTGACCGTACATAAAAAACGTCGTGCGACTCCACTTAAAACCAGCATCTCTTTAATGTGAGGGGAACGGCTACAATGGTGAGTATCAGAATCACTGGGGGGGAATTACCTGATCTTCCTCCTCTTTTTGCTGGAAACAAAACAGGCAACAGAAGAAAGATTCATATTATTCACAGGCAATCCAAGCCAGAGAATAAACAGGGATTTGGATTCGTTCACCTGTGTGTCCGACTCACCCTCGTAGCAGCTTGTCTCCATAGACCGGTATGAAGTACGGGAAGAGGTATGGCGCCACGCAGTTTGAAATAACAAGGCATACCTGGCTCTTCACCCAGCTGACGGACACTTTTAGCAGCCACGAAAAGCTCTGAGGAGGAGAATTAAGCAAAAGATCTGAACAGTTAGCGGCTCATCTCTGCCTAAATCTTTGAAATAATCCTCACCCTAAACCCTCTTCCATTCTCGAGAGATCCCCTATCGCGCTCACCAGCTTACGTCCTTCCAAAGCTTCTTTGTAGCTGTTGAAGCTGATCCAGGGACCAAAGATGACGGTGCCCACGAAGTAAATATAGCCCATGAACTCGACGGGCGACGGTACGCTGGCCACCACGCCTCTGTCCAGGTCGAAGGCCAGAGAGATGGCCTTCATGGCGACCACCATCTGTGAACCTGGAACCCGTGAACGTTTCAGATTCCAGCGTGAGACAGTTATCAACGCTGCATGTGGAAGGTAAAACTAGAAGGTCGCTGCGTACAAAAGATAACGCTACCTCTCATCTTGTGCCAGTTGGTGGTGTCCATCATGTGCAGCTCTCTGATGAAATTAGATAAGAATAGCTTCATTGTTTGATGTGGGTTTTAGGCCTCAATCTAAACACGGACTCGATGCGTGCCGCTGAGCCGCGTCGGGCAGCAGAAGGGAGGCGTCTCTCACCCCAGCAGCAGATAGATGAGCACGGTGATGGAGAGGAAGGTGCCTCGGATGGTGGAGTGGCGACACAGGAAGAGGAAGAGGTAGCAGAGAAGGCTGAGAAGGACCACCCAGATCATATGAAGCTCAAAGAACAGGTAGAGAGTGTAGAAACCTCCCGCCATGGTGCACAAGTGCTTCACAAAAGAAGGCAGGCCTGACACGCCGAGAGAGAGAGACACACAAAGCGACAGACGACAGTGCAGTTGTTTAATGGTGGAGTTAAGCTGTATGACGGCTGAACAGTGAAATACACCGACTGCCTCTCACCCAACATCCAGAGAAGTCGACACAGCAGGCAGATGACCAGCAGCTGCCATACTTGCTCCAGGCCCTGCTGAGCTGTAGGCAGCAGGCATCCATGAGTGAGCTCTTGGAAGAACTTCTGTCGGCTGAATGCTCCCATCGCTGCACTTTGAAAGCAGAGGGAAGCCATTTTTACAGCATTTACAAAAAAAAAAGAAATGTGTCTGCTTTAGCAGTGCCTAGAACATGTAGACTGCCTTCAAACTTCAAATCCCAGCATGCACTTCACCTTCCCGATTGCTGTATAAATCCATGCATTAGATGTCAAAGTAAGCAAAACCTGATGCTATTACTGGCCTATACTATAGATGACTTCATGTTTTATTCTTGAGACATAATTCATCGCACCCGTAGCTGTCAGATAGAAACCTTCCCCACCGTGGTGCAAAAACATGCTGAATTATTTAGCTGCTTATTGGTGATTTGGATGTTTTGGGGGGGGGGTTGGTCACAAAGCAGAGTAGTGTCTCCGTGATATTCTGCAGGGCTGTGCTCCCCCCGCAATGCAGTCCGCCGATGCGATGAGTTGACTCACAGCTGCATTCCTGCACACCGCTGCATCGACAACGCGCTGCTGCGCTCGAGGGGAAAAGGGTGATGAGGCTCCCGAGCCAGCGGGACGGACGGAGACGCGATACCGGCGCGCACACGCACGCCGCCGGGCACGTAGGTTCAATTTCCATGGAGGGGGGGTCGAGGTCAACTTACCGTCACGCGGAGCGGCAGCAGCTGGAGGTTCCTCCTCGTGTTCCCTCACAAGTGAGTTGGGGCGCGTGCGTGCGCGCGTGCTGCCTGCCGTGTTTTAAACGCGCTGGGTCCAGATGATGCGTATCTGGATGACTCCCATTGTAACAGCATCAGCACCGCTTGACCGTCGACTAGAGGGCGTGTCCGTGGGACACGCATCGGCCAATCGGCTGCTCGGGTCCGGGGACGCCAGCAACTCGTTCTAGTCGTGTGTCTTGAGTGACAGGTACCGCGGCCAATCAGATCCATAGCAAACCGTTGTCGGTTCCTGCCGACCAATAGGATGTGTACAGCGTGCAGATTCGCCGTGAACGCACATCTGGGTCGTAGTTGTGATTTCATTGAATTCAACTCATTTTGTATATCTTCAAATTATTAATTTTCCTTTAGGTAATTTTGATGATGTCCTCAACTTTTTACCTTTAATTAAAAAAATTCAAGTCCCCGTTGGGGAGACAGTCTCTATAGGTTTTCTTATGTTTTGAGTGGGAAAGGCACGTTTATTTGTATTGCACATTTCAACAACAAGACAATTCAAAGTACTTCCCATGACACCATTAAAACATAAGGCAGAAGAAAAGGACATTTTTAAACAATTAAGAATTGAGTAAAAGTTGACCGCAGTTAATTAAACAGTAAAAAGCATTCCCCTTCATCCTTTAGTGACATCTGCTCCATCCAAGATGGGACGCGGGTGGAGATGACATGACATATGCTGTACGTGTGGGGCGGAGCAGAGAAAACCCTGACATTATCATAATAAAGGTTTCGGAGGGATGAACTGTAGGTAAGAATTAAAAATCAAAATGCACGTACTTTTTCTTGTATTTGCCAAAGAACAAAAAAAACTTTGTGTCATCAACACGTTTTTAGTGGCAAAAAGTGTCTAAGTTACCACAAAATGGAAACAAGACAAATACGTACAATAAATAATTCTGCTGAAATATTCAAGTGACATTGTGTTGTGTGAACAGGTCTACGTTTGTCAGTAACAAATACAAATTCTAACTGTCAATAATGTTATAATTTATAACAAACTATTGAGTCGCCACTTGAGTTTTTGTGGTTAAATTTAACCTTATTTAAGCTGGCCAGTTAATGCACTGTAACACACAAATGGAGGTTGGTCCAAGACAGTTTGAGGTGAATATAATAATCTATTTACTGTTAGTGCTACAAGACCCAAAAACTATGAAGGAACACTTAATTATTATAACATTTTCATTTGTTAAAGAGACTAAAAAGAACAATCATTAAAGACTGCCAGAAAAGGGAGATCTGTAAAGTTTTTTTATTCACTGTTTAAAAATTGGGAGCTTGTATTTTAAAATGTAACTTCGTGTGCAACATATGGCAATAAATAAACACTTTCTATGCAGTTCCCATTCACTGCAATAGACGAGAACACAGAGGGACTTAAATAGTCTTGTCAGATACGGTGCTAGGTAAGGATGTCATTCATAGAAATGTGCAGTTTGGAGGGTACCTAATCGGTTATCCTACAAACTGCAAAACACATAATATAGCCAGCAGTCCAAACTAGTATAATCTAGTGGAAGTGGCAGCAACCTAAATACAGATGTTGTTACAAAATAAAAAAATAGCAGCATAATTAGTTTAAGCATTACTGTCAAGGTGCTGGAGCATATTGAGTCAAACTGCCAAAGAAAAAAGGTGCAGCAATATCTTCACAGTCTGAACATTTTAGGAATAAACAAAATGTGACCCCTTCATGTCATGCAGAACGCAATGGTGGGGCTCACTGGCAGTAGCATGACCAAAACTGGGTTAATGTTAAAATCCCCCTCATATCAGACAAAGCACAAGTCTTAGTAAACAGTACACTCGTTAGAAAATGGGCAACTTAAAAAAAAGGTGTTTCAATTGCAATGAAACTAAATTATTAATTTACTTTTTTTTAAGCAATACTATTCTCTCACTCTCAAACCTTAAGATTACAGCACAACCTCCAGGTTGTAAGTAGTCCTTTTTCATGTGTGCATCACGTCGCTCATGCGGAGGAATCAGAGGCCGCTTTCATGGTTTCTCCTTCACAAGTCTTGTTGACACCTTTTGGTTTGCTTAAAATATATTCATAATTTCTTTTAACCTGAAGAAATGCTGAGGTGAGGTACTTTGGTGAAAAGAGCTTCAGTGAGGGTGGAAGTTCTGGATGTGGAGGCAGAAGCGTCTGAGCGAAGGATGCATGACACGACGCGGTCGGAGATTTCCTTGTAACCTTGGTTACCGGCAGCGGTGGACCCGACTGAGAGGGAGGCTTGCATAACACGGGCACAAAGATTTCTGAAGAGATCTTTGCACACGGGGCTGGACGTTGGGTCTCGGTGGCCACACTGCTTTCAGCATGGTGATCCCGCTCAGTGCCGTAGGCATTTTGGGGCCCGGTGGCGGTGGAATCCTCTTCGTACTCGGTTATGGACGGCGGCAGTGGCGCGAACAAAACGTGATTGTGGCGTTGACAGAACAGCACGCCGCACGTGGGACACTTCCTGCCGTCTTTGACGTGCATCAGCCGATGGCGCTTCAGGTTAGGCCGTGTAGAGAAAGACCGATCACACATGTTGCACAGAAAGAAGGGCTCGGGGACACATTGGTGCTCGGTGAAATCGGCGTGCCTTTCGAAGGACAGTCCACATTTCTCACAGACAAAGGAGCTGTGCCGTTTTCTGTGTTCCATGAGCTGTGAAACGCTGGCGACGCTCTGATCGCAATGCTCACACTGATACCCGCCAGATGATCGATATATATTTTTAAGCAGCACAAACGGACTTCTTTTGTCTAGTTGCGGGATGCCCCCCGCGGTTTTAAATAATGGCGACGCCTTGTGTGGGCTGGATGATGTGTTTGGTTTGACAGGTGTGGTTTCCATCTTGGGCTCCTCAGTCAATGTTTCTATTTTCTGGGACAAACAAAGGAGAGACACACCATCAACACCATACCAAAACAACATTAAATAAACTGAGAGCATAACATGTGTATGTGTCACCATAACAGAGGACCTCCGTACCATAGGAGAATCAACTACGGGCGGTGTTGCTTTTTCTTCCACATCGGCTTTGTGGTGTTGCCTTCTTCCATAAACGCTTTTGAAAAACATGGAAAAACAGTATGATCTGAATACACAATAAACGTGTTGCGCATACACTGATCAATGTGGACTAGGAAAAAACAACCAATTTATTATGTACACAACAATATGATCTGGTTTTATAAGGAAGGAAACCTCACATCGAAGTATAGCGTTCTGGCTTTCAGATTAGTTTCCTTTTAGGTCACGTTATCTATATCTACAAGCATGTGCAAGACATCAAAAATCATGGAAACCAGGAGCAAATTGCTACAGTCCTTATCAACAGATGTACGTTTCTTAGCTCGACGTGTTGTGAAATATTGTTATCAATATCTATGTCTCCAACCCCAAAATAGAGGGGGGAATTATACAAGCGTAATGTTTTGTTTTGTTTGTATACTGCACAGTGGGTGACGTCATCAAGAACGTGCATCCACATGTCTCACCTTTTCCTTTTTTTCTTTCGGTTCCGTTTAGCGCACGTAAACACGGAAGGCACAAAGTCGGGACTATCGGGGTTCAATGCGGCTCTTTCTACAAAATGCAAACAACACAAAGTTTTTTTTTTCTTAACCAACTGCAACATTCCAGTGAGCTAACGTTAGCTAGGTTAGCTACAAACACGGGTTTCTTACGTGACTTAAAATGAGCGCCGCAAACAAAAGAGTTTCGCGCGAGCTCCTTGGTGCTGCCGTTCACGCGCTTGAGGGCTCTGAGCCACAGACGCCTCCGGTTGGCCGTAAACGGCATCGACCCGACGGGTACTTTGAAAAATTGCAGTCCGCCGGCGGAGGTCGACTTACAGCCGGACACGCAACACGCCGACATCTTAGCTGAGCAACTGTCTGGGTGCTGCTGTTCCGCTGCGGCGAAGGAAGTTATCGCCGGCGGACAGCGTTCGACTTCCGGTTGCAGAGACGGACAATTTGAGCTAACGTTAACGTTAGATTTGTAAAAAACAGGACGTTTTGTTTTTAACGGGTTATGTTAAACGGTAGTATGTATATTTGTTGTAATTTCCCTTCAAGCTAACAAAAAATGGCCGGTGCTGGCCGACTGTTGGTAATCATTTAACAGCAGTAAAGAAGATGTTGTTGTGTTTCTCTTCCGGCATTGCGACCGCCACCTCATGGTGCTCTGAGGACCCCTGCTGGCCGGTGGTGGAAGAACTTGAGTAATTAGCAATGCACACTGTGTTGTAAGTAAGGAGAATTTAAACACTTTTATATACGTATTTACTCTTATTATGCAGAGTGGCCCATTTCAGAATCAGAATTTGTATTTCATCACTTGATTATGCATTTTGTTGCACTAATGTGTTCATCTCTTTAATGTTGCATCTGCTAAAAGTTGAGCTCATTTTAATTACCTTTTAAGCCCGGTTCCTGGGAAACTAATTAACTAGTCAAACTGGTCACTAAAGCTGTGAACTGAAGGCTATATTTGAATGTTGAATTTTAATTACTGCATTACCTACACATATTTTTTACAAACTAATTATCATATTTTCATGTGATAATTTGTTGACTTAAATTTAAATTAAACATCCGAACACATAATTTACCCTAAACCAACACTTTCGTTTTTATGTATTACTTTCAGTTAAAATAGAAATTCACAGTATGTCTATTTGTGTGTTCTTTCCTTTCCACTTTCCAATGAGGAACACACAATCGTTAGTTACCAACGAATTAGCACAAGATGATCCAATAACAAATTAACAAACATTTTAATAATTACTTCCTGAATTATTCCGATTAGATGATCAAATAAAGTGGGAACTAAGGGTGCAGGAATCATTAAATAATGATTCATTGTAAAAGTATAAAGTACTTATGGCACAGAAATTGCAACTGGCGTATAGTTAATCAGCAATGATGCAATGAAAAAAATGTAAATGATGCATTTTGTGAATCTTACTGTTAAGTGTTACTCGTTTCATTTCTACAACTGCGGTTGGATGCTTATGCGTTGTGTGACAATGATGGATACACGGCAGGCAGTGCCATTTAATGCACCAGCAATTTCACTTGGATGACCCTTTTAACTGGTGGCAGCTGTAAAAACTGAAAATAATAAAAATTAATGATGCTTATTTGTACACGCTATCATTAACGTTATTGGTACTAGTCTGAGGAGTTTAATGTCTTCTTTAAAAAACGTTTATGGGGAATGTGGTTCGCAGTGTATTACATTTTGTAGCAATGCGTTGTTTAGAACTCAGACACCGTACATTTATATCGATAACAATATTACTCATTTAATTCTTCCCTTAAATTAGATTAAATGAAAGGATAAGGCTCGAGATCTTATTTCCCTCTAGTCTGCAGCCCACTCAGCCCATTTGTTCCTACTGTGAATATTTTAAACGGTTCATGATCTATTATAAATCTGCAGATGTCAATTTAGACTTTGGCTTCACAGATCAATTCGTTGTTGCTTTTGATCTTTTGATTGTAATAAATTTAAATGTAAATGATCACCATACACACTCCACCAACAGATGTCACCGTTGTTTAATGAGGGCAAGTCGACCCCTTTCCGGTGCTCAAAATAACAGAAAACTCTTTTAAAAGAACAAGTTGAAACAAACTCTGGTAATTCATTTGGACATTTGAACATCATTTCATAAAACATCATTCGTAGAACCAATGAACCCTCTGCACTTACTTTGCCCGTTTGACTCATTTGAACGACACAAATTTGTAGCCGTCACCCAGGCAAACTGGAATATGGTAATCTCACTTAAGGCATTAATACTCATCCAAAATCAATTCTATAAAGCTGTGTCTGAGAGTTAAATCAATAGCATTTCAGCTCCATCCTCCCCCACTGGTGTGTGAAAACACAATCCCACCGGCCACCGTGTTTAGTCAACATGGAACAGACTGCCGGCCTAATGTGAAGGCAAACAGAAGCTGACACCTGTGAAGCTTTTACAGGATTTTACCCCCCTCCCGCAGTTATCACACGTTACAACCTCGTGGTTTCGATAGCGAAGGCAAACATCCTCTCCGGGATCCAGTTGAATTGCTCCTCAAGGGAGTCTCTTAAATATCGACCAGCTTACGGACGGCCTGAACAGAAATGAAATTGGCATTGGCGCGGCGTCCCTTCCCCTCCCTCCTGCCCCTCTTCTCCCTCAAGGTGACCCCTCCATCTGCACCCTCTCGTGTTCGGGCCAACCCCCGGCCTCTGCTGCAGTTACCGCGGTACAGTCGCTGCATCTGACTCCCCTCTTCTTTCCGGGAGCTGTCACCATCTCGCCGGTTTGGTCCGTTGTCCTGCAGCCGCGCACGTCAATCAAAGCGATGGGCTGCTGCTGCGAGAAGGGGACACGCGGGCCGTCAAAGTTGGGTTATTTTCTACTCTTCGTTGGATGGAAATGACACGTGGACCGACTGTTTAGACACTTCTCTTCCACGCGGCCGAGTGCGTCCTTTTTGCCGTTGGTATTTTTCCTCTCCTGGTGATGAGGTGTCTCTTTGAACTTGGCTTCATTTCACTGCGCAGCCGCCCCGTTTTAATTACCCCATTCTTCAGCCCTCCTCGCGTCGTTTAAAGTGGAGGAGGAGTGGGAGGTGGGGGAGGAGGGGGTGGGAGGAAGGAGAGACCCGAGGAGGGAATGCAAAAGAAGAAATGTAGGGGTTGGCTACGGTTCGGCAGTGTGAAGCTGGAGGAAGAAGCAGTGAGGGGGAGATTCAGTCTTATTTTGAACAGTTCCCTTTGTTTCACCCCTCAAACTGACCAGTGCTCACACCATTGCTTCAAGCATTCCTGACCCATGTATCACTCGCCACTTGCCATGTTTGACACTCGGGGTGTGTGCGTGTTGCTCCTATGTGCTGACAGCCTCTGTATGTCGGAACCCCCCCCAGGCGAGAGGCCCACGGTCGCTGCTGCCGTCGCTTACTGCCGTCGGTGAAGGGTTGAGCCACTGCGACGCAATTACACATTCATTTCACCCCCACAGACAGCCGGGGAGAGACTCCCCCCCCCCCGCGCTCCCCCATCTCCTCCCTGCTTAGCTGGGCTCTCTCTTCATGTTTCTGCGACACAGACCCTCACCCGCCATCTCTACACCTGACACGGCTCCAATTTGTCCCTTACACCTTTAACCTGCCCCCTCCCCTCCTTCCCCCCCAACTTTCCCCAGCACACTTTTTTTCACATGAGCGGCGGAGCTCAGAGAAATACCCAAAGGACCGAAGAGCAGCCGAAGCGAGAGTGGGGAGGAGGTGGAGGCACAAGGGGTGGAGATGAGAGGCGAAAAAAACAGTGTAAAATAGTGTGAAATGTGAGGGGAAGACGGAGTGAGAGTGGAGTGGGAGTGAGCTGAGGTTTTATGGATGAAGAACAGAGGAGGGAGGGGAGGGGGGGGTAATGACATATTGATTTTGATGGGCCTGTAGGGCAAATGAGTAGGTGTGTGTAGCAGGAGGAGAGCCACAGCTCGCAGATGTCTTAAAACACCTGTTTGTCTTATTACGCCTTCAGAGACGGGAAGAGAGGCCCAACAGTGTGTGAGCACAAACAAAGCCGCGGCGTTTCTACGTCGCGTTGCAGCACGACTGCTAGTAGATGGGAATTTGAATTGTTTTTTATGCCCGAAATACGATAGCTCAGCTGTAATCCAAAGCGCTCCGTTGGACCAGAATTATATCAAGCTTCTGGCTATTAAAGCAGGCGTTTAGACAGCGGACGGCCATCTGGGATCACATTAGGGGAGATCACTAAGGGGGGAGAGGGAGGGATGGAGTGGAATTAATGGGATTTTGTACATTTTCTCCTCATAATGCATCAAGGTGTGTGTGTGTGTCTGTGCACATGTGTCCTTGCAGGCAAGAAGGTGAAAGATGTTGATATTGATCATTAAATACATTGCTTGGTGAATGATACAGTCTTTATTGATCCGAAGGGTCAGTGAGGTCGAAGCATCGTGGTTGGAAAAAGGCCTGGAAACAACCCGCAATCTCGCGGCTGGAGTTGCCGACGAGCCGGCAAGATTACAGATTTAACATTCGAAGTATGAATCCAACTAATTAATTCAGTTCTCACTGAGCTTTTATGAATCCATTATTCCGCCAAGTTGATGTGAACGAGCCATCCAGCGTCCCGTTCTGTTGATGCGATGCTACCGTTGTGTCCGTGCTGAGAAATATGAATGAATGTGTTTTGTTTTGGCCAATTAAGGGGCCGAAGCGATGATGGAGACTTCTGGTCCTCAGATTGATCAGGCCACTCTCACTAAGCCTTCCTCCCCTTTGACGCCCACTGCACTTTTTTGTGATTTCCTTTGTTCCTCAACCTGCTTTACCTCTTCCCCCTTGTGTTTCTTTGCCCTCGGTTCACTCCCTCTTCTTTTTCCAAACTGTTGGTGTATTTCTTACTCTCTCTCGGCAGGCTTACTTGGTACTGTACTGAAACACCAATTATATGCTCGGAAATGTCTTTGGTCTCGGCCTTTCTTCCTCCTTTGAAGGCGAGATGCTCACCCGCTTTCCTCCTTCGCCCCTTACACCTCCTTCATCGCCCTCCGCTCTTCTTCCCCGCCTCCTCCACAGTAGCACAGCGAACTGAGACCAGGCGATCGAGGGTGTAGACTCGTGATGAGCGGAGATTGAAGCACAGTGACGGGTTGGCGTTTGGGAATTACGCCATTCCAGTCGCTGCCTCATCTCCCCGACTGCAAAGAAAAGCCATTAATTTGTGTAAGAGGACTTACATGTCCCACATGCCGGTCAGCCTCCCGTGACAGACAGCTAATTTAATTCTTCATACAGCTCAACAGCTCTCAAGTGTGTCTGCGTCTCTTCTCTCCCCTTCCATTAAAATAATCTGTGCCATTCACACGGCGATTCAACATCTCTTGTTGTGCAGCTCCTTTTAAAACATGATGCGAAGCTAAAATCTTTACTGCATGTTTTTTTCTTTCTTACATTCGTTGTCTAAGCTTCATCTTTTTTTTTTTTTCAAGAGAGCACAGCGAAAGAAATATTAGAGCAAGCCGACTCCGTACAATAACAGATATTAAGAATCAGTTGGCAGAAGATGATGTGTGTCCTCTACTTGTTTTGTAGTTCATTGCTGCTTCTTACTACTTGGTGCCGCTCAGACTTGGCTGATGACCCTCATCCTTTTTCTCTATGAAATAGCTTTCACACACACAGTGACTTCTCTTGAATGTGAATGAAGCTGCTGCCGCTTCCCCCCCGCTACGATGTGGCAGTCACGCCACACGCACACGCACGCACACACTCAAACATACATGAACACGTACACGCAAAAGAAAACCACAAAGCATGTTTTCTGCAGCAGTGTATCGGGGCGCTTATCCTCAGAGCAGTAAATAAATAATGAGAACACTGTTAAAATTCTGCCAGTATTCCATTACTCTGCTATCAGCTCTGTGCCGAGTGAAAAGAAAGTAGTGTTTGAAAAGAACTGCTGTTCTTCTCTCTAGATATTTTCATCCCTTTTAATCTCCCCGCAGTCCACCTTCCCCATTATAAACGTAGATCCTACTGTGTCTCTTTTTATTTTACTCATGAATACATAATTTTCTATTAACATTTCTACCAGACAGACGCTTCACCCTCCCTGGCAGAACGCGACACATCGTCTCATTGAAAGTCCCAGGAAGACGAAATGTCTGCTTGGCTTTTTGCATGTCTGACCCCGGCGGGGGTCAAGGCCGGCGGGCGTATGCTGATGTCACACCAAAGGTAGAGTTCAGTGGAGAAACAGAAGGGCAGCATACTCCCGGCTCTCTGCTCCGTTCAAGAAGAAAGTATCTGGAGTAGATGATGTGAAGCGACAGATCCAACATGAGCCGCACACGGGCCGACCTGTCTGTCTGAACGGGACGCCCTCTACTCCTCGGTGTCTCGCGGAGCGGGTCGGCTGATATTTCGGAATGTTTCCACACTGCACGCTGACCTTTTGTGATGGGGAGGAGGATTTAAAGCAGACAGATTGGGGGGAGAGAGAGAGAGAGAGAGACGTCTTTCTGCTTGTGTTTGTGTGAGAAAGGGTAAAGCGCATGTGGCGCGCACTCAGTATGCCGTGGGCGTCTCTCGTCCGCGTAAGCCCGATTGAACTAATATCCCAAATGAAATATCAAACGCCAGCTATCACAGGACGTCAAGATGTGCACATGAGAGGGAGCGCGGCATAATAAGTGACCCGGCAGAGAAGTTGATTCTGCGGATAAATCCCTCTCTGGTGTAGCAGACAAGCGTGCAACGACGGAATAAAAGCAAAACTGCAGATTCCGCGTAGAAAACAGGTGCTTGGTGTGGAGAAAAGTAGCTGTTGGTATCAGTTACTGACATCCTTGACTCGAGGCCCTGTGGATCTCTGAGGTCCGTGGCAGCGGAGCACTGCAGCAAAAAGGCTTTTTTTTTAAACGAGGAAATTAGCAGAAATCGGTGCTCTTATTGTGTTTAGCAGCGCTGGTAGTGCGGCCCAGAGGTTTTCTTAATCACAAATATCCAACTGAATCTTCAGCAGGTCATCGTGATTACCGCACAATCTCAGCTTCTTCGATTCTCTCCCACGCGCTCATTTGCATTTTCTCTCCCGGGCTCTCTTCCGTTATCTTTAAACGCGTCCTGTCACACCTGTTATTCACTTGTTTTCCTCCATTTCCCCCAGTATTTCCTCCTCCTTTGTGGAAGCGTAAAAGCTCATCTAAATGCGCAGCCTGTCACCAGCTCTCTGCCTGCTTTGGGCATTTTGACTGGTTTGAACAAGTGCAATCATCCTTCTCTTTCCAATACCATCTCATGAGAACTCAAGGTGACATATAATGGCTTAAGATGCCAGGGGTGAATTAACCTCCCTGCTTGTCTGCATGCTTGATATTTCATGCACTTTCACGTGGTTATCTCCTCCTGTCCCGCTCCAGCAGCGTGCACAGGCTTTCCAGTGCTTGCTCCCTTGCCTGCAGACAAGCAGAGAGAGAGAGAGGGAGAGGCAGGGCAGAAAAGGGAGTAAGGAGGAGGGAGATGGTAGCAAATGAGGTGTGGGTAAGAATTATGGGGGACTAGAGAAGAGAGCAGTAGCCCAGCCCTGGAAATGGAGCCGGTGAGGGAGAGAGAGAGAGAGAGAGAGAGACAGAAATGAAACAGTGTAAAATCCAGTGCGAATCCAGCTTTTAGGAGCGTCCAGACCAGCAGGCTTCTTCACCGCTGGGGAACAACCGCCTTTTGTGTGTCCCCCCCCTCGCCCTCCCCCGCTGCAGTGGGGGGGGAGTGCACTTACCGTCGCGCCCAGAGGGAGAAGCCGAGAAGTATCCTCCAATCAGCCGTTGGTGATTTCTCTCATCTTGTGGGGCTGCTGGAGGTGATTTATCGCTGCGCGCTGCTCAGCACCTCAACCACCTGGAATACTCCACCACGGTTGTTTCTTTTCTTAAGCACAAATACCCTCTTGTGGATATTTCAAACCGGCTGACCAGAGGACAAAGGGAGGATTAAAATGGAATTACTTTTTTGTTTCTGCTGCAGACTGAAGACAACTTTTATGGCTGCAATTGTGGCACATGAGGACATGTGATAACAGAAGAATACAGGCATTTTTCTAATTTATCTGACGTATTCAACAACATCATCATCATCATCATCATGGAAAGCAGAGAATGATTGTAGCCACTTCACTGTGATAATCATGTAGGATTGATACTTGTACATAAAGGTTCAGGGTGATGACGAAGCAGAGGAGGGGGGGGGGGACAGTTGGAGCACACCTGCCTGCTCAGCACGTCTGACACATCTGTCTAAGGTAGCGTCTGTTCTCCAGACTATGCGGTTGCGTCTCCCTTAACTTGGTGTGCGTATGAGTATTTCAGCGCGGGTGAGTGTGGATTGCTTGGTCGGGGTTGGGGGTGGACATTGGGATTACGCTGCCTCTGGAAGGGATACAGGTGTAGGGGAGCCGTGAACGGGGATTAGCAGCTCTAACACCGTGCAGCCGGCAGCACACAGGCAACGGACCTTTGAGACGAGACTCTCGAGGTCTCACCGGAGGATTAAAGAGGAGGGTTTCACCACCGTGATGGGACACAGAGGGCAAGGAAACGCACAGGACGTCAGCTGAGAAAGTTATGTTGAGATTCTGCTACCCTTCTAATTCAGGTCGGCTTTGACTGGTAATTCAATTATAGGAGCTGGTCAAGAACATGATTTACATACAGACAGGCTGATAAAAATGACCACAGCAAATAAATCACTGGATGTGGTGAAGACGAACATTGATGGAACTTACTGATAAGCAACCTTGCAAGCGCAGAGTCCAATTGATCCGTGAGTTGGCTGGATATTGATTTCTCGGCTCAGTCAGGACGGGGACTTGTCTCATCTCTGCTCAAGAGGGCACTCATTTAATTATAATCCGTCATTCAGATCTCACCCCAGAGCAGTGCTGAGCGTGCAGAGAACCGATGGTTCAATACTCGACAGCAGATCAGATAAACACACTGCGTTTTCGTCTGCAGTCTCCCATAACAATGTTGACGTGTCTTGTATCATTCGAAGAGGCAGCACGAGGACGAGTTCTCTGTCGATGGCAGGTTTGTTGACAGGTACAGGAAATGTGTCAGCGTGAGAGCTCGTAGCTGAAAGCTCCGTGTGTTGTTGCCCCCTCTTCACGGCTCACCGCCAACCCGCCTCACATAAAAGTTAAATTAGCAAATTCCTTGAGCAATACTTTGATCCTGAGGCGGCGGATGAGAGCAGGGCGGTCCTAATAGCACCTTTTTTTTTCCAGAAAGCTGCTCTGTGCTGCAGTTTACCTCAGTAAAGAGAAGGACCGGCCACGGCCCAGGAAGTGTACCGTATGACCACTATTGACAAAGTCACTGGATCAGCGTTTATTTGCCTGAAAGAACTGCCGAATCTACATAAGAACAAAACCCGCTGGATTTCTACAGAGAGAACACCCAAACTGGACCATCTACAACAAGCACATTTACTCGAACGAGCCGCATTTTGGAGATGGAGACGGTTACAAACACGTGGTCGTGCAGCTCTGAAACAATCGCCACATTAGAATTTACTTTGCATTAAAGTCATTTTTTCCTAAAAAGGACCAGAGGAGAACGGAGCCAAATAAACTGAGAGTCTTTCCCCGGCAAAGGATGTGTCGCATGTTATTCTGAGGAGGGAGAGTGCAGTGAGGGTGGGGCTCTCCCACTGCCACAGACAAAGACTTTGATAGAGAAAGTCCTGCCGTGAGAACTGGTCAAGTGGGGCGATTCTGAACCTGTGCAGTCCGGCGCCGTGTCAAAGGTCACTATGGGGTGCAACATGTGCGTGGTTCAAAAGCCTGAGGAACAATACAGGGTCATGTTCCAGGTGAGCTCTCCATCTCCGTCCTCTCGCTCTCTCTCTTACTCTGCCCGGTTCTATTTTCTTTTCTTCCATCTTCAAGCAAAAGCATTTATATTTGCTGTCCTTAAAGTTATTTATTTTGTCTTAATTTGGCCATTTCTTGCAGTGATGCAACTTCATGAGTGAAAATCAAAAACAGCTCAGACAAGAAAGTCTACTGTTAAAATAAAACGGAACCTCATCACGTTGACACACTCAATTAACCTGAATAATTCACACATAATATTCCCAATAACCAGTTTAAAATGTAAGATCAATGTAGCTGATAAAATGCAGCCATTTGTCAGTCATGGATGAGTCCAACTAGAATATTTGCGACATTATATTTATATATACTTAAACATGATAGTGACATATCATCGAGCAATTATTAAAATGTATTGGGTGAATTTAAACTGTGGCTGCAGTGAACGCAACTGATTGGTTTCATATAAATTCCCGATTGTGTGACACTTTTTTTGGTGAGCTTGTAACCCTTTTGTGATTTTAGGTACATAAATAATCCCCTCCAAAAGATTTTGGACAAAGCTATATATTTAAAAAGTCGGTGACGTTAATACCGATAATTATGATAATGACGATTCACTGTGATTACAATCAGAGGGAGCAGTGCTAAAATGCGCAAGATGGAATGTTAGGCTGGCATTGGGAACGTGGAGTCCTGCCGAGCCTCGAAAGGCAGCCGGATAGATGGCTCGTTAAAGCTGGGCTAAAGTGTTGTGGGAGAGAGGGGTTGCTACGGTTACAGCCTCAGCACCAACTGCCAACTGGGACCACAGACGGTACGTGAGTAAGCTCATCTGGCCGCGCAGTGCCCAAGGATGCTGCTGCTGCTGCTGCTGACTAACTCCACGATACATGCAGTGACCAAAGAAGAGACCCACGCTAACCAAGCATGAGAAATGCCCCGGCACTCATGGGTAATGCAGCGCAACACTCCCGGCATCTGTGGCATCGGAAGCCTCGGCTGGGTCTCTGAAGCAGGCTGGAGTCAGGCTCCGGGCCAGTTAATCGGGCTGCATCTGGTGCCAGGGGCGATGCCAAGAGAAAGAAAAACATGGAGGAGGGGGGACAAGAGTCCAAATAGAGGCACAATAATGAGTCGAACGGGGGAGAAAATAGGCAAAATAAATGTGGAAGTGAGAGTCTTTTTCCTGCCGTTTACCCGTCATAGAACAAAGTAAGGCTCAAGTGACTTTACAAAGCATTTTATTAATCAGTGGCCTCATCTAACAGGAGTCGGAAGCAATGACACGGACATCATGCAGGTTAACGACTTTGAAAGTGGAAACTGATCCAGCAATGTGAGGTCAGCCGTGTCTGCACACGTCCGTCATCCCAGAAGCACTCGAGCTGACGGAGGACGTGCACGCGGTTCACAGACGGGCGTGGCGACGAGTGGAGCGAACAGTGAAGGGGAGTTACACGAGTCAGCGCCTGCAGAGCGGTCGTCACGTCGCATGCAAACACATTTTGTGAATGGAGGTTGTGTAGTGCAGGTCGTTTTGGGGGGTTGAAACAGAAAGACTGCATGTATTGTGGTCTGGTGAGCCTGAAATGGCATTGTGGGCAGGGAGGCAGAGGAGCATGAGAGAGAGAATCCTAAAAAAAAGGCAGCCAAGAGGTATTTACTGTCTTCATGCTGTTTTTTTCCCCATAAAGATTTAGATCTGTGATTATATTAATGATTACAAAACAAGCCTTGCTGTGCAGATGGCTGAATAATCCAGAGATCATGCCAAAGAAAGAATTGAGGTATACTGTGTACAATTGTTCAACAGAACACAATCCCCTCCCACCCAGCCGTGCACACATTTCATGGTCTTTCGAGGTTTTCAGCTTTGAGCGGTTTTCCTTAACTAATCAAGTATAATTACACCTTCCAATTAGATTTAGATGCAGTCCACTGAGTAACTGTTTTCAGACAATAAATGCAGCATTACACCGCTTACAGCTACATTTAAACTGCATACCAGGCTGTTAAATTAGTCTCCGTCAAAAAACAGTTGCTTCTCTTACCAAAGGAATAAAACTCATGCATTATACATTGGGCTTCTGCTACACATACGCTGCACACTGGTGATTGGTCCAAACCCACTGGCATGTTTCTGATGAATTTAGCCTCCTGTAGCCCCGATGAGAAGGCATATTGTTTGTTCAGTTGATAAATGATGTACTCATTGGTAGACTTCACGTCCATGTGCATCCTTTTGCATTTGGCCTACATTTTGCAGAGTACCTGACCTACACAGACAGTAAACAGCCCCCCTCTCCTCCCCGAGCCCTGCAGCCACTCCCTTTTTCTCTCCTCCATCACCGTAAAGCAGCACGCTGTTTCCATGGCAACCGGCGGCATTGAACAAACCCAACGTGCTCTTGTTCACAATGGTCGTGAAGAAACATGCTGACAGCCACAAACGGTAAATCGATGAGGATCAATAATGATCAGCTGAGAGGAGCTAAATTGGTGCATGTTCCTGTGTTCACATGCATGTGTACACATTATTAGACAAGGGCATCTAAAAAACAAATGTCTGGACAAGCACTGAGCAAAGTGTCAGTTTCTCAAAAGGCATTATTATATTTTATTGTGGGGTTGGAGATTATCATCCATAAGATTATCCTGTAACGTTGTGCATCCCTCCCACTTCAACACCCCTCACTTAGCATCTTTCAGGAGGTAGTTAAGGACATTTTGTGTTTTTCTGTAAAATGCAGATAGCCCACGTTTGTGAAACACTCAGGGAGGAACACGCATTAGGCTATTGTGCGTTACTGTGGAGTAGCCGCCCCCCCTTCTCTTCTCTCTTCTTTTCCATCTCCGCCTGTTGTACGGCACACGCAATTAATTTACTCTTTTAAAAAGGGCTTTCCGAAAAATACTAATTATGCATCAACCACTTAGCAATTTCCCACGAGCCTGCATTTTATTTGTGTGTGTGTGTGTGTGTGTGTGTGTGTGTGTGTGTGTGTGTGCGCTCTACATTTCTCCTGCATCATTACATGCCCCCCCACATCCCTTCCTCCCCCCTGCATCTTCCTGCCTTTGCGTTCGCTTTTCTACACTTTGAACTCGTTGCATCTCTTTCATCTCGAACCGATCGGCCCCCGTCCCCCACCGTCCCCACCCTCCACAGCTGCTGCTCCTGCCGCCACCGCCCTACTGCGCCCAGTTGTGGAGGCTTTACCATTTTTCTGAATGTAAATTATTTTTAAACACAAACAAACTGAATGGAGATGGAGTGCGGTGGGTGTACACCCAAGGGGTCATTATTTGCATTCCTTTTCTTTTCTAACAACAGAGCAGAAATGACCCACTAACAGAGATCATAGAGAACAGAACACGGCAAGTAATGGATTCTCCATCAAGTCAGGTCAAACACACAACAACCATTAGCCTGCATGAAGTCATCTTCAAAGCAATCCCAGCACCCCTCATTGATAATGAATGAGAACCCCCCTCCCCTCTCCTCTCTCTCTGTATTCATACCTGTCACTCGCTTTAGAGAAAAGCCACTAACAGCTCGACCATGTGGTCAGAATCACAGAAACAGCTGATACCTGCAGTTTGGTGAAAAACAGGCTGGAGCTGTAATGAATATGACCTTTGGTGAAGGATGTTAAGGTTCGATTTTCTTTGCTTCTACAATGCAAAACAACGCATAGTTAATTCCTTCATCACCAGCACGCCGTGTAAGGAGGGAGCATCTTATTTGTCTCCAAGTAGAAAGGCTCATTAAGGCAGACAGTAAGATTTACGAGGGTACTTTAGTTGGAGGAAGGACAAACACACACACACACAGGAAGAGATGGACCGACTGGAATAGAGGGGTGGGAGATGTCGTCTCCCTTGGGGAAGGGACGGGGAAGACAGAACTGCTGAGGCGGCACCGCTAAAGAAAACAGAATGTGGGGAAAGCAGGAGAGAGAGAAGAAGAAGTAGTGGAGACAGAGAAAGAGAAGAGAAGGAGAATAATGCGAGCATTGAAACACGATGGCAAAGCAGGACCAGAGGGGTTGGGGTGGGTGTGGGTCCTGGTGGAGGTGTAGCAGCATGGGAGACGACCAACGGGAGCATGGACTCAGCGTGGCAAGAAAGTTTTTCGCGCTTGGCTGCACTGGGGGAACATTGATTTGACATGCAATTACTGGAAGGGGACACGAGCAAAGGGGGGGGGGGGGGCGAAGCGGTGCAGCAAAGATGTCGGCAGTCGCAGACGGCCAAGGTCAGCGACTGGGTGCAGCGTGAATGACACTCGAACGTCCTCATGGTGCCGCCTGCGCCCTGTAATGACATCAGCGGAATTCAATTTGTCTTCATGAGTGCTTTTGAAAATGTGTTAATTTAATTTCTATTAAAATTCAACCAAGAGCCTCTTCAGACATGAGGGGTCTTTGAGCTACAAGTACAGTTCTTACATGTTCATTATCAAAGCGCTGCCATGCTTATATTTGGTAATTAGTATTAGCGCAAACAAAATGTCAAGATGATTATAAACCGAGTCATTGAGCTAATTGAAATGTTGACCTGCTGATTAGAAAAAGCCACTCAATACGCTGACCTGGTGGCGGCGGCACTGGAGGAAATGGTCATTAAATGATTAGGATTCATGCTCTGGGGAACATGCATGATCGTACCAAATGTTGAGTTGTGATGAGTATGTGCATAAAAATAATTTCAACTGTAGATATACACACAAATACACTCATATATATATAAATATACATGAGTACGGTTTAAATTCCATGTCGAATGGTCTCTGGAACGAAATGATGAAAATCTACTGTATGTCTCAGCTGGAAGAGTTGTAGTTCATTAAAGCAAATTTATTAAAGCAGGATACAGCAGAATTTGCAATGCATTATTTTTTACTGAAGCCGTTGCTCAGAAATGAGGGAGAATTTAAGTAGCTTCCCCAATAAACTCATTCAAAATATATTTGCAGGGAAACCACTTCTGATTCACACAAAAGAAAGATAAGACTGTTTTGCAGAAGAGCTTTCAGGAGGACCGGAGAGCACAAAATTAATGTGGTGACGAAAACACATTTTTATCTCTGTGGCTGATAACTTATTATATTTTCCACCTCCAGTTCAATCCTTTATGAAACGCATTTTCAAGAAACCCCCTGTGGTGTATTTCCTGCCATTCAACGTTAGGGACTTTCTAACATTTCTGTCCCTCTCTCTCCACAGAAGAGTCACATAAACAACATGTTGTGCTCTTTTGATGCCGACGGTCGAATGAAGGTCTCAGTATAAAGCTTCCTGCTCTGTGTCATGTGGTGTCGAAACCCGTTCTCATACAAACCCCCGTTTGTCTCTGTGTGCCTGTGGGAACGCGCCCAGCCGCGCGCCACTTATCTGTCTTTGCTAGTCTCCTATTAACCGAGGACACCTCTGTCTTTCCTGACCCGTGTGTATCCGTAGCCCCCCCCTCCTTTGTGTACTTGTGAGGCCGCTTTGCTTCTACGAACTAACCTTCCCTGTTTGATAATACTGACCCTGTGTACTCCATTCATTCATCTTGTCTTCCTCCCGTCCTGCAGTGGTGGAAGAAGTAAACTGTAATTAAGTTGAAGCAACATCCCGCTGTAAACAACAACAACAAACGGACAGTTTTCCGTTCGTCCACCCACACGGGTGTTTTCACTTTCCTAACTAGAGGACATCTCCCTCGTTAGCACACCTGACCGGGGGTTTAATCAGCGCGATGGGAAACACCTGTGTGGCTGCGCAGAGCCTTTCGTTCTCTCTGAATTTGTGGAGTAAAAGCTAAGTGACATAAAAAGCGTGCACCAAAATGCGCGATACTTTAAAGTTGTGCAGAACTTGATTAAATGTGCTTTCCACCACTGGCTTCACCGTGTCGCCATCACCGTAGTCATTCTTTCACTGACCTTGCTGCCCGCTCTTTAGATCTTCTGTTTCTGTTTCTCGCAAGTTCTTTGTATATTCAGAGAGACACTCCTCCACGCCGTTACTACTTCTTTGTTAAATTCATATGCTTTTAGAAAAGTGAAAAGGAAGCATATCCCAGGAGGACAACATGCTGCAGCTTCCCGGTTTTATTCACCATTTGCTGCCCTGTTACATATTTACAGCACTGAATGTTGAAGCTCCGCCTCCTTCGCCCAAATGATTTCATTTTCTCATTTTGACCTCGGCCGTGTTTTCCAGGTGAATGGAAAGGACCTCTGCCGCCTTTCTGGCGACCCCACCCTGGACCTACGGGACCCTGTGCTGTCCAACATACTGAGGCGGGGGGCCCGCAGGCGCGCAGGCCTGGCGGGAGCCCCCGGGGGGCCGTCGCCAGTGACCGCGGGTATGGCCGACTGCGTGGACAGCTGCACCCAGACGGACATCAGCTTCCAGCATATGTTGACTCTGGGCAAGAGCAGCCAGCATCCCTGTGGAGCTCCGCCCCCACCCGACCCCCCGCCGTCCCCCCCCCTGCCGCCGCTGCTGGAGCCGTATCTGCTCAATGAACTGTGAGTGGTCCGATCGGCCTCTGCAGCGTGTCCAGCTGTCTGACCAGACCTCGTCTGCCGCCTTGGTCCCGGTCCACGTCCGTCCGTCCACACGTTTTCAATTTCAAAGCCGCCCCAATTGCTGAAACATTATGTCCTGAATATTGTCCTCCTCAGCTTCGTGGAGCCCGTGTACTACGACCCCGCCGACTACTTTGACATCACTCAGCACGAAGTGGACAGACAGGACGAGCTGGAATATGAGGTGAGGGCCCTCAGAGCCAGTTTTTCAGAAAGCTGCCGTCCGGCCGTCCGTCCGTCCGCCTCACACTTCTTCTCTACCTGCTTCAGGAGGTGGAGCTGTACAAGTCTCGCCAGCAGGACAAACTCGGGCTGACGGTGTGTTACAGGACCGACGATGAGGAGGACCTGGGGATATACGTAGGAGAGGTGAAGAGGATGTTGTGCTTTTAAAGTTTCCCCTAATGTTCTTCCATTTCTTTACACTCCTAAACAAATGCTTCTTTTCTTTCCCAGGTGAACCCAAACAGCATCGCCGCATTAGATGGACGCATCCGCAAAGGAGACCGAATACTGCAGGTGCAAGTTTCCCATATATGCTGGATTCCTTTTAGATGATTACAGTTTCGATACTACAGGGTTGTGGAAGGGCTTTTTATTTTTTCTTTAGTTACGTAATGGATGGAACTGAAGTGTAAGATAACTCCTGGTTCATGGACGTCGGGTCCCCCTTAATCCACCCTCTAGTTCTCATGTTTTAGCGCGGCAATAATTCTAAATCATTTCATAAGAGATTGAATTTCATTACTTTTGCTATTAAACCAAGGAGAGATTTCTCCCCCTGCCTCTCCCGAATCAAGTCATTTAATTGAGTCTAGCCTCGGTGTGACGGCTCTTTCTTTCCCTTCTCCTCTTCCTCGCTCAGATAAATGGTGTGGACATCCAGGACAGAGAGGAGGCAGTGGCTATTCTCACCAGAGAGGACAGCACTAATGTCTCCCTGCTCCTTGCACGGCCCGAGATCGAGGTGAGCAAATTGGATATGCGGTCTCCTAGAGCTCTGCACAAGTATGACCGCTGACCTAAAACGAGATGCCTCCTCTCCCCTCATTATGAAGCGAGAGATTACTACTACTACTTCTACCGCCGTGTGAACACGTCGAGTCGTGAGATAAAGAACGGGGCTTGGTGCTCCGCTGCGTCCTGTGCTGCTAGAAAAGCAAAGAGGTGCAGAAACATGATGAGTACACAGATAGTGTGAAGGGAGCGGCGAAAGACAAATAGAGCTTGTGCTTCGCTGTGCAAATGTTGCACCGCTCTGTATGCTCTGAACGCCTCAAGGTCACTTTTCTAGCAGATATGGGGACATTGCAAGATGCGCCTCACTAACGCAGGTCTGGTTAAATTACTTGTAAATAGCAACGTAGACACGTGTGACACAATTAAACAGATGCTCACTGCTGACCGTGTAACATTTCCTTGAAACATGCAATTGTAAAGACGTGTATGCCGCATCCGTACAGAAGGAGCTAAAGGGATTTAAAAGGAGCGTTCAAATATTCAAACGATGCAATGTGCCCTTGCATGGCGAGAGATTTGCACAACCTCTACCTGTGACAGGCTGACCAGATTTATGTGGGCGAGGCGCGGCCTCGCATTAAGATTCAAGGGAGCGAGCGGAGGACGGAGGGGCGTCGGTGGGAAATGCACAAGCTGAGATTAAAGCTTGATCTGTTGTCTTGAGGGAGAAAGTGAGGGAGCAGAAGGGGATGTCGACGAATAGGAGTGAAGATAATCAATACGTTGTCTGTAGTCTGCACCTCAACTCACATTCCAATCAGGCCAATTAGCCAAGAGCAACTGGGCTCAGCGGAGGGAGTTGTTTAGTTATTCATTTCATCTCATTTGATGAGGGGATGCCAATCAATAGAGCAAAAAAACAGCTCACAAACAATAACAATTCTAAAATATTAAGTGATATTCATCATATTCTCGATGGACATCGTGCAATAGACGGCTGAACAGTAAACGCCTGTTCTATAGAGCGCTCATACTTGGATACGGTCTGAACATGAGCTGGGAGCGTTTGTTTTTACAATTCGCCCCCTTTTGAAATGTTAGAATCTCACAGGGCAATGGCTTCATCTAGTGGCAGACAGGAGCACTTCTCTTATACGGGCTGCGCGCCGCATTAAAGCGGCTGTAATCCATTTGTTTACACTGAAAATGATCCTTATCTGCTTCATCTGTAAATAGCAGATGAGCAAAAAAAATGTTTCGTTATTTGTTCTTTAAAATTTTTCATTCTGTTAAAAATCCCACGCTGAAATATTTGATAAACATTCAGATATACAGGTTTCTATATTAACGGACACTTTTCCTGCTGTCTTTTGTTCTCCTCCTCAACAATGAACCAAACTCCCCGCCATCCACCTCCTCGCCATCCACCCGCCAGAACGACAACCAGCTGGATCAAGATGAGCTGGACCCGGAGACCCTGGACAACGCCGTCCATCTGCCCGGGGGCCACGGGGCGAGGAGCGGCCCCTCCGCCCTCGGGGTCGGGCCAGCGGGCGTCGCCGGAGTCCTCGGCGGCCGCTCGCTGGGCGGGGATTCGCCCGACCTGCTGAAGGTGCTGAGCAACAGCCAGGAGCTGGACAGCGGGGTGGGCCGCACCGACGAAAGCACGCGCTACGAGGAGTCCTCGGAACACGACCTCCTGGGAGACGACCACACCAGCGCCTCCAACACCAACGCCACCAACACGCCGGGCAGCATGCGCAGGTTTCTGTCTGGCCGCGGGGAGACTCCGCCCCTGCTGCACTCCCAGGACCTGCAGTTCAGCGCCGACTCCCTCTTAGGGCTGGACTGCTGCGGGCTGGAACAGGTGGAGCGGTTGGAGAGGGCCTACGCCGCCGACCCCCTCAGAATGATGATGCCCGGGCTGACCGAGGAGGAGTGCGAGAGGTACAAAGAGCTCCTGGAGATCAAGTGTTACTATGACAAGATCAGCAGCGCGCTGATGCCGGCGGCGGGAGGGCAGGGTGCGGCCCCGGGGGACGGCGTCTCGCTGGACGTGAACAGGAACGAGAGCCTGACGCAGCACGAGATGGCCCTCCTGGAGGAGGAACTGCGGCACCTGGAGTTCAAGTGCCGCAACATCCTGCGGGCGCAGAAGATGCAGCAGCTGAGGGAGCGGTGTCTGAAGGCCTGGCCCCTCGAGGACAAGAACGGGGCGAGCGCAGGGGCCGGACGCCCGGACGCCAGCGGTACGGCGGCCAGCGAGGAGTCCTGCCACCGCGCTCTGTCGGACATCAACGAGCTCCCGGAGAGGGAGCGCTCGGACAAGGACAGCACGAGTGCCTACAACACCGGCGGGGAGAGCTGCAGGAGCACCCCGCTGGTCAACGAACAGCACCCTTCCCCCTCCACGCAGAGCCTGGAGAGGGGAGAGCATCTTCTCCCGGCGCCCTCCACCCGCCAGAGAGAGCGAGGAGCCAGGGGCGACGGGCCGCAGGCCAACCTCAACCAGCCCTACTCTCCTCACTCTCACAGGAGACGGGGCGAGGCCAAGACATACAGCCCCGGGGCAAAGGTCGGGGGACCCCTGTCCCGGGACAGGGGAACCAGGCGGGGCTCAGACGGGGAGGTGAGACGCAACCCCAGAGCCATTGCCGAGGGGTCCGGGGGACACAGCGCGGAGAACAGCCCTTACCTGTCCCGCCGTCAGCCGGACACGAAGCCCGCCCAGCACTACCTGAGCTGCATGCAGCTGGGGTCTCCCGGGGAGGGCGGCGTGGAGACGTGGGGCGACGCCAGCCCAATGAGCTTGGGCAGCACGTGCAGGGACGTCGCTCAGGCCCCGGGGGCCGCGCCCCTGTCCCCGGCCTCCCCCCGCATGGAGTGGAAGGTGAAGATCCGCAGCGACGGCTCCCGCTACGTGGCCAAGCGGCCCGTGAGGGACCGCCTGCTGAAGGCGCGCGCCATGAAGATCCGAGAGGAGCGCAGCGGCACGACGACGGACGACGACGCCGTGAGCGAGATGAAGATGGGCCGCTACTGGAGCAAGGAGGAGCGCAAGCAGCAGCTGCTGAAGGCGCGGGAGCAGCGGCGGCGCAGGGAGTTCATGATGCAGAGCCGCCTCGACTGCCTGAGGGGGCGCGAGAGGGAGCAGGGGGGCGGCGGCGGCCAGCAGGGGTCGACTCCACAGCAGGAGCCCACCTCCATCCTGGAGCTGTGCCACCGCAGGAGCGTGAAGAAGCGCAGTCGCAGGATCCTGGACAACTGGATCACGATACAGGAGCTGCTGGCCCACGGGTCCAGGTCCGCAGACGGGAAGAAGGTGTATAACCCCCTGCTGTCTGTCACCACGGTCTGAGGGACCCGGGGAGGGGGGGGCAAAGCGTTTTTGGCCCAGGGCCTATAAGGAGACCAAGTGGCTTCAGTGCACCTCGCCGTACTTAAGGCACCGATTGGATTGGAGAAAAGGCCTCATGACTGAGACTGCTGGTCACCGTGTACGTCATCACAGAGGTGGTGCACACATTTAGAAGATGGATCACAGCCGCAGGAAGGCAACTGAAGTGACAGTTTGTACAATGATACTCTCACTCTCTCCTCGTCTGGTTGAATGGATCTTAATTTGTGAGGACAAAACATTTTCATGGTGCGCTATAAGAATGCCACCCATCTTTTTAAATCCAGACGTCACACGGTGAATGTGTGGGTGGGGGAGTAAACCGACTTGATATTCTGGAGGAAGCACATTTGTCTTGCTGCAAAGAGCGATAGCACCACCTGCAGTACATTAGAGGAGCTTTGCACTGAAGTAATCTTTGCAGGCCTCTAGATTTTATGAAGGAAATAAAAAGTGGGGCTTAGAACCATGCGGCTGTGAAAACATGAAGTGCCATGGAACTGTTTATTAAGTGTCCAGAAAGCACATTTTGATGTGTGCCAGTTAATGTGGTTACATGTTGTTTCATTCTTGTAGTCTTCATGTATAACTGCTCCTTTGTTGTGATGCAGGAAACCTGGTCAGACCATAGATGCTTTTTGAGAAAGAGGAGCGGTGCCTTCCTGTCAGGCAGGCTTGACTCTATAGCACAATTTTCAAAGCGATAAAAGGAAAAAAGCTAAACTACTGAAGCACAGATCAACTGACGTTTATCTTTTTAAGAAGAGCACCCTTTGTTGTATGAAGCACACAAACTTGTATTCAAAAAGGGCAGTTCATTTATTTAAGCAGCCATGTAAATGAATAAAACATCTTTCTCGCTGCCATTTAAAGTAGTGGTAAAGGCTTTTTTTCCCCCAGAACAACGAGTTTGGTCAGTATGCAAATATGCTTTTTCCCCCATTGTTGACTAAACAAGGCTTTTTCATTGCAAAGAAAGATTGTTCTTCAACCACAGAATCTGTTGTTTGGGTCTACAGCTGCTTTGGCACTTTCATTCTCAAGATAACTTTTCTAAATGATGAACAGAGAACTAGCCTGGATTATTATCCAGTTAACGCAAAGAACATGGTTCAGAAAACAGTCAACAGCTCATTTTTATTCGGCTTAAATGCATGTTTGATATTGAGGCAGAAATGTGTGTCCTTTTTAAAGACTGAAAGCATTTGACATACTGTATTTGTGTGCGTGTTTCTAACTTGCTCTTGCATAGTTAATGAAAACAATGTGTACTTGTTCAATATCGTAGTGTCCGTTTGGTGTCGGCCATTTTCCAGTGAAAGCTTTTCTAAATAAACGCCGTGATCATGAAACTTGTTTCGTATTTCTTTGTGTCACCGTCCTTGATCTGAGACTAAGCTGAGAAATAATGAGTCAATATGTCCTAAACAATTCTAAACCTTTATTTTTTCTAACAAGAGTGAAAAGAAACAAAGGCAACAGTAAAATGAAAAGTTTATACACAAACTCACAACAACTGTCTGCAATATCAATAATAATATTTGAACCCAGGAAACAAAATAAGTTGCGACAAGTGAGTTACAGTGAAGTTACCTTAATTTGCAAAGAGAACGAGGGAGAAAATGAAAAGGAACAGATTGAGCCAAAAAGTAACGGTCTCTTTAAAAAAAAAAAAAAAGGAATCATGGGGAGGAAAGGTAGGACAAAGCTAAGGAGGTACAGATGTCCATTTTGGGAAAGTAGCACCAAAAACATTAATGCCTGTTTTTAACACTCCCCAAAATTGACTCGGTTTATTATCAAATGCAAGTTCCCTCAAAACAGCATCAAACACAAGATCCAATACAACAAAAAAAAAACGAGTGTAACCACGATGCTGCTGTCCAAAAAGCAGTCAGACCTTCTGCTGTACCTCAGCTTCAGGATCCCCGACACAGCGGTCTAAATACACCCCGCAGCGTGTCCGACTTCCACCCGCTGGGCTCAAGTGAAGGAGAGCGGCGTCCGCCGGCGCCGAGCCGGGCTTCAACTAACCTTGAATACAGTTGGGATTACGTAGCATACCGAGTGACCTCAAGAGACGACTCCAGACCGCAAATACACTCCTATTGCCGCGAGTCCTGTATCGGTCCATTAACAGTCTGAATATGTTCACAGGAAACATGAGGCGGCAAAATAGTATATATATACGGTGGGGTAAGACAGTGAGTCTGAGATAATAATAAAAAAGAAATCAAGACGTGTGAGATATGGCTGAGTTCATGAGGGTTTGTGAGGGTGGAGTGTAGAAGAAGAGTCATTGCTCTGTTAGTGTCTGGAGGTGTGAATGAAGGAGGAGCAGGGACGTTGGGTACAGGGATGGGGATGTCCTGCATCTTTCAATAACTTGTCTTCTGGCACAGAACGATCTGTCCCTTCGCTCTCCTCCTCCGACCGATCCGTCTAAACGGAGATCCGGCGTCGACTCTAATCACAAAATCTGTCAACGGAGGGAGACAAAAGCCTCAAATAAAGCCTTGGCATCAAAACTACAGCGGCGCAGCGAGGGCCGGCCAGAAGGGGTCAGTTACCTCGGGATTGGTCTGGACAGGCAACCGAGGGGAGGGGCTGATGCTGAGCGGGCAGGTTTTCTTCGACTCCGAGGTGTCCGGCGAGCGCTTTCCCGCCGCGTCCCCGCTGCCTCCTCGGTGGCTCTTCCGCTTTCGTTTGGAGTCCTTGGCGCGCCCGCGGCTGGTTCGCCTCTGCTCCTCAAGCTCAATCTGAGGAGGGGCAGGGGGAGGGGGGGGGGGGTGTAAGGGCCTCGTTACCAAAAATGCAACAATGAATAAACACGGTTTCCTTATTTATAGTTTCCTCAAAAAAAAAAAAGTCAGACTTTTTTTTTTGGATACAGCCTGTTCGCAAAAGACACCAAAGCTAGATCAGCTGCTCATCTCTCTAAATGCATTAGTTTAATTATTCTAGAATCCAAAATAAGAATTATGTAATATACCTTAATTAAAGTTAATTTGCGTTGTAAGTTAACATGGGGCAGCTATGTACCAGCAAAGGCATAGAAGAAGACTTCCCAAGTAAAGATGGTGCTAAACAATCCAGGTGTCACACCTTGAAGACGGCGATACGGCCAAATCCTTTTACCAAGATAAAAGTAATTTCATATCTCCATCACAAGGTCAATCATGATGAATACTAGATTTGAAATAATCTGTGAACTTTGAATTAAAGCCGTAAATCTTCATTCCTGACCTGAATGAGTGTGCGCAGCGTTTCTCTGGGTGGAACAGAAGCAGCCTGCAGAACTCTGTGGATGATGAGGGTCTGGTCCAAGGACACCTCGAGCAGATCTCCCTCCAGCTGCAGCTCCTCCAGCTGGACTTTGGTTGCTGGTAAAAGCTCCACTACCTGGCCTTTGAGCAACGGCAGCAGGGGCAGCAGAGACCCCACGCCTGAGCGATGAGTGAGCACAGGGAGACACGCTGTGAGGAATCATGTCTTATTACGCCTGACGTTGGCTTTAGAAGACGCCATCTTACCTGTAACATTTGACTTCTGGCTGAGGCCGTTTTCACATCCGGCCTGTGGGCACACAAGCTTTGTTTTAACAGGCAGGTTGGAGATATTTGGCTCATTTTTGTTATTCAAATTTTTAGTCTTAACATCAGAGTGTCACAATAACGTGTTAACCTTGCTTCCGTTGCTCTCCTTGCTTTTCTTTTTTGGGGAATTCTCGTCCGTCAGATCGATGACTCCTTCCTCCGCTTCCCCTCCCTCGGAGTCCGACAAAACAATCACGCCGCTCCCCGGCGTCTCCTGCCCCGCGTTTTCCTTCTCCTCTGCGTCGCAATGCAGCGTCTCTTTGAGGTCCTGGAGCCTCTGGAGGGCCAGCTGCACCTCGGGCGTCTCCACGGCCTCCTTGGCGCGGCCCTGCCAGGTGATGGCCCGCTCGGTGAGGCACTGCAGCGCCTCGCCCTCGGGCAGCCGCACCGGCAGCCGCTGCAGGGCCACGAGCAGCGCCAGGATGGTCTCCAGGCGAGGGCGCCGCGACCGCTGGCACCGCGGACACAGGAAGCGAGAGTCCCAGTCCCACCAGCACAGCGGGTTCCCGGCCGGCCCCGAGGAAGGGAGCAGGGCGGGGGAGGGAACGCAGCCCCCGTGGAACCAGTCCTTGCAAAGGTGACAGCGCAGTTGAGGCGCGCGAGGCTGACCGGTGCACACGCACACCGGCTGAGGCGGGCCGGCGTGGTTGCCGTTGCCCTTCACGGAGTCCTCCGAGTGGCTGGACGTGTCCGTCTCCATGGCGTCCTCCCACCTCCCGTTGTCCTTGCCCTCCTTGGTCTCCTCGCAGCTCGCGGCGTTGAGTCCCGATTTGTACAGGTTGACTTTCTGTAACCTCAGCAGGGCCTCCTTCTCCTGGTGCTCCCCTTCTTTGAATGCAATCACCTAGAGACAAGGTGCATAGAACAAGTTCACCTACTAAACTAGTATTTTGTTTTAGAACGCATAAGACATGTGAGAATTAAAAAAAATTAAAAAAAAAAACAAACAAACACAAGATGGTCAAGAAACTCACGATGGCGGCCGGGTCCCTCAGGTCCTGAGCAGAGAGGCCCACAGTGTTGGTATCCGAATCGTCTGAAGGCTCGTCCAACAGCGCCACCTCATCTCGCCTCGCTCTCCTTTTTGCAAAGGGACATAACACCTGCAGGGCCACACCGGGGTTCATCAGCGCATGATAAGGAGCAAAATGCAAAAATAACTGCTTTCTTTGCATCGCCCACCTCTAGCAGACTGTGCTGGCTGCTCTTCTTCAGGAAGGTCTTGGTGGCCTTGTCCCTCCAGGAATGAGCGCTGGCTACCTGCAGTTCCAGCTGTCTCAACTCCTCCATGAAGACCGGCAAGTCTCTCCCGATGGCCACCAGGCCCTCCAGGTCGTCCAGGCAGGGGTAATGCTCCCCGTTCTGCAACAAGGAAAAACACCAATAACAATGTTTAAAGCACCAAGTTACAGCACAATTTGGGGGTATTTACATCTCATTCTAAATCACACAACAGAGTGCGTAAGAAAAACTGTTTTTTCTTGCTACCTGGATTTCCTCGAGGTCCGTCACCCAGGCTTGTGCCCGAGTGAGACAGTCCTGCAGAGCAAGAATGTTGGGCAGCTTGACTGGGATCAGGTGGGCCTCGTTTACTATCGCCTCTAGTGTGGAGAGGGGATGCTTTTGCCTGCAGGAACAAAAGCACGACATGGAAAGGTCACATTTACATAGTGATGGCAACGCTAACGTCGACTAAAGTGTACGGTTGACCTCGTTGGGTCTCACTTTTGCTCAAGGCAGATCTGTGCCTTCTCCTCCCAACGCTCCGCGATGGTGAGCAGCTCCTGAAGCTCCGCCATGGCCGTCTCCACGGACACACTCTGGGGAACGTTGCAGCCGGCTTCCATCAGGCTCCTCAAAACCTCCAACGTCACCTCCTGCCTCTCCCCTCCCTCGGTGCCCAGGGTGCGCCTCACTTCGGCGAGCCAGTGGCCCTGCTCCTTCAGGCCCCGGAGCAAATCACACTCCGGCACCACCACGAGCAGCTCGGCCCCCTGCGCCAGCAGAGCCTCCAGCTGTTCGGGCGGCGCAGAGTCCCTCCTCCAGTCCCTGTTGTTGGCCAGTAACTGAGCGCGGCTCCGGAACTCCTCCACCGCCCGCAGAACCACCTTGAAGATCAGACGGCACGGAGGTAGATAAATAAAAATTTATTAAAAAGCCAACTTTTAATTTAGTGGAAACATTTAGATCACATCCCAAAAGACCGTAGCGAGTTGGCTCAAGAGGAACGTCTCACCTGCACATCCTCCAGCTGGGTGATCACACACGGGAGGTTCTGCATAGTCTCTACCAAGGATTTCAGCTCGGCCAACGTCATCTTACCTTCACTAAAAGGACAGAAGAAGTGAGCGCATGGAACGGGACAGTTTGTGTGAATGTTAAGCAGAACGTCGGTCTCACCCGGTCTTTGGGTTACTGAGGAGTTCTGTACTGGTCAGATGGCAGCGTTCTATGTCTTTAAGAACAGTGTTGAGTTTCCGCAGAAGTTCGTTGTCGGGAAACTTTTTCTCCGCCGCTTCCACCTTCAGCCTCTCCAGGTCGTCAATTCCTGAAATTCCACAACCATTTGGTCATACCGCGTCATTTCAATGTCGTAGCTTCCTTCTCAAACTAATTCTAAAGGAATACATCCATTGTGATTTCCCACCTATCTTGTTTCCTTCTTCCTGCTCAAGTGCCTCCTTCACTCTGTTGGCCCAGGAATCGAAGGATTCAGAACGAACCTTTAATCTATGCAACATGGCCAACAGCTCATCGAGGGTGTATCTGTATCTGAAAGTGAGGGGACGAGAAATAATATGTCAGCATCGCCGGTAATAAACAAAGGAAATGTTACTCTGAAAAAGAATGAGTGCACACACTCTGAGCTAAATACCTGAGGTAGAGTTTTTCAGAGGGGCAGTTGCACAGATCCTGAGTGTGATAGAGGCACACTAGTCTCTCGGGACAGTTGGAGCAGGCCAGCGCAGAGAGGAAGCACGTCGTCTTACAATTGTCACACTGTCTCTCGTCGTCGGGCAGCAGCTCAAAAGCCTCGCGCTCGGCTTCAGTGATGCCCTGCAGGTTAAACGACAGTCTTTGATTAGACAATCAGACTTCCTGCATTCTCATCAGACAGCATGCAGATATTGAGTGAATAAGTGGATGAATAAAATCGAGAGGAAAACAACGTCTAGGAACCGTTGCTGCGTCTCACCCTTTGCATCAGACCCTTCCGCAGCTTCCTCTCCTCCTGAACAATGATGAACATTTCCCGGTGTGTAGCCGCGGCCAGGTTGAGGTCTAGTTTCTCTGGGCTGGCCGCCATCTTGCAGGTGAGCTCTTCGTGGGAGAACACACAATACCTCCTGAGACGCCGGTAGTGCTCGATGCAGGAACGGCCAGCGGGCAGCTGGGCGGGAGAGAGAAGAGGGATGTTGATACGGCAACGGTGTTAAATTAAACAGGAGACGCGACGGCGTAAACGGACGTACCCAGTCGGCAGTGCAGAAGTTAACGGCTTCAGCAAAGTTGTATCCCTGATTGAAGCCACTGTGGTAGGCTCGGGGGAAGGTGATGACGAACTCACCGGCACACTGGTTGGTGCGAACGACCTGCCGGGACACAAGCACGGAAGTCACTCAAAAGACAACGGCGGACGCGGCCGCGTGGCTGCGGCATGCGTGTTTGCGGGAGACTGACCGGTACACCGTGAGACATGAGGATGTTGGGGTTCATGATGGTGACCAGCTGGTGCAGGAGGTCAGGTTGAAACTCAAACAGCTCTGGCGTCAGCTTCTTCATCACCTCCTCGAGTCGCTCGGCCGCCACGGAAGGAACCCCGTACCACGTCTTGGGTTCACCCCTACGGATACGCACAGGAACGAACACAAGGAAAGAACAAAGAGGAATTGTTGGAGTATTTCACTCAAAAAACGTTCCAGGCAACATCATCAAACCAGCCGCTTGAAAAGCAGCACCCGTTTTAAGGTTTCCTCACCAGTGCAGGTAGTTGATGGAGTAGCTCCAGTGATCCTCGATGTGCCAGCAGAATGCAGAGAACACCATGCCGACGTAAAGCCAGGGCACCTTCATCCCGGAGATGTCTCCGTTAATGTGGCAAAGGAGCGACTGCTCCAGCACGGGCATCACATTCAAGTTCCAGCCGCTGCGGGCGTATCCCTGAACAGAGAGAGTGCACTGAGAATAGACACTGGAGGACTAGGAAAAGGTTGAAAATAAACACAGAACGCAGGTAGTGTCTTAACTACACCATTACCTGATGGAGAATATTGTAAATTCAAACTTTTTCCAAAGACCTGATTGTTGAAAGATTGTTCAAATCAAAAAACAAAATGTGAGTGAAGTAATGGAAACCGCAAAATAGAAAACTAAAGACCGTGGATTTATCTCTTTTAAAATGTCTCCATAAGTTAACACGGTAGAAATGTGTTGTCCATCAATCCTCATAAAAATGTAGTATAGTTGCATTTTCTTATTGGGTGATGAAGTGTTGGAAGGGTCATAAAAAATAAATAAGGATAAGTTGAGAGCGTCTTTGACATAATCTCAAGCAGGATGTAGCGAGCTCACTTTAACCTCGAAGACCCTTCAAGCAAACTTCTCACAGAACGGACAACAATGTGCGTACCTCCTCTTCCTTTGTGAGCTCCTTCTTGCCATTTTTCATCGGGAAGCCACTGCCGAACTCCTTAGAGTGGATGTCGGCCCCGTACTCGACGACCACGTCTTCCTCAATGCTACTAACCAGCCTCCAGAACTCTCTCTCCACCAGCTCAGTGGGAACCATCTACAACCGACACAAAAGGCCAGAGGGTGAGTGCCAGGCATCATCGTGATGAGCAGGTGACGTCCCGGGTGGCCGCGCTTACATGGACTGGCATGTTGAAGTAATCCGCTTTGAAAGCGTCCGCCATTTCCCCGAAGCTCTGCAGCGTGTACTCGCGGGTGGCCTGTTCGAAGCCGAATGCCTCCGAGGGTTTCTTGCACTCCTGAAAGAGTCGTGAAGTGAGAAGATCAAAACAGAGATTTGCCTCGTGGGTTAGAAGAACTTGTGTGACTAAGACAAGGCAACCTCCCGCCACTCCGTCGGAAGTCGGGCTCATCAACAGAACCCGGTCCCCCTCTGACTGACATCTCACCGGTCACTTTCACTTCCACACGCTGGTGCACTTTATTTTTCTATATTTTTTAATATTTAACTTTTATTTCTTTATTTTTAAACTAACCCATGGAATTATATTTTATCCCTCTTGCACCGTTGTCTTGTTGTCCAGTCCGCCAAGTCAAATTCCTTGTATGTCTGACATATTACTGCAATAAATCTCTCCTGATAACGTCATTAAAACAGTGAGGATGATATACATTTTAACATAGTTAAACAACAAGTAATGAATAGAAATGTAATTAATTATAGGGATTCTACTATGAAGTGAACCAACACTGGGCTGAAAAGGTTTTTAAGTTGACTAAAAACAAAACAATGATTTCAACTAACAAGCATTTTGGTCCAAACACACATAACGTCTCTACTCACCGCGGCCACACACTTAGGGCAACGCCAGTTCCCCTTGGGGGGGTCGGTGAGGGGGGGCAGTAGACAGTAGGTGTGGTAGTTATCATCGCAACCGTCACACAGCAAGAGCTTCTCGTCGTCGTCTCCCCGACCGCACATCCGACACACAAAGGAGTCCACCTTTGGAAAAGTTCATCCCATCAGACGTTTGTGGGGTTATAGTTATAACAGGTATAACACTTCGTTCCGGTCTACTTACACTCTGTGGGTTGCCCAGGTTGCGTCTAAGCCTCATGGTCATTTTGGTACACGGCCCATCGGTCACGCCACCCTCCTCCTTTTTACCAGCGGCGACGTCCGGCTCTTCTTTCTTCACCTCCGTCTTTACCTTGACGGTAGGAGGCGGCGGTTGGGGGCTCGATGCGCCTCCGTCGCTCTGCCTCTCTGGGGGCTCCACTGACTCCGCTTTGACCGAAGCATCACCGGGAGCGGGAGAGATGCTTTCCTTGACGGTTACAGTTTGAGGCAGCTCATCTGAACAAAACAAACAGGGGGAGGGATCAATGTCCTGTACTGCAATTGGGGTCGTTTTTGTTTTTTAGTTGGCAGCTTAAAAATTGTATCCAAACCAAAAACAAGCTCTCCAATACCCACAATTTATTCAACCGCACCAAGAATTGATGACTTGTCTAGATGCCCAGGTTTCTCATCGTTATATTGACCACATTTAAAGACCTCGCAGCTTTAACTGCGTGCGTCTAAAAGGGTGTTGAACTGCGGTTGTGGTCACGGGACGTACCTTTCTTCCTGATGCCTTTGTACCTCGCCACAAGTCCAAGTCCCATCATCTTGGGCCCTGCGCCGTAGATCTGAAGCTTCTTCAGTTCTGGGTTCTTCTCTATGTCTTCCTCTGTGGGTTCAGGCTTTGGACAAAAGTACATTTTTGTCAGGAAAAAAAAGGCAGAGAAACACCAACGGCTCTCTCAGAAGCACACAGAACCAAGCGAGGATCTAGGGCCAAACGCAGCTCAGACAGATTCACAAGACGAGACAATGCTCGGTTAGAAAATAAGGAAACGTTAGCAGAGATCACAGCGAAACCAGAACAAATAACCACCAGAAGTTGCAATCATGTTAGAGTAGGCCACTACCACATTTATTTTTAATTAGGAGTCTATTCTTTGATGACCCAAAAGGTACGTAATGCTTATACCCCATTTATCCATGTGTTGTGTTAAAAGAAATTGTCAAATGTCTCTTTTTTAGACAAGTTGTATACACACTTGTCTTGAAAGATTTCTTTTAACTTGGGTTTTTGCATTTGCCCCCTTTTGATGATCGATCACTACAACTGCTCTGATTTAATCTCAGACACACAATGGCTGATCCATGGTCACATTTCCTCGGACTAACTGAAGGCATATTTTGACCTGTTCTCAGCCCGGGGTGACCTTTTTTATGCATTAAAGGGCCAAATCCTGGGTGTTCTTGCAGCCTCTGGCTGCATGGCGACATGAGGGGGGAAAAATGAAATATTTCTGGGATTTTATTTGCAGACATTGGTCAAACACAATGTTACTCAAAAAATGACAATTGTGTTGCAGTGAACGATTCTTTGATTTCAGACTCCCTCCCTTGTAATGGACTGATGTTGTGCTAGACGTTTGGACCCTAGTTCCACTCTGCCATATGATTGCAAGCAGGAAACACAACATTTGTGTAATCAGCAATGTAGCAGCTGATGTCAGCAGATCTAAACCCAACTCAGAGCATCTTGTCTTAACACCAACGGAAGGCGCTTTCAGACATGCAGTTAGGTTCTAATCTGGGTGATGTTTGATCGATGATTGCCACGACAACTTTGTTGTAGTGCCACTCAAGGCATAACATCTGGTTATGACATTGCCAAAAAAGATACCACTCAAGCCTTTGTTCCCAAAGAAAGCAGCATGCATGTCTTTGACTTTTCCACCTGTATGCAAATTGGACCCTCTTCAGTCCTGCAAATGTAACTCTGGCTGACATCCATTTTCATATTGTTTCCCTCAGATAAAAAGACTGGCCTCTCATCGCCCCCAAACTGTGTTGGTCCAAGGACTATGTAAGTGGAAGTGGGACTGGAAGCACTAGACAATAAATCCGATCATCAGGACGTTGAAAGGCTCAGATGCTTCAGTGATTTAAGACTTCCATAAGTCTATCAAAAAGGTACTCTGCAGGTAAAACCTTTTCAAAAGAACCAAGTGAGAGTACAAAAAAGAACATGTGCAGCCACACTCGTAGGCGCTGTAGTGGTTAGACTGACGCAAAACGGCAGGAGGGTCACAGCCAGCTCAGCGACAAGGCATTTCAAGCCGAGTGAAAGAGAGCAAGCTGCAGAGTGCATCTGCCCCACTACCAGGCGAATGGGTTAGCCGATGCAGGATTTACTCAAAGTGTGTGTGCAATTTAGGAGATTTAAACACATTAGTTTTACATTGGCATTCAAATCAGCATGTTTTTTATTATTCTGTAATATAATAAAAATAAAAAATAAACAGAAAAGACCCCAAAACACCGTTGTCCAATATGAATCATTAACTGTAGAAACGCGCCGGGAATATCTTCCTCTCGGTTTTCCTTGTCTGGTTTACATCTGGGATTTAATGGTAATTTTAAAACTTGCATTCCCTATTGTTGTTATGCTGCCATTTTCAATGACTTTTTAAGAAAGTATGCAACGGTTATGTGAACCGGTTATGGGTTGAGAGGTGCGATCGCATGGTGATGAAAACGTTTCAGTGGTTAGTTAAAAAAACAAGAAACATGTAACCAGCATCAGAAGGGGGTGAGGTGGTGAAAGAAAAGAGGCAGAAGGAAAGCGATGCGGAAGTAGAGCTTGAATGCTCAAGAGGCAGTACCGCAGGGATGAGTTGAGAGCCAGTGGTGAGAGGATGGGGGGCCAGATCCTCTGGACCCTGCAAGGGGAGACAATAACAGCAACAAATAAACCAAGACAAGAGGGAAACAGATGAGAGAGAAAGAGGGAGATCCTGGAAAACAGAGCCACTAGTTGTCACTGGTGCACATGGCAAAGATGTGGATGCTGAAATAATTCAGCATTCAGGTATATTTTTGGTATGTGTAGTATTTTGTTGGATAGGATTGCATAATTTAAAAGGAAAAAAGGTCAGTTGGGTTCAGTTTGCAGACCAATGGATATGGTTACAGTTCATCATTTTTTAAAAACAAGCTGAACTATTATAAAAAGACAACCGTACTTCTGTATCTCAGCCGTGACCTTACTAGTTGCTGCCAACAACTGACAGGTGATTCAGCTGGACATTGAATTGGATAATATTATTAGTTATGACAAACGGGAATAAAATCCCATTGTGTGTTATGTGTGCAGTATGTTCAAGCAGGCGTTGATTGAATGCAGCTCTAACAGCCCTAATGGAGAACAAAGGAGGTGGAATACACGCAACCAGCATGAGAACACACAACTGTGCATTGGTTCCATTAATGAAACGCAACGAAAGCCGTGTGAAAGAATGAGGCTCATGGAATAAACAATGGCGTGTCTACCAGTGAGAGGGGTGAATCAAGCAGAACAACAAAAAAGAGCAGAGCCAAAAGAGCGGAGTGAAGCAGAGCAGCAATGGCGGGATGGAGAGTAAGCAAGCAGGGATGAGCTCTGAGTGCACAACCACAGCTTCCAGGCGCCGCCACTGAAACCGATGCAATGAGACACAAGGAGAAGCAGAGAAGAACGTTAACAAGACAGCGTGGTGCTCTCGAGAGGATGGTCATCGGACGAACACTGTCGTTGACCGCTGGCTCGGCTTTTTGTTTGCCTGCGATGACGGGAGGGCTGTCGTTATTAGTTTGGCCGAACGGGCGGATGGTAAACTCGTCATACACAGATCATCACATCTCTGTTGTATACCGAGGTTTAAACATCCAGGGAAACCATGTCTCACAATGACAACATAGAAGCACTCTGTAGCTTTGACATTATTTAGTGGAACTTTGTGTCCAGCTTGTGAGCTTTAAGTTCCCTGAAAGCCTGGTTGTTAAAAATAATCATATGTAACAATTTACTCCTGAACAATGTGCTGACTGATACAAAAAGAATCTTTCTCAATCATCACTTGTCACCCATTAAAAGTGTGGGGCGGAGTCTGTATTTGCAGAGTCAACATCGTCTCTTGCCTTCTTACTTTGCCACGTTTGGGACTCTTCAGAGCGCTTGCAAAGAGCCGGGAGACCTTAAACGGGGCAGGCAGCCCGCCCCCGTTTCCGCGCAGCGAGGCTCGGGATATGTGGCACTTGTCAGCGTCAGAGTACGGGTTGTCACCTCACTCCATGTTTTTACGTGTCTGTGTGTCAGTCTGTTTGGTGGTTTGTGCTTTATCACACTGTGTGCAGGCAGAGAGACTGGGCTGCATTTATCCAAAAACCCGGCACCTTCCCGCGGGTTTCTGCAGAAGTGTGGATATGTTTTTTTGAGCTACGGGACGGAAAACCGCCGTGAAACTTTGTAAAATGATGTCTTCTTCCTGCAATTCACAGCTTTGCTCTCAGACATCAGTCTCTCTTTTCATTGACAATCTTTTTTTTGTCCACAATTTCGAAATCTATGTTCAAAAACAGGAACAAACAATGTGACTCGACCGTGGATCTCTAAATGAATTCACAGGTTGAATTAAAACCACCATCTTTGTGCAGCTCCTTAAGCAAATTCCTCTTCGGCAGATTAGTTGCACAAAAACCCAAACGCACCCAACCCTTGAATTGAAAGGCAGCTGGACATTGATTATTTCTGAATAATTTTGAAGGCGGAAATGTGATCCAAAAAGCATATTTCAGTGACCGGAGTACAGTTCAGTAGTTCAGGGTTAGTGGTCATAGAGGTATGCAAATTGATTGAATGACAAGTACGAAGGGAAACTCTCAACTCACCTCTGGCTGGCAGCGGTTGGCTCTGCGTCCGTAGCTGCTTGTTTTCGATGGTTGCACGGACTGTCGCAGGGGGATGGAGTGGGGCTTGTACTCTTTGTCCACATCCTCACCATCATAGTGCTTTGGCTTGCAATTCTAGGAAAGAATTTAAAAATAGTTCATATGAAAACACATAAAATGTGTATGAATGTCTTTGGATTCTGACGAAAAGAACTCGTACAGAACATCAAACAGTTACTAAGCTGCTCTTAACCCTAACACAAAAGGACGGTGGAGGGAATGAGTGGCGTGGTACCGGTATGCTGGCACCAGAATGGAACACTTCAAAGGGGTAGACGATCCTCTCGTAGTGCGAGCGCAGCAGAGAACCAATATTCTTGCCCGGAGGATAGCCGAGCCGCTGGGCTACACGAGCCCAGCGCCGTTCCTTACAGACCATCTCAAATCCCCCTTCATCCGTCACAATCTGGAACAGAAAAAGGCAGATTTAGAAAATCCGATATACAGGGAAAAAATATCTAGCTTAAAAATATAACTACTACTAATTTGAAAGTACAACCAATGTGTTCAATATCTACCCTTGACAGGCTGAAGAGATCAAGGATGCGCCGTTCAATATGAGGGATTTTCAAGGAGGATGCCTGGACCTCCCAAAACCTGGCGATGCGGTCCAAATAATTAAGTTTCACTCTGGTCTCCGCCTAAAATCAGACGCAGGAGGGAACACCGTGAGAACTACCACACAACTCCAGTGTCAGCTTCAATTATCAATCAACAATTTAAAGGAGAGAAAGTTACCTCCAACTCATTAAGCCTCTGGATGCGGGGTGTGAACCGGAATGTATCCAGCTCTACTGAAAATGGTGGTTGCCAGTCCTGTTTGGGAGCAAAGGCATGTGATGTGACCTCTAACATTCAAGGAGCGCAATAAAAATTGCAAATGAATATGGGAAATAAATCATGTTAATTTGTTTGGACTTAACCCTGTTTTAACGTTTGGCTTAAGAACCAGAAAGAAAAATCGAGGTCTTCTATTGGAGAACAACTCAAGATCACATCAATACCAATTCAATCAGAAGAAATTGTCATTGGTAAAGAGCTTGACCTGGTAAAACCAAATAGAAAAACTCCACCAACTGTCAGTAGAACTACTCTATGTATGATAAGGTCCACCAAGCCATGAAGAAGATTCATTCAGTTTACACATCATTAATAGTTTCTCAACAGTAAACGCGTGTACACAAATGAAATCCTGCTGAAACTTGAATCTTGATAACGCCTTTCAAAAAAAAAAAAAAAACCTCAACGGGAAACGTTCTAATCTCAAGTAAAACATGCTGCTCTTTTTTTTGTTCAATGTTGCACGTAGCGTTCTCGTTGTCAGGGCTTGAACAGCGAGCCCACACACTTCTTACCTAGCACATCTAGACACTTTAAACCCAATGCATGCTACAAATGCGACACACAGAACACAGTGAGCATGTCAATTTTCAAAAAAATCCAAGCGTCAGCAAATATTTACTGGTGGAGGACGAATTTTGCAGATTCCAGACTTCTCTGCAATGGGACGAATCTTGGCAATGTAGCCCAGTGGGTCCTGGAACTCCTCCCATGTCGGCTCAAACACTGGACACTCCGGTGGAGGCACAAACTCTTCCCCCTCCATTGCCCTGACAACAGGAAGAGAAGAAAAAAAAAAAGTCAATGGACCATAATGAAGTTTCTTATGAGCGGCGTCAATACACCTTTTCAGAAATATTTGTAAGTTTAAAAGCTAATTTGTAGATAATACTAGTCTTAAGCCCTTAAACTACAACTCTGTTTTTTTCTGCGTGGTTCTGTTCCTGATTAGTGAAGGAGCTCCGTATAGTATAGGGAAGTCCCGAGTGCTGTAACAAATACAAAGATAAACTGAATGATGGGCCCCAGGGGGGCTGAAATGATACTTGTGACGCTAATGTTCATAGGCCAAGATATGCTTTCTATCAAAAAAAAATCCAAATCAAATGTAAACAGATAGTACAGACACATTGAGTACCAGGGATACGTGTAGAAGAAATTAAAAAGCGTTTCATGAAGCTAATACACAAGCCGCTTGTGTTTGTTTACTCTTGCTCAAACCACTTCCTGGTCTCGCAGTGCGTTGTACTATTGTGAACAGCTCCTCTGCATGTTTTATGTTTATCATTTCCATTCAAACTTCGACTAAAGTAATAGCGAGAGAATAACAAGAGACATGGATAATCCAGAGATAATGATTTTTTTAAATCCCTGTGGTCCTTGTTAAAACCCCCTCCCCCAAAACCAGACACAACAAAACAAATGCCATGCTCTGCTGAATCTAAAAGGCTCAGGGTGAAAAAAGGGCAAAAGTTTAGGTAGTGCCTTTTCAATCGCATAACTGAGCAACAATCCGATTATAATCACATAGAACTGATCGTTTTTCTCAAGGGGTACAGTTTGTATATTAAAAATATAATCGTTTGTGCAACGTGTTAGCACATGAGTCTCCAGGTATTTTACTAAACGATCTCCTAATGTATTACCTGCTACGGGAAGAAAAAAACCACCCATATCAACGTGATTCTGGGATTACAGTAACATGTTTGTCATCTCCTTCAAAGGCCTTCATACAAACAATGGCGTGGAGGCCATGAACCCACAAGGTATAGAAGGCCATGGAGGCATCACTGCCCGCGAGTAGGCTGGGCTAGATTAATTAATACCGTCTACAGAAACACATGACAACAAATAAACAACCCTCAATCGTGTAACCCACATGGTGACATTTAAGTGTCCACGTCTATCTTATCGACATTACTCAATAATACAAATTAGTTAACTGATAACTGTTAGCTAACTACTATTAGCTCCTAAACTTGGGGGAACTGACGTTAAAACTAACCTTACCTTCCAGTGACAGTCTCGACAAAGAAATTTAGAAGAAGAAAAATAAATGTCGCCAATTAAATGACTTGAAGTGGGTCAGCTAGGTGTCAGTAATGTCCCCGGTTACCCGCGGGGTATGTTTGTCTTCATTGTTCATTTATCACAGCCGATAACGCCACTTCCAGCTAACGTTAGCATCGAGGCCTCCATTTTCACCCTGCCCAGTGCCGTCGCCTCCCACGGCTTTAGGTAACGCTAACTAGCACAGTTAGCTAACGTTGACTAAACGGCTGTGGATTGACCTCAAAATCACACAAACACAGACAGGCTAACCGAGCGCGCGCGCGCACACACACACACACACACACACACACACACACACACACACACACACACACACACGCAACCAGGCGGTGCTGTTAGACCCGACAGCTAACGTCACCCACACACACACACGTAACAGTATCTATGTTCGATACAAACAAGATAAAGCCCACATGCAGGTAGTTGTACTATAATGTGTCGTTGCGTTCTCGTAACTGACCCGAAGACACCGCGATGTCCCGGGGAATGCTAGGGCCGGTGGCCGTTCTCCTTCCTCTGTTGTTGTGATGACTGGTGGATAGCTAACACCGCCAGCTGTGCTCGGTCCAGTTGGCTAGCCGACGCTGCTAGCAAAGTTGACCGTTTTCTCTCCGGCCTCGGTTCTCCATATAGTCCGCTCAGTCTCTCACACACAAACGGGTTCAAAACATAAATGGCAGCAGTTCGTTTAATAGCAAGCGAGGGACTAAACGTCATCGGTTGTGTCGTTATCAATCATTTCCTGACCAACATCATTACTCTCTTCAAGCCATTCTATCTTTCTTGATGAGACGCCATCTTAGTTTTTTTTTTTTTCTCACGACCGAAGCACAACCTCAAATCTTCACATCACGTCCCTCACGTTTACTCCCTGAAAGTAGTGCCCACGTACGCCAATTCAAGTCACGCAGCTGCGACGGGACCGGCCGGGAAGTCGTTGCATAATCGCTTCAAATTGACTGTGCTTCCACGCAATTATAGTCTCGTTACAAATACTAAACATTTAATGCAAATATAGAAATACACCATGTTATATAAAATACACCATAACGCGACGCGTTTCGTATTGTGTTATATTTTTGCAGGCGTGATTATGCATCGTTTTATATTATTAGCATAATGTCCGGGTCGCTTGTTTTCTGAATTTATAGCCGTCAAGTCATTGCACTCTTTTCCCTTTCTATGAATTGCATTGGATGAAAATGCATCCATACCGTGTATTTGAGATCCTGAGTTATTTTTAGCACTCATTGTTCTGAATAATTTATTAATGACGCAGATTTTATCGACAACCTGCGATTTTGCTGGTTATCCATCTCTTATATACGTATGTTGTGCCACTGAGGGTTTTTGGGGTTGTTTTCTGATATTATGCATATTTGCATTATTAAATATGGCTTCTATGAAGAGTGAATATGCAAAGGAGCCTCTCATATATATATTGTAGTCATATTTATTGTCTTGTGGTTATGTATTTCTGGTAAATATGTTAATTACTGAGCAAATGAATGGTTGAAACAGATGTTTCAGAAAAAGTAGACAGAGACCACTTCACTACAAGGACACTTTAATTCATCAGAAGCAATAAATATTCACATCTCAATTCTCTACTCTTTCAGTACACATAATACATACACAAAGGAATAAAAAGAAAATTTGTTTTAAAATCAATAACTGCACCAACATATACATTTCTTTTAGCCTTTAATTTGTATAATGGTAACTCATTCTCTCACCCTCGGTCAGAAATAAAAATAAGTCAACATTCCCTGTGGCCAACGTCTCATATCCGCGCGCCTCTTATGTACAGTCTTAGTGGCACTGACATGCACGCACCTGAATACAGAATGGGAGTAGTTCATCCCATAATTATGATAAGAAGCATATGTATAGAAGCCTATTGTATATACATTCAGATTTATACAATACAATCTATTCAATAAGGGCAGGTATATTCATGCAAGACGAGTCATAAAAGGACACAATAAAAAGAAAAGGCCAGCCAACAAATACTTATAAAATCTTCATTTGACATTCTTGACCGTCTCCAAACCTCCTTACAAATCCTTTTGTTGAGGATTTTAAACTTTGCCATTTATTTTAATAGTTTGTTCTCATCGTGTCCCATTCAAATCGTGTTAAGTGTAGTTTTTCCTTGGAAATCAATGGCACTAAAGGTAAATGACATCAGTGCTCATTTTATCTTCAAAAAATTGCAGAAGCAGAAGGGGTAACACTTACAGAAGGGGAAATACATTATGTATCTGTAGGCTATTTTTACATTCTCGAACTTGTTACCATTTTAAACAAGAAGCCCTCTGCAGGATGCCATGGCATCAGAAAATGTAACAAGATATTTCTAAAAGTGGCAGAAGAGGGAGGATAAGAAGAAGGCCATTTCTGACTTAAGACATCACGTGTGCAAAACCACAAAACATCCCGACAAACACAAAATGACTAAATCTGATGACTGCGAGGAAGTGAGTATAGATGCCCTTTATAATCGTGAGGGGATGACATTGTCCAAAAGGTTTCTTTCAATTTACACAACCGTATTCAAGCCTCTTTCCAATTTTCGGAACGTCATTAATAAATATAGAAAAAGAAACATGAACTCTGATCCATTCTTTAAATTCAAGTTCTGCTCGTCACCCCATGTCAGAAAGTACGCCCCTTGTTTGCTCACGTTAAACAAAACAGAAATGGAGCAACGTGTTCAAATTCAATTTGAACAAAACTAAACCTCATTCAATTTCTTACAACCCATACTGGACGAAAAAAATATGAATTTTAATGGTACAATGGAAATAAATTACACTTCACATATCGTAACACCCTCTGCAGGTTTTGGCATACTGAGGGGAATTATATGTGCATATATACTCTCTATAACCATGTATAAACATCTGCTGATATAATTAATCACTGATCAAAACAAATATTGTACAATATACATCATACTCATAGCAGGTATATTATAGTATCGATAAAACAGCAAGAAGCTTCAGAAACATTCAAAATATATTATTGATTGTATCATTAATTTCCCAATACCCCACAAGGAATGCATTAAAAAGCCAAGTGGCTCCTGACATGTAAAAGACCATAAAGCAAAAGACTGTCAGGAAACCGTGCGTTGGTTTTTAGAAATTCAAGACAAAAGCAACAGATCTGAGGTCTTTTTGAGAAAAAAAAAGGAGCCTGTCAGCAAAGCGTAACCTGCAAAAGTGGACAGAGACGCCTGAAGCCAAGTAAATTATTGCAAAGTCGAGGGACATTTCTTTTTGCAATTCTCTGCTGTTTTTAATGACAAACTCCGCTGGAATGCATTCGGTGCATTTGTTTTTATTTACATCCTCATGTAAGCAGCCGGATATATTTGATCTCTGCATCACATTATCACATCCTAGTACTGTACATGTAAATAATCTCATACAGCCTCAACTAGACAATTAAAACCGAGGCGATATATCTAGATATAGATTTAGTTTTATCTTAAATTATATGGCTATAGACTTTTTTCTATATTTAGTGTTTATTCATTTGTGTGTGTCTGTGTTTCTGTGTGTCGCTGCGCTCGATGTTGCCACCTACATGTGTGGGAAGCGGAGGTGAAAGTAACAGAGACGAAGCAAGCTGCGTTTACTCTTGTCGCCAGCGCTGCTGCTGTTACTTTCCGTCCTGGCAGACTTGCTCCTGGGCCTGGCTCTGCCAACCTCCTCCACCCTGTGATCTGACCTCTGACCCCTGGGGCCCCACATCCTGCTCACACCACGGTGCTTATCCGGTTGATAGGCTTGGACTTGGAGCTGCCCCCTGTACCTGTCGCTCCAGCCCCCGTCACCTGCGGCCCCTGCTGAGGCTGCCCGGGGTGCTGGGGGGGGAGAGGGGAGAGAGGTGTAAGAGGGGTAAGGGGGGACGAAGGGGGGGGTAAAGGGGAATGTGGTGGGGGAGGGGGGATAGACGAAAGAGGAGGGTACTGGGGCAGATACGGGCCGGCGGAAGCTGCGTGATGCGCATTGACGGAGGCGGACGGCAGGTTGTGGGGCAGAGTGCCGAATATGAAGTGTGTTTGATGGGTGGAGTGGCTGGCTGGGTGTGGGGTGTGCACGTGTCCGGGGTGGGTTTGGGAGTGTGCGTGGGGGTGCGGGTGGGAGTGAGACATGCTTAGTGGGAGTTTGGGGCCAGGGACGCCGCCCCCTCTGATAGAGTGTGTAGGCTGCGCGTGGTACAGGGCAAACTGTGGGTTCTGGGAATGTTGGGAGAGAGGAGAAAGGGGGGGGGGACACCCCACCACCATGTTGGCGTAACGAACCGGAAGCCCATGCTGGGAGAGCTGGGAGAGATGGGCCAGCTGCGGGTGCTGGACGTGCGGGGCGCCAAGCGGTAGACGACAGGGTAGAGGGCCTCTCTGGATAGAATGGGGGGGGACGCCTTGCAAAGGAGGCGGGACAGTTTGGACGTGGTAGCGATGGTGATGGTAGTAAGGTGGTGGGGGCTGCACGGTGCCCACGTGACAGTACTGTGCGTGCAACGCCTGGATCTTGGAGGGCCCCCCGTCCAGCTGGCACAGCGATGAAGGGGAGTGAGGAGGGGGCCCTCCTGTAGTCGGTGGGGGTACAGGTGCGGGGTATGGTGGACCCGGTGGAATAAGGGGCCCTGGTGGTTTGGCACGTTTGCTGCCGAATAGGGAGCCCAGGAAGGAGCCGCTGTTGTTGTTGCTGCTGCTGCTCCCCCCAGGCCCGCTCCCCGCTCCTGCTCTCTCTGCACTGCTGGAGACTCCCCCAACTCCTGTCCCAGCAGTGGTGTGTTGCTGCCCCGGCCCACCCCCCACCCCCGATCCGGGGCTCAGGATGGGGCGATGAGGCCGGAAGTCTTCTGTTGCGTAGCAGCCGGGCAACACGCCTGGCAGTGGGTAGCGCTGGTGAGGCTGCGGGCTGCTAATGATGGATCCCTGGGAGGATGAAAAGCATCATGGGGGGTTTAGAACAATCCCCTGAAGGGGTCCGCTTAACGCCTCTGCTCCCACTGACATCGTCACACACAGGAGACGTGAACACACAGAGCCATGCAAAGGGTGTGAGTGCAGGTCGGGCACATGTGGACACAGATACACACCATGCGTATGCACACTGCACACAAACTGAGCGTGCACCAGTAAAGGGGGACACCCAGTCTTTGAGACTTACTTCCATGGTACTGTCCAGAGAACCAACACTGTTCCTGCGACCACGTTTCCCTGCACCCCACCAGGAAGAGTCAGGTTAGCGAGGAGCGGAAGATGGGAAAGTTTGCTCACATGTGTTTTAGTAAAAGAGAGCCACTGCGTGAGCCGTGTCTTAATTTCAGGTGAGAAAGGAACAGCGTGTAGCAGCGGATAAAGAAATCATGGAAAATCTGTGCTGCCCAATTGCACCCAGAATTAAAACGCCGTCTCTGATGTGCCGTTCGCTCACCTGCATCCGACAGGTCCCTGAGAGACGAGCTGAGCGCCGTGCGTTTCAGACCCTCACCCATCGAGCAGTTGTCATCAAAACTTGTCCTTCCCAGGGTGCCGTTCACGACGTCGCTCTTCACGCCCATGCCTCCAACCACGCTTCCGGTGAGCAGGCTAGGCCGCATCACACCTTTCTGTTTCTCCAGCTCCGCTGTAAATAAAGGCAAAGCGCGAAAAAGGGGGAAATTAATAATCGCCCACAAACCGATACCACCTGCAAACCATTTATTGATATCAAAATCTGTGCAAATCCTCTTTCTCCCTGAAGTTATAGTTCACAGTAATGACCAGTAGATGGCGTACTTACATTCCACTCTGTATTTCTCCATCTCTTGCACTTCAGCAATACTCTCCCTGAGGTCGCTAACAAAGCGGGTGCGGTCTTGCTGACTGGGTGCCATAAAGATGATAAGAACCTTCCTCTCCCCCCCCAGGACTGCTGATGTCAGGCGGATGCCGTGAGGGTAGTCTATGAGATGCAAACAATAAAATACTTAAAAGGCGCCAGTTTCGAGGATTTTTCTTTGTAAATAAATGTCGTGTTGAGTCACTGTCTGTCCCCTGGGGAGGAAACACACCGGGTGACTGAGCATACAGCCCACGGATGAAAGCATTGCAATAATCTAATTTTATTAACTCCGTACCGCGGAAGGACGATTCCATCGAGCAAAACTCAAAATCAGAGATAAAAGATGATAATAATAATAATCACAGTCGGTAATTGTTAGGACATAAGGACAAATGGCTTCTTACACGAGTTCTGGAACATGTGGACTTGCATCTCCACCAAAGGGAACGATTGTCTGAAACTATAAGTCACTGAGGTTTTCTTCTTCTGGAAGATCTTGGTCACCTGATGGGATAAGATGGATTGGACTTATTTCAGAGGGTCGATCAAATCAAACAGACTTCTTATCCGCCGTGTCTCAAAAAGCAATGAATGTGAGTCTTACCACCAGAAGGTCGTTAAAGAGGAAAACCTCCCGTTGGTGCACTCCGGTCCTCTGCGGCCGGTTGGGGTCGGGGACCTCATACAGCTGGCAGCAACACACCAGCCTACGATGTGGAAGGGACAGCACCTATATAGAAAAATACCGTACAAATGAATAAACTTTTAACAACTTTTAGTGACGGCATATTACAAAGCCCTGTAATTTGCTCACAGGCTTCTTGCCCACAATGACTCTCTCCACTGCTTGCACTTGGGACACGTGGTCATCGTTGGTCCGTAGCTCCCACTTCTGTATCCGCTGATAGATCCCAACCAGCAGGTCCCTGGGTATATCCTGACCATTGTCTACGCCTTGGGTGGAGACAGGGACAGGGATTGTTTTAGGAAATTATGTTTACCGCAACTGCGCCGCGCAGATAAAAGCTAATTATCCAGTTTATCCGATGTGAAAAGTCCGTTTTTAGTATTAAAAAGAGGAAAAAACGCAAATATTTGAGTTACTCTCTCAGTAGCAGGCTACCAGAGCGCCAACTGATAAAGTACTGCTGCGCACTACATTTCATGGCTGGACGGGGAGTTGTTATGGCTTTAACGGCCTTGTTGTGTAATGTGCTGTTGAGCAGTTGAGCGGCTGTTTAAGCCTGCGCCCCCCCCTCCCCCCCCGTGCATGTGAGCAGGAGAAAATGTTTAAAACCTCTGCAGGTTAAAGAAGAACCAGACCGTTGAAGGAAGACTAACTAGCTAGTGCGTTGTTGTTGAGTCTTGTGGTTCTTGTGTCACCGTACTGATAGATCACCGACAAATCTCTTTGAGATTTGATTGGCTGTATAGATTTAAGTCTCTAACTTGATGGATAGCGATACTTTGGAAAAAAAACCCAATATACATTCTTTCTGCACCTCTCAAATTCTTGATGAAGTCCTCTAGTTTCATCTTCCTCTCAGCTTTGACGTTGGGGCTGTACATGTCTGTGTTGAGGAGGATGATGGCGAAGGCTAAAATGAAGATGGTGTCTGGGTTCTGGAACTGGCGTATCAGAATTGGATTACAGACACAGTATCTCTGGCTGCATGGGAGACAGAAACAGCGTGTTCGAACATTTACATTTGGATACGACATTTGATATAATTCAGGCCTTTCTCTATTAAAAAAAAAAAACCAAAACACACTGTATTCAACGCATACAAACCTAAAAGCTTCTATGAGCCGCTCCACCTTCTGGGCTTCTCCTTGAACTTTAATCTGAGCCTGGAACTTCCTGAGAGCATCGTCCAGGTCCATTCCGGAGAAGTCCATCTCATCCACCACACAGCTGAAACACACACACATACAGCAGAGGTCACGATCTCGCCTCCCCCGGAACATTCATCACGGAACGTATTATTACATAACATTTCTGAGTGGGTGAGGAGGGCAACGGGTCCGCCTCAAGGTTGCATCAACAGACCTGGCATTAAAAATGTGAGAGTATGTGTGGTGTGCACTTGGATCCGTGCATGGACTAATCATCAGAATCATCCCTGAATATGATCTCTTGTGTAGCCCGATACTCACTCTAAAACATCTTTGTTGAATTGTTTCTGTCGGTTTCCCAGGAACTCTCCGATCATCTGCCTGCTGAGGCCCTTCCTCTCCAGGATGAAGCGAGCGATCCCAACTGGAGTGTCCGAAACGAAACCTCTCTCTATCAGGTACTGGATCCCTTTCTCCGGCTTCCTATGGTCAATAAAGAAAAACACTTTCTCAACTTCGCCAGTTCAACTGTATCATCGCCATCAAAAAAAGCCCCACCATTCATGTTATTTGTGCCACGAGCCTCTTACTTGTTGAAGAGGTTGAGACCTATGCGGTACTGGCGTCTCTGCACCACGTCGCTGTTGAAGGGCGGGGAGTCCCAGCTGTGGCGGCTTTCTCTCTGGTAGGTCTGCTTTCCCAGAGGCGGCAGAGGCTCCCGCAGGCTGTCCTGGGACGAGGAGCCCGAGCTGCAGTTGACCGTCTCGTTGGAGTTGGTGGTGGAGTTGAGCGAGTCGTTGTCGCCGTCCGAGCAGCACGGCTGCTCCAGGCCGCCGGGAGGCAGCGCGGTGGAGGAGGAGGAGGACAGAGGGGTGGTGGGGGGCTGCTGGGGGGAGGAGGACGACGACTGCGTGTCGGGGTACTGGTGGTGGTGGATTGGGTGGTGGTGGTGGTGGTGGTGCGCCGCCACTTGGTGGGGGATGTGTGTGGGCATGGGTCTGGCCGGGGCTCGGGTCTGGCCCTGGGCAGCCGCCGTGGAGGAAGGGCGGGTGCCCGTGGAGGGGGAGTTCTTGAGGGTCCCCTGGGGGGAGCAAGCCCCCACCCCGGGCTCCTGCTCGTAGACCAGCTGTCGGGTCAGCGAGCCCCGATCTGAGCGGTCGCTGGTGTCCACGGAGCTGTCGCTGGGCGGCTCGATGGTGAGGAGAGGCAGATGAGCGCCCCGCAGACGGTAGTCCCTGCACTCGGTGCACGGGGTGCTGCGTCGACTGTTGCTGCTACCCCCTCCCTCGGTGTCCCGGCTGTCTTCACGGCCTCCGACACCACCGCCGGGGCCCCAGTACTCGGTGTCCGTGCTGCTGGGCGCCCGGTCCAGGGACAGCGGGGACGTCGGCATGCCGTCGTCCATGTAGAGGGTGACGTCGCTGTAGGAGGTGGCCGTGCTGTCGCCGTGCATGCTGAGTCCCCCCCCTGCTCCCCTCGCCCGCTCTCCCAAACCTCTCTGGGAGGAAGGGTTGCTGCTGCTGCTCCACACGCACTCCCCAAAGTCTTCACTGATGCCGCCGCCCTCCCTGCTGCCCTCCTGGGAGTCATCGCGACCCGCGCGACAGGTAAGGGCGTCGTCTATGGAGTCGGCTAAGGACTTGACCTGGAGGGGGACACAGCGAGCCCATCGTCTCAGAGAGTACATTTTACGTATTGAAGGAGGGCTCGTGGTGCCAGTACTTTGTCTTGTCTCACCTGTTTGGAGAAGGAGTCCTCCAAGTGCGTGTAGTCCCCCGGGCGGTCCGGGTCGGGCGAGTGAGGAGGCCCTATGGCCACGGTGTGGGTGAAGTTGGTCTGCGTCTGGGCCTGCTGCTGAGGCTGTCGCTCGTCGAAGGAATACTGCAGTCTCATGTTGGACAGGATGATGCGCCGCGTCATGCGGCTCTCTGACGCGGAGGTCCGGAGGCGCTCAAAGTTCTTGTTCATCCGGTACTGCCTGAAGGCCGTCTGAATGGTCCTGGCGGCTCGGCGACTTACAAAGGAGCCGCCGTACTTTCTCTCCAGCATCTCCACCTGGCGAGTAGAAGAACACGTGACAACTGGACATCTACGCTTGCGGCTTTCGGGTAGGACCAAAGAGCGCAAGCATTCGGCGTCGATCGATACCTTCTTATCCTGCAGATCCGTTGAGAGCTCATAGCTGTCCGAGAGGGCCTTGCATCTCTTGTTCTCCTCTTCCTCTTGCTTGCGGAGGGCCAGGCTGGCAGGCTGGTGGCGTGTTCGCAGGGCCCAGGCCAGGCTGGCTGAGCTGGGGGCGGACACGCATGGAGGGGCCCTGGATCCGGCGGGCGCGCTGCTGGTCCTGCTGTCAGTGTAGCGCTCTGAGCCGCGCAGGTAAGGCTTCTGGCTGAATGGCGTCTGGATGTCTTTGTGAGTGGCCGTCTCTGTACACTGCGCGTCCCCGTCCACACTGCAGGCGGGAGAAAAAAAATGAGCGGGAGCTTTTGCAACGAGTCCGAAGTAGCTCCACCGAAATGTCCTGCCAAACTCTTTTTAAGTGAAACGATACTAAATCAATAGTACTTAAGACTGTAGATATAAAGGACTTACATGTAAAGCTTAGAGCGGCGAAGAGTTAACCATCTCTTGGTGGAGCTCATGGTGAACTCGTGTCACCTGTGAATTCTTGTTGTTTGAGCACGTGCCAAAGCCGCCAGAGATCTGACAACATTAACCCTCTACATTGTGAGTTGATGAGCCAATCGGCATAAAGGTCTCGGTCCTCTATCTCTTTACTTTATTGATTCAGTTAATATACTACAAAGTGTAGCCAAGCCTTACAGGGCTCTGCCTTTATCTGCGTCTCACTTTCCTGTTCCCTATTTCAGTCTCTGTCAAACTCTGTGTGTCTGACACGAAATAGTGACAGCACCCTCAGAGGAGTCATCAACCGCTAAAACACACTGACAGGAAAGACCAGGTTGTTACGTGTCACTTCGGCTCACTGTGAATTATAGTGAGATCAAAGCACATCAGCTCCCAGATTCACTCCCACTCATTCACACAGGTGTGAAAGCAAGCAGCAGGGACAAACAAATCCCCAGCAAAGTATAGCTGGATTCCAAAAAGGGGGCGAAGTCCTATTTGGAGTAAAAACCCAAAACGTTTCAGGATTCCAGTAAGTCCAGAGAGCTTCGGGCGTCCTGTTGGGACTGTTCGCCCAGACGACTATACGGTCACATGCTGTTTTTTACATTTCCTTGTGTTGGCCACACCCCCTGGCTGTCCCACAACAAGGCTGAGAGCACAGAGCCGGTCAGGGATGTGTGGCCGCATCGTATTCAGCACAAAGAAACTTCCACTGGGCTTTGAATCACACATTAATGCAGACGACGAAAAGGCTGGAAATGAAATGGATGCCTTGTTGACTGTAACCATTTGGGCTTTGAGTGGGTCAGCTAATGTCTTCCTCCCTGACTCATTGTGTTATCATTGTGCCGCTATTCCACTGCACTTCCTGTGTTAGTGTTTGGCCGCCCACAAACAGGACATGTAGAGAAAAGCTACTCAGGAAGAAGGAAATAACTATAGTTCAATCTCTTTTTGTTTTAAACTGCAATGCCATAACATGAACATACCACGTGTCGTTACCTTTGCGAGACTCCTCGGAGTGGACAGAGAGGAGGAATGTTGTACAATGCACGGTATTTTCAGCAGGACATCCTGTGCCTCCAAGCAACACATGACCCGGCTAAATTATAGAGCAGCATTAAGGACAACTCCATTTTGTTGCATAACACGGGAGTCATGCAAAAGCCAGCTGATAAAAAAAAGATGCAATTCTGACATCTGCAGGAAAGCCTGCATAACACCAATTAAGTTTAAGTATACATTCATACTAAAACGTATGTATAAATTACATCGGTATATCGTATACATATATACCTGCTCTGCTGTTTCCAGGAAATTTAATTACATGACAATTTCCTTTGTTTTCATTTTGAGCAAATTAATAATGAGCAACAAGTTACCGGACACAACATGCATCTCTTTTTTTTCTTTCTCCGTTCAGCATCGTTTATCATTCCTCCTCCTCTGCTCCTTAAATAGAGAAACTGAGAAGCGCGAGGGGGTTGCTTGGTGACGGTTGCCGTGGGACCTTTGTGGGCGGCGAGGCCGTTGTTAGGATGAGAAGCGTAGTTGCCATGGCAATGTGTTGACTGTTAACACCATTCAGGTGGGTGATGATGATGCTCCACAGGTTGTGAATGACAGTCTGCATAATACTTCATGTAATGCAGCTGAAAAAACAGAACGTATGTGAGAGCGATGCAAGGACAGCGTTGTCTATACACGTTCATTTGTTGAAAATGGAAGCCTGAGTTCATCTTGTCTTTGTACCATGTGAAGAGAAAATGATGTCATCTTCAGGGTTGCTTAAGAAATGCTCCTTTTAAGGAATGGAAACTAGGCTGTGTGCAGTGCCAACAGGTAGCCACAAGCCGGGACTCAGCTTCACTGCAGCGTCATGCACATCAGCAGGACCAGATGGTATTTTCATTCAACTCAGTCACAGAAAACCTAAAATACATGCAACACGACGACAGGGAGTCACAAGTCCCGTCTCACGAGTTTGTCTCTGAATATTCACAGCTGCTCCTCGGATAGATTTTATACCTCCGTAATATTCGAACGCCCGTCGTCATCTGTTCACGTCTTACAGAGAAGGAACGTGGCTCAACAATCACTGAAGAAATCTGTGGTTTTTATCTCCACAGTCCAAGAGCAGCATTTGAAATTCTCCCTCGGAGCTTTAAGAGGAAGACCGTCGAGCTCAGAAATCCCTATTAAAACTCTCCAGGTTTGCTGAAGTTATTGATACCAAATAAATGAATTGCCGACTGATTCTCTCACCCGAGGGCCTGGCAACACACCTCCAAGCGTGCATGAATTAAACAATACTTTCTTGTGAGCGAGAGCCAAGCGGTGATGGGCGAGCTGAGGATGATGTACGAGCATAAAGTTTGCTGTATAAAACATGAGCGCGACCACATCTCTGCTGGCATCTGCACCTCATTACTTATGTAAGGAACCCTGTATTCCTGTCACAGTGCCAGAGAGGGAGACTGCTTCTCTCTCTCTCTCTCTCTCTCTCTCTCTCTCTCTCTCTCTCTCTCTCTCTCTCTCTCTCTCTCTCTCTCTCTCTCTCTCTCTCTCTCTCTCTCTCTCATAAAGACCCCCCCAGACTTCCACTACCGCCAACCGTTTAATTGGAGCCGGGACAGATGGTGTAAATCTAATAAACAGGGAAGTTATCGCCGATGTTGTTGTGAGAATGAACGACGCAGGGCGGGAATCGACGAGCTGCAGTGAGGGGGATTGAGAGGTGAATGAGGGTGCAGGCGCTGCCTCCCATCCCTCGCTCATGTAATATTGATACGCTGACTCTGCATGTGTGTGTGTAAAAAAAAAAAAAAAGAGCGGCTGTGCCATCGAACCCGCAGCGGGACGAGGAGACCAGGGGATTAACCTCTGCCTGCCACGGGGGGGCAATCATTTCATCGATCTGTCCGTCGACTCATTTCCACTCTGACTCGGAGCATCTCATATCTAATGTCTTTATCGTAATATCAACTCCATTTGTTTAGCATCTGTAGAGTAGAGAGTAAAAGTCTATAAATTAGGTTTAAAGAAGTGATTTGCAAGAAGTTTTGGGGGGTTGTTCAAAATCCAAGGTTGTCCTGGTGGCGGAAAACACGGTCACCTTGAGCCATGAGGGGCCCCCGCCTGGCTGCGAGCTGGCCCAACATTCAGAGGTCAACATTTCCTCTACAAATTTTGGTGCCGGTCCCGATCTGTAAAATCGTAAAAATCTATTCCGAAATAAACAAGGAGATTACAGCGAAAGGCCGGAATTGGGCGATCTTCCACCTGTGTTAATTTTGTTGATTTTCAGCCGATATCAGAAAGCCCAATGAGACAAATGTTTCAGTCATGAAAATAAATTCACTCCTGGAAAAAATCCTTTTAAAAAGTGATCCTTTTCTTTCAAAACGTAAAGGAAACAATCGAATCATTCATGGTCGGATCGGAGCATTCCTCCACCGCCAAACACTCCTCTGCCACTTCCCTGTCTCAAGCTGTGTGGTTCCCAACACACACACACACACAGACACACACACACAGACACACACACACAGACACACACACAGACAGAGATGCACGGCTTCGTTTGTCGGCGGCCTTCACGTTGAATCCAGGTGGATTAAGAGATAAAAATCCTTGTGTGTTGTTCGCAGGTCTGCAGAGGGATGCGTCAGAAAATCAGCAGTGTTCCGTAAGCAGATTCTCATCAGATAATCGCTGGAAAGTTGAATGGAGAGAGAATGAAGTCTTATGTAAACAGGCCGGCAGACAAAGTCATGTAGACTTTGTAGGAAAATGACTTATTCTTTCCTCCGTGTTCTGGGAGGAGACGTTGACCCATTTTCGGATTGAGTCACTCATCTTTTGTACAGCTCATTACGACCTAAGCGCTCACATATCCCACTGCTGACTTCACGCTTCTATTGTAGTCGACAAACGCTCCTAATTTAAAATAAGATAACACATTTTTTTGTTCAAAAAACAATTATGCCTTGTGTCCTTGTGTCCTTGTGTCGGAATGTAGCTGCGTTTGACAGCCGTGCCCGTCAGGCAGATTCTCCGGACTTTGTCATGTGAAAGGAATGCGCTCACACAGGTACCTCAAACCAACATCTAATTGTTCTTTTCTTTTATTAATGTTGTATGAACGACCTCAAATTACCATCAGCACCCAACCTACACTATAATTACCTTTTGTGTCACCTCAAAAATATGTCCCTCTTTACTTCAAGAGGAGGAAACTGGCTCCAACCACTTGTCCTTTAAGGCGCCACGTCGCCACGGTGACAAGCGCCGTCAAATGAACGCTTGAGGCAGTTTGACAAGTGAAACAAAAGTGAGGAAGAAAAAAAAAACAGAAAGAATCCTTACCATGTAGCTTTCTCTCCCTCTCTCCCTCTCTCCCTTATATGACAGCTACATAATTCCCTCCCTCTGGCCAGCTTTACTTTCACTTTATTGCATAACATTTACCACCCCCCCCTTTGAAAGCAAACATGTCTGAGCAATGAAAGGAGGAGACAAAGAGACACCGAAGAAGAAGAAGAAGAGCATAATTTTATTGCAAAGTAGTGGATGTTTTTGCTGGTGGTTAACCTCGACGTCTGTGCTGCGGTGGTGAACGCAGGTGGGACGGAGGAGACACGTGGGGGGGTTGAAGCGGAGCTTTCAATTGAAAAGTGAGGCAACCAATGTGGTCGAAACGGCCTTGGATGAAAATAGCAGGTTTATTAGTTTAATTCTTTCTTTCCTCGGAAAGAAAGACTTTTCTGTAATATCAAATGTTAATATTGGCTGTATTTGTAAGTAAATTATGCGTACGTC